GCAGTGGACGTTTCTCAGCACTGAACTAATGCTGATAACTCTCCTTGGTAGTGGTGGTGTGGACTAGCGCCCTGGTGTTTAACTCCTGAACCATAACCACTAGAGCAAGCTATGGTTTTGGTGCCTGGAGTGTTTCTTTAATATATTTGCTAATCCTCAATTCAGTCCAGAGACTCTTAATCTACTTCCCATCCTCACTCATTTTCACTTTCCCACGCTTTGTCCTCTCTTCTCTAACGATTTCCCCTGGTTTACATGGATTCGGATTCACCCCCTCTGTCACAAATACAAATGTTATATAATACATTGTAACTTACTAAGATTTACGCTGATTATCTTGTTTATTAATTTAAAAGATAACAGAAACAGAGCAAATTGAGTGAAACTACTGCGTGGTTTCTGTGAATTTGCTGCATAGTTATACTCTAATTAAAATAATATAGCTCTTTTTATATTCTTAAAATCACAACTTACCTTACTTACCAACCTATCCAGCGTCTTGACAGATTCCTTACAGCACTCTGATCCACCTGTCAAATCAGCATGGAGATCATGGCGCCTTCACAGCAATTACCTGGATTCAAAAATCCAATGCTTCTCTATGAGAATCATTAAATGCAATAACCTCTATGAAGAAGAATTGAATGCACAAAGCTACTGGCACCCAGGACCGCCATCAGGGCATGACAACCATGAGAGTTCTCATGGGCCCTGCAGTCCCGAGGGGCCCTGACTGCTCTGGGAGTCCCGGGCCTCACACTCCCTATGTGCACATATATAGTGACTATCACGATATATATATATATATATATCAGGCCCCCTGGCTGCTTGTACATTTCAAAGGGGGCCCAGCACACTCAGTCTTAACTTTCCAGCTGATTCTCTCTAACACTCGAGCCTTGCGGCCGTCAAAGTGGTGCCTGGGGTTCCTATGGCAGCCCTGCACGGCACCCCAGCAAGCCTTGCGAGACTTAAATAGAGAGGATCAGCGAGAAAGAGAAGATGGCGCTGGCAGGGCCCCCTCTGCAGTGTACAGCAGCTGCCCCCCTGCGCCATGTCTTGGACCACCAGGAAATGTAATCTCCCACCTCCCTGGTGGTCCAAGGCATGGCGCCGGGGGACAGCTGCTGTACACGGCAGAGGGGGCCCTGCCATCTTCTCTTCCCCACAAAAAAGCTTCCCCACCACCACAGAATGCAGCCCCTATGTTATATAACATTTACACGCTACATCCACTACACACACACTGCATTCTCTATATATATTACATACACACACACACACACACTCTACAATCACTATAAACACTACATCCACAACACCAACACACTCTGCATTCACTGTACACACACTACATCCACTAAACAAAAATACAATCTGCATTCTCTATACACACTATCCATTACACACACAAATTCTACATCCTCTATACACTCACCACATTCAGTACACACACACTGCATCCTTGTGGGTGGGGGCGGGCCCTGTGGGCGGTTGTGGGCCCTAGACCTTAAACTGTGTCAGAGGCCCATACATTTCTAGTGGCAGCCCTGCTGGCCCCATCATGATTTTATTGCTGATGCCAAATAGATTAATTAATTGAAAGCCCCTGGTTTTCATACTGACAGTCAATAGAAGACATAGCATTGTAAAATGTAAATCGTGCAGGCATTGTTTTCACTTACAAGGTGTCAGAGGTGGTCCACATGCTCCAAAATAATTTGATTAAGATGTAGAGTGTTTAATTCCTAAATTGTCCTTTAATTAAGTTGTTCTTAAATTATAAACCTTGTTTGGTCATTGGGAAGAACCTATATCCTATAGCTGCAGTAAAAGAGTCCAGCTTTCTCACAAAGGTTTGGTTACCTGTATGATAGACACATGAAGCACAGGGTAAGAGCTTTTCAGAAGTATTAACTGCTTTGTTGCTTTTCAGGTGCCACAAAATAGTTCAAGCAATTAATAAATGTTCTCAAAGTACTCAATCTTTTCTGACTGTCTCAAATGATTTTCTTATATAGGATACATTAGTGTTTTATATTAGGTTTTCCTTATTGCCCCCAGGTCAAAAAAGCTGCCTGTCATTATTAATCTCCTGAGTGGAAACTGTGATTCCCAGAATTAGGTCTAAAAATGCATTTATCGCTTTATTTTTGTTCTAATTTACGTGACCGCTCTGGCGGAAATAGCTGGTAATCACTGTCCTGCTCTGCAAGGCGTGGCATTGTATGGAAGCATAGAGATTGATGCTTTTTCTTCCCAAGAGGTTCTGTAGCATCTGCTGCTTTAAATGAGCAGAGTGGAGAGCTGGCCGTAGTCCACACAGGTTCTCTTCCCTGTAATCGTGCCCCTCCTGGGCCAATAAACAGGATAACTGTGCAGCCAGTGATATTTGAAATGTTAGCTTCAGTGACGAGCTCTCTAAGCGCTGGCATATTGATTTCTTGTTGTGAACTGAGCTGTTCAAGCTTCATTTAAGATTTTCATCTTGCGTGTAGCCCTGAGCACATCACAGAGCCATAAATTAGTGAAATTGCACATTTATCACAAATGTTATTTTGAGATACTGCATAAATGGGATGGCTGTGAGATATACGGTGTACTGCGGGAAGACACTACACAGCCAGGGTGGGGTTACATGTAGGTCACCTCTCCAAACGAGCCTGCAGATGTATATGGGAGTTCATTTTTAGCAGTGTTCCTAGACTTGCCATTTGTAAAATGTTTCTTACAATGTATTAAGGCCCATTTGGGGACTTATTCTCGCTCACTCTGTTAGTGGTTAGTTACATAGAAACCATGTGATGCCTGTTCACACAAACCTTGAGATTGATTTGGGTGTGTGTGTGTGCGCGCGCGTGTGTGTTTATCCCAAATATGTAATCTTGCTATTACATGATTTTCTTGTACTGTGATAATATCACAAAATTTTATTCCAGCCACATTAATTCTCTGAAGCTTAATGAAGTTTTTATCTGCTTAGTCCAAATAAATTGTAGGTTGTTGTTTTGGAGGTCTTGCTACATCTCCCACATAAAAGGTTACTCTGTTATGGCATAGATTGGGATAATTAACACTAAACATTATCTTCTGGGCAAAAACAAGAGTCATTCAAGCAACATTTTAAAAGGACATTATATGTATCAAAACATTAAAGGACCACTATAGGCACCCAGACCACTTCAGGTCAATGAAGTGGTCTGGGTGCCAGGTCCATCTAGGGTTAAAACTGCTATGTTTCACTGAGGGTTAATCCAGCCTCTAGTGGCGGTCTCATTGACAGCCGCTAGAGGCACTTCCGCGCTTCTCACTGTGATTTTCACAGTGAGAAGACGCCAGCGTCCCTAGGAAAGCATTCAGCGGATGACGTCGGAAGGAGGAGAAGAGAGCCCGGCGCTGGACAAAGGTAAGAATTTAACCTCTTCAGCCCGGTGGGATGGGAACCAGAGGGTGGGGGACGACCCAAAGACCCTATAGAGCCAGAAAGACGAGTTTGTTTTCCTGGCACTATAGTGGTACTTTAGTGTATAGATCATGCCTCTGCAGTCTCACTGCTCAATTCTATGTCATTTAGGAGTTACATCACTTTTGTTTCTGTTTTTTTAAGTTTTAGCCACATCTCCACTGGCTGTGCATGACACAGCCTGCATGAAAACATTTGGTTTCATTTTTAATAAGATATCAACCTACTTTAGGTTTTGTTTTTTTATCTCCTGCTCTGTAAAATGAACTTTAATCACCTACAGGAGGCTCCTGTAAAGCTATTAACAGAGCAGGAGATCGGAAATTTTAAATTAAAGAGACAGTGCAATAAAAGAAGTGTAAACATTAGATGACTTAACAGGAAGTGTTTAGGAAGGCTATGCAAATCACATGCAGGGAGGTGTTACTAAGGCTGCATAAACAAAGTAATTAAAATCCGAAATTGAGCAGTCAGACTGCAGGGGTGTGGTCTATACACCAAAACTGCTTCATTAAGCTAAAGTTGTTTTGGTGTCTATAGTATCCCTTTAAATTTAAAGTGATATTTTGGGAAGCCGTTTTTGGTGTTAAAATCACAAAGAGTAATTTGTTCATTTAAATCTTTAAGATGGTTGTTTGTAAATATTGAGAATATGTCACGAGCAGATGATGGGAAGTATACAATACATAATATTCCTACTCGCCTATTGTAGAGCTAGTACAAGCTCAGGTGTAACTCTCATTCAGTGGCATGGGGATACTTTTTGTATATCCCATATTTTGGACTGTTAATATTTCTGATTGGCTTTTTACTGTAAGTACACTTTTGTAATATTTCAAAGTTATCTTAATATATAATTTTTAGAATTGTGGCGTAACCTAATATTTGTTCTACTGGTTGAGGTGGTGTATATTGTATTTACATTATCTAAACGTGTCCAATCGCTTAGTTCTCTATAAGCAACCTGCTAGCACAAAACCTTACCTGATGCTTTTAGATTATCATTTTACATCATGGGGATTTCTGAGCTGTGTATGTCTGCATTGTAAAAGGCTGTTTAATACAGTGGTTTTTTTTTTTTTAGACATTACAGTACATTTACCAAAGTTATACGGAGGATTAAAAAAATCCTTTTTATTTTAATGTGTCATAGCTATATTTTGAACCCCATGTTTTTTTAGTATGAATACATTTGTATTAAAATTAAATAATTGTTTTTCAACTTCTCCTATATCAGAAATTATTCCTTAAAACATAGTCTGTGAACTCACATTTTATTATCTTTATGAAATATAGATGTTTTATATCAGTGCATATTAGAATAGTAGGCATATTCTAATATAGGGGGACTGGCTGTTTGCAAACTACAATTTCCCAAAACCTTTTACTAGAACCTTGCGTGTTTGGTGTTTAATATACATCCCTGATTTTAGGAAAAGTATTTGTAATTTCACATCAAATTCTGAGCGTTTAAATTCTGTAATTCCATAGATGTATTGTTACCTCTGTCTGTGCAGTCTCTCTAACGACATATGTGGCTTTGTTTGTGCATTACGAAGGCACTATTTTCCCTCCATTTCTGCTGAAAGTGTAGAATCGTATAGAATACCTGCATCTGCAGTGTATGTACACCACTTACTGGATATCTTTAATCTGCTGCACTATATCTTACCAACTCCATGTAGAACATGCATTTCATGTCCTCTAAAGTCGTTTTACATGGACCTTGATGAAGATGCTTTTGTTGGGAAGAACTCATAAACTGAGATCACATGCAGGATTGTGTTGCTAACACAATATTGTAGCAAAAAAATAAAATAGAAAACAAACGATTTTAATGTAGCCGTAGAAAATGGATATATGTAGAATCATATAATGTTGCTTCAATGTCAGAAAAAAAAAAAATATAAAAAAAAAAGACACGAAGTGCATTACAGTGTCTGTGCTGTTTACATGCCAATATTTTATACACAGTTTCCTCGTATGTTGTCAGCTGTCAGTTACTTCTGCAAATTAACTGCCAAAAATGGAGACGAACGGAATGAGTTAGTGCGATGGTAACCACGGGTTACCCTTTATATATGCCTTAAGATAAAGCTGCCGTGTTGCATCTTGGGAGAATAATTAGACAGAACAAAAACCAGAAAGTTACAAAATGTGGGGGGGGGGGAGGCATTCTATACAGAATAACAACCCACAGGTGCTTATAAATAAGTAGAAGAGGTTATATTACAGAATGCCTCTTTATGTTTAAGCAAAGTATTGTAGTACAAACAGTTTTTTCTTGTTAAAAGGATTAGCAATTCTTGGGAATACAGTACAGTTTTTTTTTTTCTTGTCTTCAAATAGATTTAACCCATCGAGCACTGAGAATGTTTAGCGGATCTTTGTTTTTGCCGTAATAAATACTTTTTTTTTTTTTTTTTAAAGTCATATTGTGCAAAATCGTTCTGAGTAACACCAAGCAGAAGTCCCATGGCTTGTGTCGGGCTTATAGTTCCAAACAAATTATATCAATTCGCTAATAAATATGTATAATTTAAACATGAACTTCTAACAATATAGATGTATAGTAAAACAATTATAGCTTTTTTGTTTTTAGAATAATAGTATTTTTGTTTGAATATTTTATAAAGACTATTTGTTGTATCCTTTGAATAATTTACAATGCTCGGTGTTAATTAAAAAAAAAACAAAAAAAACCCCAAAACTCATTCACTGCCAGTGGATCTTAAACCAAAACATATCTTCTGGCACTGAATAGGTTAAAAGTCAACCAAATTAAATTTTACACTATACATAGGCACAGCTTATGTAAAGGAGGCATACTGCATCTCATACCAAAGGAAAAAATAAAATCGTAAAAATGCCAGAGGGGGAGAAAATATTCCATTAACATCAACCACAATTTCCATAATGCGAGTCTGTACATTATATACACGGATTTAACCCCTGCTCTGACAGATGAACTGGCAATACATTGCTCTGCAATGCATAGCTGCCCCAGTGGGAGGTAAAGGCTTTTAACCGTGAATGCAACTTCTGTAGAGCTGCTAATGCAGATGCTCATATGGTTAAGTGGAACTGTATCAAGTACATTTTATTTTATATTTAAAAAAGAAAAGAAAAAAAAACACAGATCTTTACCAATAAACATGAGTGCTCCAAAGTACTCAGAGGGCTAAAGGCTGAAAAATACTAGCACACATTGAGTGGAATGAAAAATAGTGTACCAGCTTTAAATAGAAATGCTTCATTAAAATGTCTGTTGATTCATGCAGCGTGGCGCATTAGACAATGTATACCGCTAACGCAATTTACACAGGTTCAAAACACCAATGGCATTTCACCCTTCATATTGTAGCAGTAACAGCTGAGTATGCACCTCTATTAAACACTGTACAGTTTTATAAAACAGTTCTGTTCTCAGAGTGAGTTTCTCCAGAGATAAAATAGGAACATGTGCCAAAAACAGTACACTGTAGCTTTAAGGCTTCATTTTACTAGTCTTCCTCAAAGCAAACCACAGTTTTAATGTAATAAAACGCCAATGCTACTGCTTCTCTAACTCAGAGACATACATGAGGTGATCCTCCGGAGACTTCCCATGTGTTTTACTTAAATGAAGTTTCACAGCATGCTTGCTAGCAAATGTCCGGTTGCAAAGTTTACACTGGTAAGAAGTTCCAGTCTCTTCTTCTGGAGATGATACCACTAGTTTTTCAGAGGGGGATTTTGTTTGTGCTATTTGATTGTGTATCTGTTCGTTGGACAGTTTAGACAAATCCCTTATCCGAAAACCTAGATGCGATTCAAGATGACTGATATATGTAGAGGGAGTCCTGATTTGTGAGGCACAGTCATTACAAAAGAACACTGGATGACCAGTGTCTAAATTCTTAAGGAACTTGGTTCCACCGGTCCTTCGAAGCTGGTATTTCACATTGGCTAACCAGTGGCTAATTGTGGTCATGGAAAGTCCTGTAAATCTTGAAATGTGCATTCTCTCTTGAGGGCTCAAGTCTGACATAACATATTTACCTTCTGAAGTCTGTCGCAAGCTGGCAGCAAACTGGGCCTGAAGAATGAGCAGATGTTGAGGGTTCCAGTTGGACTGACGACCCTTTCTTTTCTGAGCTGGTGTATTTTCCTCTGGCTCCTCTATTGTGGTACCATCAATGTCAGACTTTTCAGATATACTGGTAGGTGTAGAAGATTTTGATGTGTGGCTTTCTGTCAGGTTCTTCAGCATATCAGATATATCTGACAAGGCGTTCTCTCGCAGCGGTGAGTTTGACATGAATGACACGACTGCAGATGTCTTTGCCGTTGTCACTGTAGATGAAGAAGATGCAGAAGATGTCGATGTAGATGACAAAAGCGCTGAAGCCAAAGAGCAGTTTTTGTCACTCTTCCCTTTTGTCAAATCTATGGGCTGGTCATTGTTGACATGATAAAAATAACGGTCTGTTAAGTGGTCTGTTTTTTTGGATTGAATTGGTGGAGTGGCCACAGCTGCCTTTTCTGCCAAGCTGTTACTCATTTTAAACAACATGCTCATGGGATCCAGTGCTGGTAGGGATGGCTTAGCTGCCTTTCCAAGGTGGATATTCATAACAGACTGCAATGCACTTAGTGGATTAACAAACGGCTGTTCAGGTGGATGATCTGTTATTATAGCAGTACTACTCCCTAAACTGCCTATTATGGAGTTCACATGTTCTTTACCGTTTTCCACAGGTTCTAAACCTGGATTTTCTTTACAATTGTCCTTTTGTGAAATAGGGCTGTTCTGCTGGCTTTTTAACACAATGTCATTGGAAGTGTCCAATTTGGGGGGCTCACTGATCTCACTGCTGCTGGGAGATGGAGTTGCTCTTTTAATGGGTGAAAATTTTCCCTCTGGTTCCTTCATTTTTTCCTCCACCTTGGCTACCTTCTCTGTAACTTTTTTGACAAGCTCTTCCATTGCATGGAAGTTTGTTTTTGGCACAGGAGAATTCTGACTGCTAGGAGGTGAAACCAGGGGCTGATTTTTGGTCGGTGATAAAACCTCACTGCTTCCATACATTGGTTTTAATGGTGTACCTTTCCCTGAGGAACCTAAGGATAACTTCATCATATTCGGAAGCTGGTAGGCAGCATGGATGCTTGTGTATCCTCCCCAGCTTGGCGTGCCATTCTGCGCTTTATTTATAGCAGATGTTACTGTGTTTTCCAAAGATTTTAAGATATCTAGTCCTCCTTTAGGACTTTCTTCCAAATCATTTTCAGTTAAGTAATGGTACTTAGAAGAAACATCAAACTTTTCTTCATCTTCGTTTGATTTCTCCTTGTCTTTGATTTTATCTTCCAGGATCCCCTTTTCTTTATCAATTTCTTTTTTAATTTCAACACATAGTTTAGGGGAGAGACACAAACTGTTGTTGGCAGGAGGACTAAATGTGGTGGCAGCAAGCGGCACAGACTGTACCTTTTCATCCAGCACAGATGTAGGGGTCGATGGTGCCTCTAGGACTGGCTTCCCTTTTTTCAGTGCAGAATTTGTTACTTTTATGAAGTGGCCTGTGACCATCATGTGAGCGGTGAGCTCCTGCAGAGTGTCATGTGAGCTGCCGCATTCCATGCACTTCAAGATCTGGGACTTCCTTGCTTCAAAATGCCAAGCATAGCTGGCACCGTTCTGGTGCCCATAGCGGTTATTTGGTGTGATGTATGGGTTTGAATTCTTTTGCAATGTGTCTGTTCCATCTAAAAGTGTAGCTTTTGGTGTTCCCCCTGTAGAATCAGGAGAACTGGGGAGATCAAGCTCCAAAGACAGTTTTTTTCTTGAAGCTGGGACAATTTTTGCTGCAACAGGCGTGACAGGTTCTTTGAGAGGCACTTTTTGGTAGTGTTTTGTTTTAATCATATGTACGCTTAAGTCCTGAAGGGATTCAAAAGAGTGACCACAGTACATGCACTTCAAAACTTTCTGTGCATCTTCCTTACCTTCCATTTCAAGTAAAGAGCGTTTTCGTGGTTTGGACCAACGTTTGGGATTATTGTTATCTGTTTCATGGTTGTCATCTCTGTAATGTCCTGTTTCATTCATGTGAACAGTCAGCTCAACTAATGTATCATAAGCAGCACTACAGTCTTTACAACGGAATTTACTGGCCCCAGTGAAAATTGATCCATACAACTTGCTACTCTGTCTGTACAACTGGACAGTGCTGAAAAGACTGGGCTCAGGCAGAACCCGGCTTTGGGAAACCTGCTGTAATGTTTTTGCCATAGCCGTCTGGTGCCAGTCAAAGCTCCCACTTCCACAGCTGCTGCTGCTACTACTGCTGCTACTACTGCTTGCGTTGTTCTTTTCCGAAGTAGCCTGGTGAATATTTAAGCTGAGGTTTGACCAGTAAGAGTTGGAAAGAAAATTGTTATATACAGCTTTCATTTGTTCTAAGCTGTCAGACACACTGGAGTCTTCAAGAGGGACCAGAGACTCCTTTGTTTCCTCCTCATTTTTGATGGAGCTACTTTCAAAATCAGCCATTCTGTCACTGGTCTCACTGACGTGAGAATCACTGTCCATTTCGTGGCTGGAAAATTCTCCGACAGGAGAGTGTTGGTAAATGGGAGAGTTCTTTGTAAATTCCTTTTCAGGACAGACGTACTTTGCAGAAGGTTCGCCATCCGCCACTGTGTCGTCTGTCTCCCCATCATCATCAAGTACGGCAGCCTTCAATTCGTCAGACACATACGCTATGAGAAACAAAAAGACAGGCGTTAGCGATGGTGACCTCAACAGCTGTTCAAATCTTTCAAAAAAAATCATAAACAGCTGCATATTTATTTCTAATATTAAATAGTTAAACTGTAGTGTTTTCTTCTCGGATAAAAAAAAAAAAAAAAGGCTCTTCAAACATAATTTGCTACCTTATTCTTCTCAAGGGGCAACAGCTTGAAATTAAAACTAAATTTGAAATTAATGAAGCACATTCTAGAGGTGGCATTCATTTCTAAAGTAATAAATTACTTGTATCAACCTTAGAGACAGCAGTTCCTGTCTGTCAATTAATATGTCTTAAGCTTTTTCTACCCCTAATGCATTTCCTGACAGACAGATTCACAATTTAAATTAAGCACACATTTTTTTCCCCGCATTACATTTCTGATGCTCAACCTTTAATAAACATAAAGTACAGAACTATCAATATAATTCGTACAAAGGAAGAAATTTACATCAATTACAATAAATTAAAAAATGATTTAGATTTTGGATGTGTCATGAGTGTAAAAAAGAAAATGGCTTAAAAGCTTATAATCACTTTTATTTTAAGTGATGTGGGTGCCACTAAGTCGTTTCCATTAACCCCATATGTCCCAAGCACATATTCTTTCCTTTCTCTAGATAGGAGAGGATGAGGTGAGAGATGGAGGTTTTGCAGACCTTTCTTTGCACAATGTGATTGCCCCAGAGAGAAACACATAAGAATAATAAATTAGACTTCTAGCCATTCATCTTTAAATGAAAACTGCACAACAGTCAGCACCTGTTAATTATTTTAAAAGAAGGTTCTCAGAAGACAAAGGGGTTTAGATGTAAAAAGTAAATCTGGGGCAAAGTTCTTAAAGTTGAGCTATCTCCATGGAAACCAGCAGAATGCCCCATAATAGCTTAATTATAATAAGCCAAATAACATTGTATGGTACTCATTCTCAGTTAAATAGGTTTCTTAATATCATTTAAATCTAGCCCTTTTACATGTATATCATATGTAGATACTGGCACCTCTCTACATGAACCTTCTTTAGTAGCAGAGGATGAGTTAAAATATGCCGTGATCTTTCTGTTTGCAGTGTGTTTGTTACATAAACCAATAAACTGAGTCTTCTGCAAGGTATCTATTGTTAGATCAATAGAGCTAAATCCTATTGCGGCCCCTCTGGTACGAAGACAGTTAAAGTCTCCATTAAAAACAAGGTAAAATGCTTAAATACTAGAAGTAGGAGACATATATCACACACATTTAATTGTACAGCGGGGACTGCATATGAATTGGCATAATGGCACTTCCTGGGTGATTTTCATTTGTGATTAAAGAGGATGCACACCGTCCCTTGGCGTGTCATAACCCTTTCACTATGGCCTGTTATAGCACAAATTGATTTCCACCCACACACTCCCGATACCTAGAACAGGCTGCTGTATCAATATTAAACAAATATCTACCATATCTCCTGTGGGGGGGTGGGTTAATTAAAACAAAGTGAGTTTTATCATTTTCATTTCAGGAGCCTTTCACAAGTTCCAGTACTGTAATCGCTACATGAACTACCACCTCCACCCCCTCCCCAGCCCCCAAAAAACAGTCCAATGCCAGTACTTTACTTGCTAGAATAGGCGAGAGTGCCCGTGAATCCTTAGCAGTGCTCCAATATCAAATAAATCTGTTCTCTATCTGGATAGCATGTATTAAAAAAAAAATATCCTTTTGTTGTGCGAAGGTCAGTTGTGGTTACAATACGTGCAAAAGAGGAACTTCTATTTAAAAACGATATTGTGCAAACATTCCCATGATCCCTTCTGTTAGTAAGAGGCATCCACATCAATCCTAACGGAAACTGCTCTTTGGTGGTGTTTGCTTTTGAGAGGATATTTTAGTCCTATAAATACAACTTGATTTGCAGTATGTATCATGCTCTGCTTTTTTTGTATTAAATTAAAATGTCTAAACATAAATAATACCAATTTTAATGATCCATTTTAATATAGAATAAATGATGTAAATATAATATCTGATCCCATTCATACCTGGGTTCTTCCTAAATTCGCTTACTCTGAGATTTGGCCTATATAAACCCTTTATGGCCAATCATTTTGATAGTATTTAATGACTTGCCAATGGATTTAATACCTAACTTGTCCCGATTACTTTGTAGATTTTCATAAAGAGTTGATTTTTACTGAGAGAAATGCAAACACCCAACAAATGTCAGTTTTGCTTTAAAATAATATTCCACCTTTACTGTATTTGTCAGAAAACTGCCCATTGTCCATGAGGAAATCTAATATTTTAATTCATGGCAGATTTACGGGTTTTTCCTTTTTTGTAGTTTGTATTTTACTTGTCTGAGGAAAACATACTCTTGCGGCGGACGATTATCTACATTGTGACCCAAATACAAATATAGCCAAATAGGGTAAAAATAAATCTTAACTGTGTGCTTATCCTGTATATTGGGACTGTAGGAACACACGGGGGCCAAACACTGAATATTAGATAGTTGTAGAGCACTGCTCACTTGCAAGAACCCTCATCATGACCTGTGTTAATGAAGTTAATTGAATTTAAGATCAATACTGGTTAATTATTGCAATTTGACATTGTAAGATAAATGGCTCTCAGACAGAGAAATGTGTATGTATGTGGATTGGAGGGTAAGAGGGATCACATTGCTTGCCATTGATCCTGGTAGAATCTGATCGACCTAATCCGCTGATGAATGTGAGCTTTTCAGAGCTACAAGTAAATGTTCTCCAAGGCGAGTCTAACTCTGTCACTGGTCAGATCTATATGAGCTGTACCCAGGAAATCTATTGAGATAGATTAGAGAACTCGTGTAAACAATAAGGGGGACGTTTTATTATATTGCAAATTAATGTAACATGTAGTAATGAGTGCTTTATGAATCAATGATGCCTCAGTCAGATACGTAGAAAGGATTATTGAAGAACAGTATTTAACAGCAAAAATTAGCTGTGAGAAAAGCATGGGATTGGCAGCCTGTCTGCACTTCAGAGATAATGCTGAATTAAATCACAGCAAAGTTTTTAGTTTTTTTCCTGTATTACAGTTTTGTACCACAATCTGCAGTGGTGAGTTATGTATAATTTCCTGATATTTAAAGAATCAAATATATATATTTTTGTTTGCATCCAGTAAAGCATGGAGGAATTCCCCTCCCCCTTTGGACCAGCGGGGGTTATTCCCGTTATCTAAAGCGTGGAAACCAGAGGCCTACTCACTAAGATGGCAGAGAGCATGGAATATACCCCACGAGCCTGCACACAGCCGCCCATCCACTTGCATCCAATTTTACTGGTCTTTGATCGCCTGTGTTCCAGATTTTGGAACAGGATCTACAATCGAGCAGTAAATAACCCACCTGAAAGTCCTGGCAAGCAGATCCAAGACTGGGCCACTGTGCAGCCGATATCAAGCGAAGCCTACACTATGTCCCGCAAGCGCCTTACAGATGGTGAAGAGCAAATCACGGGGGGCTGGAGCCGATTAGACCCAGCAAAAAGCTTACCGATGCACCCCAGCACCGTGCATTAGTACAGCGCTCCAGAGAGGCGAATCTGCAGTCGCACATCACGCTGTCGTAAGGTTCCCGCACTTCAAGGCCTATCACGTGCAGCAAGACGGTACCAAGACCCTGCTACTCAGGCTGTGCACAGCTGGATCCACTAAGGCACAAAGCAGGCACTCACCAGCGCTCAAAGTTGGTGGGGCGCCCCTCCACGACTCGGTGGACTCTCGCATACGTTTGTTCATGTCCCTCCATCTACTGGCATCGGCTGAACAGCTCCGTGACAGTATCATCAAGTTTCTGCAGCTATGATACCTGTATTCAAAAAATGCGGTATTCCATGATATATGATAGGCTATGATACTCTGGGCTTCTAGTGACGCTAGATTTAATTTGTATGTTGCATGTTTGTCTTTAATGGCAGGTAGCCACATCCCAAACCTGGCAATGTCGATACTGTTCATGATTTATCCTGGCTAATTTTGTAGTTGTGCCCTAATTGACCTGCCATAGTTAACTCTAACTATCCGGTGGTGCTTACTTACCTGTTGAATCCATCTGCAATTCTATTCCACAGAATTCTGACTTCTCTCTATACCTGACCTGTATTGTGTTTTTGGTGTTCTTATTAAAAAAAAAAAAAAAAAGCATAAAACCTGTGCAGTATTTTTTGACATCTCATCTCATATAGATACTCATGTCAAACAATCTAATGAAATGTCACTGCAAACTTGTTTGTTATTTTATGCACGACTAAAATAAAGAATAATAATTTAAAAAAAAGACTTAATAGCTCCCATATTTGAGGAACAGTAAACCGTTGCTGCGATGGAAATGCTACTTGGGATAGCAATCCAGTCTCGGTGTATAACTGTGTCTGTTCAACTTGTCAGGCATAGTTTAATACTGCAGTACACATTGGATTTATGTAAAACAATATATATATATTCATTGCAGTCTGGTCTTTAATCCCTTCAGGTTCAAATATTTACCAATATCATTCCGGTCCCTAAGAACCTTATAACATTATGGATCATTTGGCTTGTGGAGCATCGACAACACTCTTTTCATTAAATAAGTAAGACATTTCCTTTTGGAAAATGATCTTTCAATATATTATTATTATGGTGGCATAGACGGTCATTGGTCCTCAAGAGGTTAAATAATCTGCTCTTATTTGTATTGTGCTATAGGCATGGACCAGATTGTGATGACTGCACAGTTATAAATGGGTTAATATCAGCACAGATTCCTTTACCTTGAATCATTTCTTTTTCTTTTAAACTACCGGTAGCCTATTTACATCCTATTTTTTGTTAAATTAAAATTAAGTGGATATTTTATTCAAAATGTACAATCTAGGTACCCACGAGGTAAGTGAAGTCAGTATTTTTCCTGTAATCCGTACTTTCTGTGCTGTGCATACCAAACATTTTAAATGACCACTTAGGATATTTGAAATGACAAAGCCAACTTTGTCAAAAACTGAACAAAATAACGACAATAAAAATTTTAAAAAAATTTAAATAGTGCGGGGTCTGTCAAAATGGAAGTTTATGCAAAAATACCATTGAGAACACTGCTAATCATCTGCTCTTGTCAATTACATGAAGGGTATGAGACAGAGTATTTACATTAAACACGTTTCACAAACCTTTAATGCTGGATTGAAAAATTTTCAAAACCAATATGTGTTTTACTAGAAAACCTCCCCGACTTCAATTTTATCTTTACGAGCGGCATCCAGCGTTTACCAAAAAAAAGGTTTTATCCCTTAAGGACTGAGCCAAATGTACTCGTTTTTGATCAAAATAAAACGTAAACAAAAAACTTGGAATTTGACTATACGTCTGTTCAACCGTAATTCACCTCTTTCATATTAAGTGCACCCACACTTATTATATATTATTGTATTCAGGAGAAATAGGGCTTTAATTTAACATCCAATATTTAGCTATAAAACATAATTTAATATGAATCAAATATAAAAGAAAATGTGAGAATTTTTTTTAGTTCTGCACGACATTTTAATTGTGAATGTCATAATACGGTTTGCTTTTACTGCAATAAAATACACATATTTGTATTCAGTGATGTCTTATGTGTAACACAGCACCCTCTATGTACAGGTTTTATGGTGTTTGGTCAAATATAGCATGTTACATATTTCAGTTTTTTCACATTGAAATTTGCCAGATTGGTTACTTTGCCTTTGAGACCATATGGTAGTCCAGGAATGAGAATTACCCCCATGATGGCATACCATTTGCAATAGTAGACAACCCAAGGTATTACAGATGGGGTATGTCCAGTCTTTTTTAGTAGCCACTTAGTGACAAACACTGGCCAAAGTTAGTGTTAATATTTGTTTGTGTGTGAAAAATGCAAAAAAACTAACTTGAACTAATTAATATCATTTTACATGTATATATTAATATTAAAATACACTTAGACAGTGTATGTGTAAGTGATATATATATATACACACACACACACACACACACATACATATATTCACACACATACAATTGCTGCACTCCAGCTTTCCTCCTTTTAATGGTTCGGTGCTTAACTGCACGAAGATAGAGATTCAAAAAGAGAGCCAGCACTCAAGGACTTATATGAAAAGTATGAAGGCTTTTAATCCAAACAGTCAACGTTTCAGTTCACCATGGTGAACTTTCCTCAGGACATAGATTATATATATATATACACTATTTTTTTTTCTAAGTATATATTGTTTTATTTTACACTGTTTTAACTTTATTTCATTTTATTTCAGGCAGCATGGGGACTACCTGTCATTTCAGGCACTCCCCCTGCTGGCATTGCTATGGACAGCTATTCCATCCATGTGATCGTCAGGTCCTCGTGATCACATGGCCCAGTAGGGCCGGATTGGCAGCAGGCGGACTCCCTGGGATGCCAGGTAAATCCCCCCCATCGCAATCGCCGGCGAGCAGGTAAGTGGGAAGGACGGCATGGAAGTGATATTCCGCCTCCCGGCATTTAGAGTCGGATCCGTAAGGACTGCATACTACGCCCGCTGTCCTTCAGGAGTTAAAACATTTCAAAGTCACTATGAAGTTTTTATTTATATACTGGTTTAGAAGTCTGAGCTGTATATTTTTACAATGTAGTTTGTTGAATTTGTAGACAATAGTGTCTACCTTAACCCTATCATGGCCAGCAAATGTTATATAAAGCTTATATTAGAAATAATAAACAATGTATCCCGAATCCTTTTACTCAAGCTTCTGTGAATATACAGTACAGCTTTGTGTGAATGTTCAGAAAATTACGTGACATGCAGCCAGGGCAAGTCTTATGGCTGTTTAATAGTGACGGAATATACAATTTTTGTAATGCTCATTCAACCCTGTTGGGGCTTCATGGGAACTGCAGTTTACAAACATTTGGAGGGCCTATAAAGGATGTTATAAACTGCAGTTCCTGTAAAGCTCAGTTGCCCTAGAATCGTACTTGACATTAGTCAGAACTTTGCCCTCACATTTTACACATGCACAATTGCACACAGGAACACTAACAGACACAAACATAAAGAGCACACAATATTATACTAAAAGACATTCATATGAGTTCTGATGGCTGTATATACAGAAGCCATCACGTAGCAATACGGCACCATCCAGATCATCTATTTATTTTAAAGGGGCACTATCTTCACAAAATGATTTTTGGCCAAAAATGGCTTCTTTCTACATTTACTATGTAACAAACATTGCATCACCCCTCAAAAGTAAGAAATGAATAAGTACTGCAAATAATGATTTGCTTTATTTTCTACTCGTTACAGTTTGATGACACCTTTTTCTAAGAATAAAGATTGTAGTTCTTACCCCTGCCACAAGCTCAGTAAATAACGTATTTATTCGAATCTAATGCGAACCTCAATTTCTGAAACCTGGAAGCTGCAAAATGTTTTTGCTGGCAAATGTAATGCGCATTTATACAAGAAGATACTACTATACAACATTGTGCTACAATGAAAATGTTTATTGCCGTTTACCATAGTAACACTGATCGCATTTCAATTTTAGTGTTACTTGTTTCTTAAGTAGTCTTTCAGGAACAAAATTTGCCTATGTGAATTCGCCAAAATGCGTTGGGACGCTGAACGGCAGGGCTGCTTACTGTGCAGCCCTGAGCCAGGAAGCCCCTCCAGTGGCCATCTAAGAAGTGGCCACTTGGAGGTGTTCCTAGGGGCAATGTAAACACTGCCTTTTCAGAGATTATGAAAATGTCTGAAGGGAGCTATTATACTCACCAAAACAACTACATTAAGCTGTAGTTGTTCTGGTGACTATAGTGTCCCTTTAAATTCAGCAGTTTTAATTTGCTGGAATGCAATTCGCTGAAAATTCTGAATTTTGCCCCAAATGTAATGCGCGATTGAATCTAATGCTCATTCAAATTTTGGAAACTTTATTTTCCAAAAAAAGTATGCATTCGATTTGAGTAAATACGGTAACATGCTTGTACAATTTTGTCCGTAACACAACTGCTAGGATTCAGGATTGTCATAGACTATGTACTTATTGTGCCGCTGTCGTGGAAAAGGGCAACGATAAGTTCTGTATAGTATTTCTCACAAAAGCCACGTGCCGAATCTGAGAAAAGATGGAAAGTTCATAAAAATCTTCATCCAATTGTAAAATTACAGATGACTGGTTATTTAATATCAGATTAATGAGATTTAATTCTTTAGTAGCTTCCATTTAAAATGAAAGTGTCCCCACGTTACCCTTATAGTAATTTCCTTTTCCATAATAGGCCTCCTATCAGACTCGAGTTTTAACGAAATCAAAAAACTTTGTCTTGTTGCCCCTACTGGTGCCCAATGTTCATTAACTGAGATCACAGAGTAAAACCAATTTCCAGGTTACATTCAATTTATACCTGAAAGGTGTCCCTTCACAGTAGTACATACACTGTCATCCAAAAGCAATGCTACATTTATTATCAGAGTATGAAATCTGCCCCCATATTGTTTGTTTCCAGCTGGACAATTATTGAACAATTTGATTACCAGTGGTCAAGCAATGCGACAACTGGTGCACCTGTGCTAAAAACACACTAACTGGAAGTAGTCTGAAGCATGTAGGTGAGAAAGCTGCGCTTTTAGTGTTTTAAGAGTGCTAAGCACAAGAGCTCTTCACTGAATCTGTGTAGACAGGTAAAATGTAGAACCTCTTAAAGATGAACGGCCACGTTCCTGGAAATTAAATCAATGAAATAATATTGAAAATGACCTTATAGTGTATTTAAACCATTTTTTCGTGTGATGTTCTAAATAATTATAAACTGTCATCACAATGTAGGCACAGCCAGGGCATACAATGCATCAGGGGGATTTCTCAAAGTGTCGCAGATAGCTTTGCATCAGCAGCATTGGGGCTTATTGTTACAGACCTGCTCTTTACATTTCTATATCCATGCATTTAATATTTCTGAGAATGAAATTACATAATTTAAGTAGAGGAAAACAGGGAGCTGATGTAGTGTGGGTGCCTATGGTGTCCCTTTACTAAATACGGACAGAATAGAGTCTGAAAATTAATTACGCTTTTTAGAACTCCTTTCCCTCATTGTCTCTGCTGGTCTGCTTTTAATTGACAGAAAAGGGCAGTGCTTACAACAAAAGCTATAATTCCAGGATAGGTCAAAAATAAAACTAAATAACTCTGTGATTTCTCATTTGCAAAGACACACTGAAACTGGTGATAGTTTTCTAATAGGCTATTTTGCAGCTGCAAAGACTAATAGGAGCCCAGGTACAGCTGTTATCAGTGTGTAGATTCCATTCATCCTATGAGATAGATGAATGGAATGCCTTCTGGTTGGAGGTTTGTGGAATTGGCCCAGGCTCCTTTCAATAGAATGAAGGCGTTCAATCAGCTCAGCCTCTTCCTGATCTGCAAGGGACTTACAGCAAGTGCAGGAATGTTTAAAATGTGTATCTTTATAGTTATTTTTCTGCATATTCTTTATACATTTATCTACATTACGCAAATGGTCACTTTCTCCACCCTGTAGTACACCCCAGGTAAGTATGACTTACCTTGGCTGAACCCCCAGGCCACCAGCAGGAGTCAAAATATGCATAAACTCCAGAAGATGACAAAGCTGCTTTATTTGTAGTAATCAACAACTCTTTATCCTGCAACTGGTCTCCATCTTAGATCCCTGTCAATTAGGGATCAGCCGATATTGATTTTTTTTTTTAGAGCCGATACCGATAATCTGTGAACTTTCAGGCCGATAGCAGATAACTTACCGATATTCTGTACATTTACCATTTTGAAAAAATAAATTATTTCTAAAGGTAAAAGCACATAATATACATGCCACATGTAGTGGATGCAGTGTGCTTAGGCATGGGAGTTTGTGTAGTGAGTGTATAGTGGATGCAGTGTGTATTTGTGTTGTGTGTGTATATAATGAATGCAAAGTGTGTTTGTGTAGTGTGTATAGTGAATGCAGTGTGTTTGTGTAGTGTGTGTATGTGTGTGTCTGTGCAGTGTGTTTATATAATGCAGTGTGTGTGTGTATATAATGCAGTGTGTGTGTGTGTAGTGTGTTTATATAATGCAGTGTGTTTGTGTAGTGTTTCTGCAGGTATGTAAATTGGGGGGAGGGTGCATTTAAAAAAAAAATATATATATTTATATATATAAATATATATGTATATATTTATTTAGTCCCCTTTCCCTGCTTGTTACCTGGCCAGAGAGGGGGCATATAGCATTCCCTGGTGGTCCAGTGGCATGGAAAGTACAGTGGGGGGGCCCGCAGCAAGCGCTTACTTACCTTCCCAGCAGCTCCCTGTGTAAATCTCACGGTCTGTGTGCTGCACGGAGCTTTGCCATGGTAACCCGTGGCAATGCTCTGATGGCCGTGGGACTTGCGAGATTTAGACAGGGAGGTGCTGGGAAGGTAAGTAAGCATTACAAGCCCGGCGGTCCTGGTATGTATTATCGAAAATATTGAATATTGGCCGATAATATCGGCCAGACCGATAATCGGTCGATCCCTACTGTCAATCGCTGTTCTAAGCTCTGCAATTTGCACCTAGTCAGCATAAATAAAGCACACAGACGAGAAGAAATTGAACAATTTCTATTTCTCCTCCATATTTGCAATGTGTGCACGGAAAAGCTAGATTATGATGGTATTTCTTAACATTTAAAAGAACACTATAGTGTTGGGTATACAAACATGTATCCCTAACATTATAGATTTGAACTACCTATTAAGGTCCCCGGCCCACCTCAGAGTTAAGAAATAAGGATTTAAAATAACCTTTTCTCCCTCGCTGTGCAGGTCTCGCAGCACCAATCATCTTCTCCTCATAGAGATGCATTGAATCAATGAGTCTCAATGCAGAGTGTGCATCTGAGTAACTGCCACTATAGGTGTCACTAGGCAGCATTGTAAACACTCTGAAAAAGGCAGTGTTTATATTGCTCAGACTGCAGGGACAGGCTATGGACCCCAGAACCACTGCAATAAGTTGTAGTTCTTCTGGTAAGTATAGTTTCCCTTTCACACACTTAAAAGAAAATGGAGCATCGTAATGAAGAAAAAAAGCCTAAATCAATTTAAAGGTAATTTGTAAATGTTTTTAAATGAAAGTTCCCCTCTAATATATGCAGATAGTATGATCTGGGAGAATTCATTTATGACCGTTTACCTGTGCAACAAAAATAGGGAAATTTCTGTCTTGAAGGTCTGTGAAGCAGCCCCATGTCTGCCAGTTCTGCTTTTTTTATTTTTAACTTTTCTCCTTTTGAATTTTAGCATTTACACATATAACTGGAAAACTAAACTATCATCTTATGAATGGGAATATCTTAATATGAAAGAACCCAATACATAAAAATATTTTCGTGTTTTGTTACTTACGCAGAACCGTTTTTAACATGAGCTGACCTCCCGCCACCTGCAAGCACTGGATATTTGTTTTTACAAACCTTCAAAAGACCTCAGTTTAAATATTATCTTAGGGCTTATAAAAATATCTTCGATGATCTGTTAGGATTGACAAAGGGAAGGTAAACCAGTTTACTGTTCTCACAATGCAAAGCTTTCTTCCCATACATGAAACTGGAAGACAATAGAATCCAATGAGAGGATATTTACTGTGTAATTCAGTACAGCCAGACCGTATTTGTGGTCTGCAGTGATAGGATGGGTTTGTTTGTGCCCCACATTGGGTGATGCAGCCACGATCGTATTCTAATCGAGATCAGTTGCAGGCAACTAGTGGCATTTGTAAGAATAAAGACTTATCTACTTCTACACAACCACCATGTTATGGTTCCAATATATGTTAACATAGTATCTCAATACTGCAATGTATTACTACAAATAGAAAACAATCAATCCAGTATGTTTTTAGAGTTAACAGGGTTATACTAGCTAGTTAATGACAATCACTGTAAACAAAACATTTCCCCAATACTGGGAGGCATAGGAATGTGTCAGAGTTGCTGTGTGCATCATAGACTGACAGGCTGGTGCACAGGTATGCCAGGTTGACTAGTAGAGGTGCCCACGCCAAATCACCGCTCAATTGCTCTCCCGTAGGACCCCTGTGTAGTATTAATTGCATTCCAACAACTCCAGCCTGTCCTGTGTACAAGAGTAGCCTAATGAAAATAATAAATACCCCACAGTGTATTAGAACCTGCACAAAATACATATTTTTTCCCCCCAAAGACTTGAGTCAGGCAAGTAATGCAATATCCAGAGCAATCAATTCTGGTAGGACTAATACAGAGTGATGGAAGGGAAAGGTATTGTGGAACTGGTGGGGGGTGCATGTCCATAATAATAATAACAACAAAGTATTTAACCCCTTAAGGACGGAGCCAAATGTACACGTTGTGAATGAAACAAAATGTAAACAAATCCTGGCATTTGCGCTACATGTCTGTCCAACCGTAATTCACCTCTTTCATATTAAATGCACCCACCCTTATTATATATAATTTTATTCAGGGGAAACAGGGCTTTCATTTAATATCAAATATTTAGCTGAAACATAATTTAATATGAAAAAAATGGGAGAAAATAAGATTGTTTTTGATTGTTTTAGTTCTACATGACATTTTAACTGTCAATGTCATAATACTGTTTGCTTTTACTGCAATAAAATACACATATTTGTATTCAGCAAAGTCTCACATGTAAAACAGTACCCCCTATGTACAGGTTTTATGGCGTTTTGGGAAGTTACAGGGTCAAATATAGCACGTTACATTTGAAATTGAAATTCGCCAGATTGGTTACGTTGCCTTTGGGACTTTATAGTAGCCCAGGAATGAAATTTACACCCATAATGGCATACCATTTGCAATAGTAGACAACCCAAGGTATTGCAAATGGGGTATGTCCAGTCTTTTTTAGTAGCCATTTGGTCACAAACACTGGCCAAAGTTAGCGTTAGTATTTGTTTGTATGTGAAAAATGCAAAAAACGCCAATTTTGGCCAGTGTTTGTGACTAAGTGGCTACTAAAAAAGACTGGACATACCCCGTTTGCAATACCTTGGGTTGTCTACTATTGCAAATGGTATGCCATCATAGGGGTAATTTTCATTCTTGGGCTACCATAGGGTCTCAAAGGCAACGTAACCAATCTGGCGAATTTTAATGTGAAAAAATGAAACACAAGCCTTATATTTGACGCTGTAACTTTTGAAAACACCATAAAACCTGTACATGAGGGGTACTGTTGTACTCGGGAGACTTCGCTGAACACAAATATTTGTGTTTCAAAACAGTAAAAAGTATCGCAGGAATAATATCGTCCGTGTAAGTGCTGTTTGTGCGTGAAAAATGCAAAAAACGTCACTTTTACTGGCGATATCATCGTTGTAATACATTTTACTGTTTTGAAACACTAATATTTGTGTTCAGCGAAGTCCCCCGAGTAGAACAGTACCCCCCATGTACAGGTTTTATGGTGTCTTGGAAAGTTATAGGGTTAAATATAGTGCTAGCAAATTAAATTCCCTTTACTTTCGGCATGGGTTGTCAGGCAGGTCCCGCTAATTGTAATTAATTAAGATACCCAATTATGTAAAAATATTACATAAATATATGTAGAATTAATATATGTTTATATATACGTATGTGAATATATATGTATAATTTTTTTAAAATATTTTTATTTATATATAGGTATATATATAGTGATATATACGTATATATTTATGTATATAGATATATATATTATTTTGTTCTACGTGTATTTTGATATAAATATATATATATATTAATATCACAATACCGTTAGAACGAAATAACACATCTATATATTTTTATTTTTTTTACTTATTTTTTTTACGTATTTACATATTAATTTTTTTATATTATATATAAATATATATAACAATAATTATATATATATATATATATATATATATATATATATATAAATATAATATACAAGATCCAGCGCACTCACCTATCCACTAAACACCAACTTCAATGTTGAAAGATTTTGTTTTTTTAAAAACACCTAATCTAGGCAAAAATAATGGGGGTTTAGTTACATTATATGATCATACATTGCATAAGCCTTCGGCCTATATCTTTTGGCAGGTCAACAGATAATGGGAAAAAAATTGGTTCTGGGAAAAGAAAATAGTGCTAAATCCTGGGATGAGGCACCTTGACAGAGGGCAGGTTAAGACTCCCTGATAACATAAAACAAGAGGGGGTTGGCTGCACTCACAACATGCATAAATGGGGGTGCTGCTGGGGGCCAAATAGCAGACATTAGATCAGTGTCACCTATCCATAAACAGCAACTTCAATGTTGGGGTACATTGACGTTGTGGCAGGCTTATGCAATGTATGATCATATAATGTAACTAAACCCCCATTATTTTTGCCTAGATTAGGTGTTTTTAAAAAAACAAATAAAATCTTTCAACATTGAAGTTGCTGTTTAGTGGATAGGTGAGTGCGCTGGATCTTGTGTATTGTATTATTTGGCCCCCAGCAGCACCCCCATTTATGCATGTTAAGGTGAGTGCAGCCAACCCCCTCTTGTTTTATATATATTTGGGAGTCTAGCCAACTCCTTGGTTTTGCACCCCTCCCTGTCACAGGTGCCTCATCCCAGGGCCCTATTTAGCCTTGTACTGCAGAGAGCCCCAGATGGAATTTTTTTCCCCAAGTAGGTTAATCTCATAAGAGCAGACATTAGGCTTTTACTGTAGGACCTGCCAAAGATGGGGTACATTGACGTTGTGGCAGGCTTATGCAATGTATGATCATATAATGTAACTAAACCCCCATAATGTTTGCCTAGATTAGATGTTTTAAAAAAAAAAAAAATCTTTCAACATTGAAGTTGCTGTTTAGTGGATAGGTGAGTGCGCTGGATCTTGTGTATTATATATATATATATATATATTTTAATAAATATTTAATCTTGCATCCTTCTCTACGATACAGTGTTTATATAAAAGGCCATAAACAAGGAATGGAAACAATTTCTACATATAAGAGGAAGTTATCCATATATATGTTTTTACAATGTCTGTAAAAGTAGAGAAGGGTTTCCCTCAGTTTAACCCTTCATTGCACACGGGATTCAGATCCTTTTCAGAAGGCTGCGTGGCTGTGTAATGCAATAGAGCTGTTTGGCACAGAGCCAGCTTCTGTCGGGGATCTTTTTAAACTCTTAATTGGATTTGTTTTTACTAAGGAAAATGTGTGAAATGTGTATTTGTATTAAAAATCTAAAATAAATTGTGCGGTCAGTGGAATGTATTTAAGGACACTATCTACTCTGAGCATCAGAACAATGTATGCTCATTGTGTATGTGTTGGAGGAACTGCCAGTTCCCATCTCTATGTTGCTACGCGATGTCCCTCACTCTGAGACATCACGTAGGGAAGCTATATGTACCCCTGGCTGCACATATATGCTTGTACGCAGGACAATCTCCTTTTTAATGTACTGTGACTGCAGTGGTGTCCACAGTTCATTTGGAATGGGGGTTACTCTGCAGTCCCACTACAAACAAGTTTATGTACAGCTGGGGGGGTTGGAGAGACCATAACACCTCAGTTAAAATAGGCTGCCATGATGATTGAAGTGCCCCTTTAACAAAGCTCTTTATATGATGGGAAAGATGAGAGTTTCTCTGATCTAAGAATATAAAGCATACTCAACATGTTTCTCATTGAGACCCCCATATATTGAGATTACCCAAGAGGCTGCAGAAAAGACAAACTGCACTACGAGGCTCTTTGAAAGAATATAATTTTTTGTTATGGAGATGGACTTTCAAATAGTTTTATAAAAATTAAAATACTACGGTTTCCTAAGAATTTAGAAACTATGTGTAGAAATAATCAAAGCTGGGATGAACAGGTCAGCTTTGCATGATCTGCAGAAGCAGATTTTTTTAGTTACTCGTCAACTGCAATTTTGTATTTGTTCTGACTAAATGATGTAGTAAATCTCTCAGCCCTGACAACACACACAGGAAGTGACAAGGCTAGTCATGGCCTGATCTATGGGCCAGCGAGATTAATTTAACTTCCTCCCATTCCCTTGCAGCCAAAAAGATGCCATCCTGCCTTAAATGTTAGATATAAGCAAATATGAGCACATCCTGATGATCGATGCATATTTATCTGCTTCAAATCAAATAAACGTCTTCATGCTTAGCTACAAATTAAAAAAATGACACCAGCATTAACCTCTCATAAATTCTATGGACTCACAATGGGCAAAAAATGACTATAAAATGTTGTATTTCTACAGTGGATTATCATGGTGAAAACGTTTGCAAGCATTGGGATGGCGACATTTAAAGAGCAAGCATCATAATGTTGTCAGCCATCACAACACAGGGTACCCTGATGTGAACCACACAGTGTAAATGTATGCCTTAGAAGTTGTGGGTAGAGTGGGGGACCCCCAACCCTCACAGGCACAGTTGATGCTGTGTATGTAACACACTTTTTGTTTTCCTAGTGGACAATGATGGGAGTTGCATCTTCAGCATTCTGAAGTTAGACACACCCCAGTCAGACTGATTTAAAGCAGCACCAACTCTACATTACTGAAACTACTCTTGACATTTAAAACTTGTTTTGGTAGTAATATTTAAATACATCCTGGTCATTTCACAAGTTCCACGGACACTTTTATTAATCTGTAAAATGGGTCTAGCATTACACTACTTCATATCAATATCTAAAGATCTCCAAGTTGCTAAACATCTAAGTAGCAGACTATAAACACTTTCCTCATAAACAGAATATATTTAAAGGATCACTATAGGGTCAGGAACACAAACATGTATTCCTGACCCTATAGTGTTAACACCACCTCTAGCCCCCCTGGGCCCCGCATGCCTCCATAATATAGCAAAAATCTTACTGTATTCAAGCTTGAAGCTGTAACTCTGCATGCTGTTAGACTCATAAAAACAAGCAGTCTGCTGACATCATCAGAAGTGGTAGTCTGATCCAATCACAGTGCTTCCCTAGGATTGGCTGAGACTGACAAAGAGGCAGAGCCAGCATGATTCAAACACAGCCCTGGCCAATCAGCATCTCCTCATAGAGGTGAACTGAATCAATGAATCTCTATGAGGAAAGTTCAGTGACTGCATGCAGAGGGAGGAGACACTGAATGTTTGGATACATTTTAGGCAGCCATGACCCAGGAAGAATCTCTAACAGCTATCTGAGGAGTGGCCAGTGAAGTTATCACTAGGCTGTAATGTAAACACTGCATTTTCTCTGAAAAGACAGTGTTTACAGCAAAAAGCCTGAAGGTAATGATTCTACTCACCAGAAAAAATTTAAGCTGTAGTTGTTCTGGTGACTATAGTGTCCCTTTAAGCTCAAGGTCAATATTCTTGTAACCGTCCATGCCGGTTGATACGGTTATGGCACCTTCACTACATCACAATTGAGGGTGTCAAGTCATTTATTATTTTAACTTCTTTTCATCTGGTCAAATTCTCATCACAACTAATTCATCCAATTTTAGCATTTATTTTTTTTCTTTAGATTTTAAATTTAAACTCAACCTAAATGACATATCTCCAGATATTTTACACCTTGCATATCATTTAAGAATTCTTGCAAATCATCCAGAGTCAAAGAAATATATAATGCAGGAAAAACCTACAATGTTGCTACTTGGAATAACAGAGGTAAATCACAATAGGAAAGCAAAAAAAAAAATTGCATTTCACAAACTGTAAAAAGCACAATTAAATTTATCATCATAAATTACCTTTTTCCACAGAGATTTAGATTTATAATACAATTTTCCCATCTCTGTGAGGCTTAAATATTTTATTGCATACATGATTCGGATAGAGATGTGTCTAAAGGTTTAAATATCACTGAGCTGCGTTAAGATGTTGACTGGAAAAAAAAAATTGTCTGTACAACTGTTTCCAAGGTAGTTTGTAAAAATTATTTATTTGCATACTAGTTAATTATGATGGGAGTCTTTGTTAGATGCACAGGCATAAAAAGTGCTGATATTTTATGCATCCTTAACTGTACTGTGCTTCCCCGCAGTGCATTGGTAGATCCTTGACATTTAACATTCACACACAAAAACTATAATAAGAGGTTTGATTGCTTCTTGTGCAGATGCAGTAATTTAATAACTGTGATCAGTTGCATAAATTTACTATACAACATCTTAAGTTAGCCACATTAAAATTAAACAAAACTGTAATCTGTTGATAGATTGGAAATGCGGAACATTGTAAGTGAAAGCGATTTTGGCTTTACAATAAAGAAGAAGTAAAATTGCAGTGGATGATAGAAAGGTGATTTGCTTTCTCAATACTAGTACATATTTAGAGATACAGTACTCGATAATGACTTCCAACCACTGAAGGTTGCAGAGGAGTGCACATTTTTGGAAGACAAAAAATTAAGTAGACTTAAAATGTCAAATTAGGGTAAGAATTCAAGAAACTGGTGACACCTTGATTTCTTTGTTTCTTAATTGAGTTATGGGGATATGGCTTTTATGCATATGTGTTTTAGGGGAGCCAAGAACTCAACCGTGACTAGGGCTTTTAATTGTTTGAGTTTGAAGTGTTGCTATCAATATGGTTGTTTGAGCAATTGTAGATTGCATAGACTCAACCTGTTGCTCTTGAGTATGGAATATATCTCCCATAGCCCGCACAGAGGAATGCCATTGTGTTACTAAACCTGGAAAGTGATAGGCAGACACACACTACAGAAGTGCACAGTTTTCATTTCATCAGACAGAAATTAGGGGCGTTACTCCCTAACCAGGACTTTGGTGAATTGAAAGCTGACTTGCAGCCTCATGTGTTTTTCAATGTGGCTGTTTGTTGTTTGATTTTCTTCAGATGCTTAGTATATGCAGAACTAAGACAGTCTTGGCCATTCTGCTCACACTCCAGTTTATGATTGCGGTATTGGAAAGTTTTTGCTTTTTGTCACATTTACAGGGCTACTCCACGCACCGAGACTACTTAAGTGATTTGGAGTTTGTACGTTAAGCATTTCGCTATGAAACGTGGCACATAAAGAGTTTTTTACCCCTGCTGCCTGATGTGTAACTCCACCTCCGGCAGTGTCACTAACCAGATCGAAACATAAATTCCAGGCTGTCAATTCTGTGCATATTTGGCATCTATTGTCAGCATACTGGCAACAGAGTGCCAATGGCTCTGTGCTGCTCACATCTTCCCTCAGCCTGCCCTCCGTAACATGTAACAGTATGCCAGAGCTGTAGTATGTGAGGGGCATCTCCCTCTCAAGCTGCAATCACACAGTAGAGGGCGCTCACAGAGAGCTCTGTACTGTGAGATCTGAGGACATCAGCAGAGGGCATCCCTCTGATAGATATGTATGGGAGCACTTAAAGAGGAAAAACTTAACTGTAAAACAAACACTTAGCACAAATACTAGCTTTGTTTTGGTTCAGAAGTTGGACAATTGCCTGCCTCTGTTCTTAAAGGTTAAGCAATCACTACAGCGTATTTTAATGGCAAGACAACAGGCTGCAAGCACTGGGTTAAGCTGTAAGCAGAGAGCATGGGCAGTAGGTGTTATAGAGCCCCAGATTTTGTTAAACTGTGCTAAGATATACTTACAAAATCTCTGCTACTAGGCAGGTGATATAGAACATTATTTGCAGGAGCTTGATACATTACAGAGAACTTTTGCAACTAAAGATTTTACTCAAAGATCTAGTTGCCATCAGTAGTGGGCACTGCTCACATTGAGCTACACCTGTAATCAGTAGGGGGTGCTGCTCACATTGTAATCAATAAGGCGTGCTTACTTCTATACAAACCCAGTATAATTAACTCTAACATGACCTTCAGCCTGGTCATTACTATTCTGGCACCCAAACAGTTAACATACTTTATTCTTTGTTTTTACCTATCAGAGATAAATATACACTGGGGCTTTACAAGTAAGTGCATATATGCATCATGGTGGTAATGTCTGCAATATTTGCCCCACATTTAATATGAAATCAGTATATTTGCTGGACATAATGTGTTTGTGCAATTCCATGTCTGCCCTGCAAACAGGGAGAGAAATATACAGAATGTGAGATGTTATATGGAGAGGAAAGCGTTAACCCAGTCAATATTCTATGAAGGTGGCTGCTGCCAGGCCATCCCTATGCAAACTAATCCTTAACACAAATGTTACTGGGGAAATAATAGCCATTTCCAATGATAATACACAATTTTAGCACTGCCGCCTGGCTGATTTAGGTGGTCGGCCAGTGTGTCAGGAATACTGCCTTAGTTAGGTGAGCCTCTAATGGGTAACTGGCAGGCTGTGGCAGGCCTATTTCTGTTTTAGATTTGGTTTGTCATTGGGTATCCATTACCTGCCATTCATCTTTGATCTCTTTGGACAGGCCTGATCAAAAGATGTCATTTGACCTACTCCACTTGGCAGGAACTTGCTTGACTCTCATAAAAGGGGCATCCCAGCTATAAATAAAATGACATTATTATTTTTCTGTCCTATCATGTAGCAGAGACAATTATGATAATGCAGTGTCTGTCAGTAGAAAGCCAGCAAATTGCCGGCTCTCACGCCACTGTTTAGCTTCCTTATTTGTTGGGTTTTTTTGTCGGCTTTTTTTCCATTTCATGTTGAAAATAAAGCAGAATTGAAACCACTAATGCGCTTCCTTACACTGTGACAGATTGAGGATCTCGCCGTATGGTACTGACATGCAGATGTGACCATCACATTCCGATTGTCAGCAGTGGGTGGTAGTTAGCTATCGTCGCAACTTGCAGCCGTGATGGAATCAAGCTTTCCTCTTCGTCAAATGACTTGCAAACAAAAATTAATACAGTGAATTTACACAACACAAATGACAGATGTTGCGGTGACAATGATACGTGAATTTGTGAGAACACAGTCTGATTTGACAAAGCAAAAAATAATTCTTAGGCAGAACATACTGTGACATAGATCGTATGTACGAAGATCGTCAGGGTTTTATTTCCTATAATTGCTACAGGTATAATTAATGATTTGTTAACTAAACTTAGGAAAGATTTTCAGAGAGGGGTAATTCAGAATATAGCTTCTTTCTAGCTGCAAGTTATATTGTAACAAAGTTTTTATGTTCAGGTTAAATATTATCTAAAAAGGTAAGTTTACCCTAAAACTACACATTTAATAACGGCTACATTAAATAATCAGATCAACAGCTCCAACTTTTATAACCGGGTTTGATCATCAACAATTGAAAATAAAACAGATTTTGGAATTACAATAAGAGCAGAAATCGCATGCTTTCTTCCTTTCTTATTTAAAGAATACTGCAATGACTAGAAACAGCAGTGCTCCCAGGCAATTTAGACTGCAAAACACAAACCATTAAGTTTGTGCATTATCTTTTAATTTAATCTTGAATGATTTATAATCCATCACGAAGGCTTCAACCATATCCAATTATTCTCTGCTGCTTGATTGACAAGAAAGGTGATTTATTAAGCTAATAAAAAGTGATGTGAGCTGAGCTCATATAAAATATAACCAGCTGGACAAAGATGTTAAAGAGACATAGTGCCCCTTTTTTTGTTTCCTGTTTAGAGAGCACGCACTGATTGTCCAGTAATCATGTAGAACCTAAGGCAAGAATGAACGGCTCAAAATAATTAATTACTGTTCTAGAAATCTCTCCACCCCCAACACTTCATATCAAGACGCACACCCAAATGCAAATGAGTGGCTTTGGATTTCAAAGCACTGTTGGATTTGACGGAAAAGGTTGTGATGGTTTGCATATTCGGTTACAGAGCGGAAATCTTTTAGTTTTTATGGGTCGCTACAGAACCCCCCCTCCTTCTTCTCTCGTGCATGCAGAATGCGTGTATGCATGAATTAAGGAGGAAGAAACTACCACTAAAGTCATCTGGTATAATTGTTTACCTAATGCTGCACGAATGCTCTTGGGGAAGGCAGGTTTGTAAGATGAAGTGCTATATATATGAAGCCTCTCCTCATAAACAACAGGATACCAGTTTAATGTCCACGAGATGCTCGCTTGTTTCAGTGAGCACAGCACTTTGGAACTAATGATGCAATCAGGACTTTTGCAATCAAACAGTCTGTGCTATAGAAATGGTGCGATTTGCTGCAGTCATGTAGTGCTAAATATTGCTAGTGTTCAATCCAAACAGGACGCCGAAAACAGCGCCAGAGTGCAATAAGATTACACTGTATATAAATAAATTCCTGTGCGCGAGTTGAAAGCAGATTTTTATACCAAGCAAACCATATTGGGGGAAAAAACACAACAAACGATGGTGGTTATTTCCTGTACAGTGAGTCTATAACTCAAAGCGTAAGAGATGCCAAGGCCCAAGGAAGAGGATTTGAAGCAGACACTCTCCGGCTGCAACCAGGGTCAGTGTGAGATTTGCTTCTCATTGAATGTCTGAAGAGCTCTCGAACATTAACATACTCTGCTATTGCAGCCCCAGGGGTAATGAAATCAAAGAAAGCTTTTTGAAAGTCGGTCTAATGATGCTAAATGCACTTATATTTTTATGTCCAAGGCATTGATTTTTCTCGTTTTGCAAGCCTCCTTCACGTTCTTAGTGTTGTAACCATTAGTGGTGTAGGTGAAAGGGTGCTGATGATTACAGGGGAACTGTAAGCTGCACACTGGAATTAAAAACAAAGGATGTAAACAGGATGCGTAATTAAGACACCACCGAGCCAGACATTATGACTGCCGTATGACATAACACACAAGCCTAGGAGTTCACAGTCTCCTCGCTGGCAGACTCAGCCAATCCACATGTTCTGTCAGGGCTTTTGCATTATGCACTTGCCCTTGGGAGAAGGGAAAGTTACCCCGCAGTAATTAATATATACATGCTAATTTACTAGATTCACAGGCCCATCCGATCCTGTAACAGCTAAAGCTCTTTACAGTGACCAGCCTGTGTTAATGTCACTTTAACCCCTTCAACACTAAAATTAGCTAATGTCTTTGCTTGACAGGCAAAAATTGTGGGTGCAGTATAGTACATCTCTCAAACTATTTAACACCAAAATTTTATTGCCATGAAAGGGTTAACCATACACTTAATTTTGATTTAAAATATTTATTAATGTCTTGAAGTTGCCCGTGCTACAAATACAAAAGGAGGTGATGAGGTCGTAGCTGATAGATAAGGTTCATGTTTATTGTGATCTAAACGGTTTATCATAACCACTTTCATTATAGTGAGACTACTAAACATATTAAACAAAAATTTCTTCACCCTTCACTCAGCAGGAAGAGGGTGGACCTGAACGTGTATAATTATATATTGTACATCACACCGTATACACAGCACTATGCTATCCCAACCCCTTCCCACTGTTTGAAAGTAATGCTATACACCCACTCTATCCCAGGTCAATCATACAATAATACAGTACACAAAAACACAACAAGGGATTTTCTTTTAATTGTTCCTGTCCAAATATTCAGGAAAGGTTGAAGCTTTTTCTTGAAAAGCAGAATGTGTCTCATCTATGAGTTCCCATTTAAATGATCTATAAACACATATATTTGCCTGCAAAATGTTTTAACATAAAACGGGTATTGCAAAGGGCTTTATTCTTTTTTGTGTTCCTGTAATTTTATGAAATTGCTTATTCAGTCTTTGATATTGTGTTTCAATGGTAATATAAATATGTCTGATAGAAACCTTATTGGAAGAGAGTATAGTAGATAATTTGAAAATTCACAATAAAACCCCTAAAACCCCATGCATGTATAAAAACCACACAGAAGTGCTAATAGAGTCTGGGTGCCTCTCAATTCTCCCTTTTCCAATCATTTTTGCAACAGATGGTTAGAGACACACGTATATGAATGCCGTGGAAGATAGGGTGTGAGTTCTGTTAATGGGCAGTAAGTGGATTCTTTCTGAGGACACAGTAATACTCTGGAGTGTCTCTCTTATTGTTGTGAGAACATCACAGCCTCATGCCTCAAATCGTGCTCCATAACACGTTGACTAACAATTTTAAATAGAGGTGTACACCTGCTTCGTGAATGGTTGACCCTTAAATCTGCCAAATTTTTGCAGTTCTGTTGAGCAGTACGTGATAGGGAGCAGCAATTATTAGAAGGCACTGCTCTTACATCAAGCTAAATAAAGATCTAGCCAGGTAGGGTTATTTTTAAGGCAATTTATGCACACTGCATTCTGCATGTCGACTCCAACACAGAATTTCCACATGGCCAGAATTGACTGGAACAAATAATGGCATTTTACCGTCGTTCTTATAAACATGCAGCATTCTGCATTCTTTACCGAATGCACAAGCATTTTCAGTACAAGGTAAACGCATGCTTTTTTTTTCTATAGTAAATGAAATACGGCTGGAAAAGTGTATCTTTTATATGAAAGGTGCATAATTAGAACTGAGCTGAATCATTTTATATGGAAAACTCAAAAACAAAAGTAAAACTTGCGCTTTACCATAGATGATGAGATTTATTTCTTGTAATATTAGGGGCCGTGCATACTGGCTAGCTGAATACTGCTCCTAACCTCTTCTTGTCTGGAAGACTAATCCAACCATTTACCTGTATAATTCATTGTCCTCAAAATATTTATATGCAAGATCACTCAATGTTGTCCTGTCACCCAACAGGTCAGCTTCAGTCTCCACACAGCAGACCTGACACACTGCAGAGGAAGCAAACCAACTCTGTGCCCACGCAAACTGCAGCCAGAAACACTAACTGATGTTTTTTCTCGAAAGTGGTCGAAAAGCAAAGATATAACTACTGCAGTTTATTGTAGTGCTTATGGCGGCTATAGTATTATTGTGATAAAACTCTATGGTTGCAGCTTATCTGATTTTTGTCATACGGTTCTAAAAAGGTTCAAATATTACATAGAATTCCTTAGCACCGGTATAGCCTATCCCCTTGCCTGGAATACACCGGAAGAAGTCTCGCCTTACATATCGTATGCATCAATGTTAAGTGACCATGCTGAATTGTCATTAACCCTTTGAGTGCAGCTAAATTGATAAGACTCCTGTTTTACTGGAAGCCTGTATGACTTTGCAAAGCCCAATCCTGCCTAACAGTATCTTTCCAATTCAGCCACGTAAAATGTCCAGGACAATGCCCTGCAGTGTGAATGGACCTGGAGATCTTTCTCACTAAATCTTGAACTGGTGAACTGAAAACACTCACGAATAAAATCTTACCCAGTGTGTGTTGAAGATTTTATTTATTTACTTATTGTTCACCAAATCGACTGGAAAATTAGACAACTCAGAATACATTTTTAAGTGTCCTTTTCAATTACCCATCAACCTTGGTTTAATTTACAGAACGAGTGCCGAGTAGATGGGAACACCGACCAATGCGGACATTACACAATCTCTGCCCAAGAGAACACTCCGGTTTGCAGGTCTGTACTCCTGTCACAAGTTACATAATAAAGAGATATATGGCTATCCCTGCTAAGTGCTGCTCTACAACAAGGAAACATGTTTGTTTTGCTGGTCTCACAGTTGGACAAAATGTGTTGCAATTCTACAACTTCTGCTCTGCCAGATTTGCGAGATAAAACCATATGTATTGTGAGGTTTAACGAACAAAAAAACAAAACAAAACAAGAAAATGTTAACTATTCAAAGAATATATATAAATCTTTACCTTGTTGCCCGTCTAGAAGGGAGGAATTGGTTTGATGGAAGACCAGCTTGATAAATTAAACTAGTACATTTTAGGCAAAATGTGAGTCATTCACTAGCCAAATCAGCTATTAGGGCAAAATGTAATCTGTAATATCCAAGTTGGGAAAAAATCTCTGCTGAATTAAATTATTTTCCCAACCTGGCTATTTTGATTGAAATGTAACCGCGTTATTCAATAAACAATTTTTATCCTATGGGATTTCGGTGTATTATTTTTACAAAGACAAAGTCTTTTTAGCTGTATTATGTGTTTTTTTTCCCCCACTGTATGTGTAAATTCATAATTTAAAAAGGTAAAATGATTTATTCTTGGATGAGATCTGTTGTCACGAGGATGCAGTTGTTCATGGGTAAAAAAATGTAAATGTAATTTTTGATGTAGTAGAAAATGACTGAAGCACTAAACTCTTATTTCGCTCTGGGAATGTGTGTGACACGGTCGGTGCAGGCCATCTGACACCCGGCACTGTCTCACAGCTGATCATGCCGTAGTGATCATACAGCAGGCCCCAAACTCTTACTGCTACTACAGTTACATTACGTGTGGAGGGTCTTTTACTGTGAAAAGAAAACCAATGAGGCAGTCTACAAGCTTTAGTGTGAAGCACGAGGCTCCCTTGAAGGGGTTAAAGCGGCATGTAGCACAAACAGCTCATGCTATTTAAGTAAATTCCCAAACTAAGTCTGTTAATGCTTTACCTATGCTTCTATTGAATAACTACAGGTTAGGGAGAAACTATGGCTTTAGCACAGAATCTCCCTGGATAAATCTATAATTCAGCTAATCATCTGTAAGGCCCTCCTCCTCCTGTCCATGAAGAAAGTCAAAGATGACTTTAGAAGTGTATGTGTGACAGATGATAATTATTTGCCTGTATAAGGTGACATGGTTTAGTAGATAGAATAGAGTTCTACTGCAAATTTAGGATGATTTTTAGAAATCTCTTAACCCTGGGACAGTGCTCTCTGTGAAATACATAGGAAATATGTTTGGTAATAATATTTGAATGGAACCAAACACTGCTTCTCCCAATGCCAAGAGAGGCTGCAGTATAATGTTAGATTCCCCGATTCCAGTCCCTCACGGTTTTTACTATAAGCAGTTGGTAACTCAGAATGTCATATAATCCATGTGGGTGGCAGTGACCTCTCCTCAGCCAATAGGGGGAGAGTGATTAATCAGTGCAGAGGACTTGAATTGGTTTACTGGAGGGAAAAGTAGATGATATAAAAAAGTGAATCTTTGTATCTAATTAAGGGAGCGGCACAATAAGATTACACCGCAAAGTTAATACTTCTTTCTTCTGCAGATGGAGGCATTCAGAATGATCATCCAGAGCCACCATCAGGGTGTGACACAGTGACTGTTGTCCGGGCAAGGCGGTCCAGGGGGACCCAGACTGCTCGGGGAGATAAAGTCTCCCTATGATCTTGTAATTCGCTGCCACCAGGCCAAAAACAAAGTATCTGACAGCTTCGGTACCCACTCTCCCCTCTGCCAGTCCCGGAGTACAATGTGCATATACAGTCATGGGAAAAATAAAGTACACCCTCTTTGATTTCTATGGTTTTACATATCAGGACATAATAACAATCATCTGTTCCTTAGCAGGTCTTAAAATTAGGTAAATACAACCATGTCATGAGTTAACCAAAATAAAGCCAAAATTGAGAAGCAATAAAAACTCAAAGCGGGTGTACTTTCATTTTCTCATGACTAAATATAATATATATATATATAAATAAATATAAATGTGTGTCTGTGGACACTGTAGTATAATGAATAGGGGGCCCCAGGAGATTCCAGAATCAAACTCGGCAGTGTTCTCTCGCTAGCTAGGGCTGTCTGAGTGTTACCGCGGGATGCAGGACATGGGTTTATTTAGGATTTGCTGTATGTCTTAAAAGAGAAATTGTAACTTGCACAAGCAATGCAGCAATCCAGTCTGTCTCTATGTACCTTTATCAGGTCAAAAAATAATCCTTATGGCATGTTATTAGGATTATTCAATAAATCATGAGCTGTCAGGAATTCCAAGTTATTGCAAAGCAAATTTCCATTTTAAGGCCAATATAGCCGGAAAAAAATCATGTTTCCAGTTCGGTTACTTTGACTTAAAATGTGAAACATTAGTCAGTAACCCCTTTCGGTCACAGAATGCTGCATTTCTCAATGTTCTAGCCATGAAGGTCAATGTTACTCTGTTACCATAAAGACACGTAAAGTTGCTTATCCTCAATCCTACACAAAATCAGAATCAGATATTAAATATATTCTGTAATATGTTGTTTCAGCATGATTATTCAGCATGTTGTTTAACACTTTTATACACTAAAACAAAATAAAAACAAACACCTCTACTTTGCTGTAATGATAAACTTAGAAACAACTGTGCATCTGTTCCACTAGTTGGCAGTGTCCCGTGGCTGAAGTTCTAGGTGTCAGTGGACTTTCAGTGACCTTGCTATGTATAGGGGGATTCAATAGAAATGCTCACTTGCCCCAGCAGAGCTTAACATGTGAGAGAATCATTTTACAGAGACAGGAGTGCTGGGTCACAGGTCAAGCCGTAACTTTCCAATTCTGGGATTACTACAGAGAAAGAGTTACAGGATCAGGGCATTAACCCCCAGCTGAGGTGGTAAATCTAAACACAGCAAAGGGAATAGGAAAATGTCAGAATTAAGTGTAAAAACAGAGCTCTTCACTACTCGCTTTACCGATCTACAGGGGAATCTCAGACAATAATTTACTGTAACCTTATTAACTTGGAGCTGACTTTGCAGTTACAAAATGTATAGAATTGATGACCCATATTACATATATTTACATTTTATTATATGAAAATTGGTTTTTAAAGAAGTGAATAAAAGAATTCGTGCCATTGTGCATTTTATATATAATATGCAATATAGTGTGTAAATAAAGAATATGGCTTTTATAAAACCACACACAGAGTTCTAAGATGAATCGTAAGCATTGCCCAGCTAATAATTTAAGTGGAACCGTCGATTTTCTAATTTTGCACTAACTACATTTTTTGGGGAGATTGTATTTTTTTTTTTTTTTATTATTATGTTTGTTTTAATACAAATGGTTTGTTAAATTATTTGGTATAACAGGATGTTGTAGCACAGCCAAACATACAATGTACAGTTATTTACACTCCATGATGTTGTGCATGTGGTCACTGTAAGGGCACATGCAAGCATGCAGACTGCTGTAGTTGTTATGGTGCTTTGAGTGTTCCTTTAATGCTTGCCTAAAGAATCGTGGTGTGGTAATGTCACCCACAACTGGAAGTGTGTCAGAGGGAAGTGTGTTTTATACCCATCTTTAACTGCACTCCTCACCCCAGTATGCACCATTTGTGTTTGATGGGGTGAGGGGCTGAACAACAGTAACTATTAAAGAAGTGAGAGCTGTACTTTAAGCATTTTAGTGCAGCAAGAGGCATTGAATAACCGAAGCAAAGTAGGGGGCAGTGAGCTCAAGAGATCGCTGTGGCTGGACAGGCATAGATAACACTCAGTGGATAGTAGCACCCAAAGGGTATACACTATATGGCATATATACGGAGACTGCACATAGATTCAGAGATTCTTCTTCGCTATGTAAACAGAAGTCGGCTTACATTGTCAGAGAGGCTGTTGAATTTGCTGCCAATATTCGCCAGAGCCTGTGCCACACTCCCAAAAAACATCCAATCTCTAGTTGACAACAGTACCTAATTTTGGCGAGACGGTCCACACCTACACAAATAGCAGGAACGGTTGTTAGTACAGCAATTACAAGAAACAAATTGCAGAAAATGAGAATAAGTGCTTAGTAACAACAGTCTTCACATACTTACAAAATGTCTAGTGAAAAGCATGGAGCCGGTCCTGCACAGAAGGAGTAGACTAATCTAAGGACAATTAGTTTCTGCCTTGAAGACAACACAATCTATTTTTCAGTTCTTGCTACAAGCCAATAAAGGAAGTTTCAGCATTAACTTTCTCAATCACTGTGTAAATGGCAGTTAAAATACATCAAGCCAGCACCAATATTCTAACAAGCTGCCACGAGCCACCCACAGCAGAATACACTACTTTAATTACTGCCCAGCATATTGAACGGACGGATATTTATAGTCTGCAGTTTATCCCGTGGTGATTTCCACAACACAGCTACAGTCTCCCACAGTCCTGAACATTGACCCAGAGAGACACTGGAGGAATTCACAAACAGGTAACAAACAGAGATCACAGCTCACAATACTTTACTACATAAACATCACATCGTATGGTAAACTGGCATTACAGTTAGGGACGAATTTCCAAAAACGGTCAGTGGATTTATCCATCATGTACCAGCTTACTACAAGCAGGCCGAAGTTGGATTTTTCAGCAGGGATGTAATAAAGTAAATGCAATTGATACTGCCTTTTGTCGTACTAAAACCATCGTGATGGGAAGAGACCAGACAGTGTCCCTATGGTACACCTTTCTCAGAATGGGGTTTACAAAAACCAACAATACTTCAAGAAATTTATTGGCTAGTTCTCCCCCTTTACTTAGATGTCTCAGTTTGTTAAAGTAAATTTTTTTAGTGTCCGCCCCCCACTCCCGCTTCTAAAAATAACCGTAAAAACTAGGAATGTGAGACCAGACATCTATGCCATGCTGAATGGAGGTTTGTATTAAGTTATGTGAATGCTTTTATTTGCTAAACACTGTACCTAAGAGAACTGCAAGCTATAAATTCTCCACCATCCCAGTTAAAGGACCACTATAGGCACCCAGACCACTTCAGCTTAATGAGGTGGTCTGGGTGCCTGGTCCAGCTAGGGTTAAAAGCTCCATGCCCGGCGCTGGAGAAAGAGGTAAGTTTAGCCCCTTCCTCTCCATCCAGCCCAGCAGGAGGGGGACCCTGAGTGTGGGGGCACCCTCAGGGCACTATAGTGCCAGGAAAATGAGTTTGTTTTCCTGGCACTATAGTGGTCCTTTAAGTGAAAACCCAAACAAGATTCTCCTAATTAGTTCATGGGGTTTAATAAATATGCTTAAAGAATCATTCCATGCACCATAACCACTACAGCATGGTACAGTTGTTATGGTGTCAAGATTGCCAAGGCGTAAGTAGTCAAATAGAACGGTTTGACTTCTTACCAGGTGTCCGCTACAGCCTACAGAAAGCAGACACTCCCTGCCTGAGCCAAGACCAGGAGTACTGGGCTAAGCCCACTTACCAAGAGCAATCAGCTGATGTTCTCAATCAATAAACTGTACATTAGGGCTTAGCTCAAGACAGCTAGCTGAATAGGCAGTGAACACCTCTTGGTAGACTCCAGGTGAGAAGTCAAACTGTTCTAAAAGGGTGCTGTGGTGGTTATGGTGCTTGGAGTGTTCCTTATGCTGCCCTTTTTGAGGTGGTCCTAAATGCCGGCGGGCGGCATAGAACGCCCCCGCCGTCCTTTGTACTTACCTGGTCCCCTCCGTTCCCAGACCCCCTCTGCACGACCCCCCCCCAGCCATGTGATCGCAGGGTCCTTGCGATCACATGGCCGGAATAACCGGCTTATGCAGTGCCTGCAGGGGGACTATCCTGAGCTCTCAGGCTGTCCCCCTAATGCCTGCAAAAAAAGTTTTTAAAGTTTACAAAAGTTAATAAAAAAAGTTTAATAAAGTAAATAAAAGTACTTGGATCATACATACATAAATATATATGCACAAACACATACATTTTATATGCACAAACACATACATAAACCATTAATAAAAGCCTATATTAATATATATATAAATATTTAAATACACGTAGAATGATGTTAATTTATATATAATAAATTGAAAAAAATGAAAATAAAAAGTATAAAAAATTAAACCAGTTTTAATTTTTTCTAACTGTATTTTGATATTAATATAGATATTAAATTCAAAATACATTTAGAATGACATTATACATATATATATATATATATATATATATATTTAAATTGTACAAATATATTTATATAATCAAGTCATTTTATTAATTACAATTTGAGGGATCTGCCTGACAACCCAGGCTGAAAGTCCAGAGAATTTGGCTTGAAAGCCCTATATTTAACTCTGTAACTTTTTAGGACACCATAAAACCTGTACATGGATGATATTGTCAGTAAAAATACATATTTACCTTAAGGGGTTAAATACAGGTATAAACTTTAACGCCAAATGTGGATTAATCCCAGGACAAAAAATAAATAAAGAATAAATGTGGGTCAGTATCGGAACAGAAGATAACAGAATCTGATAATCCCCAAATGTCTGAAATTAATGAAACCCCAGCCACACTACATTGATTATAGCCATGAATTAATTCTACATTATTTGTAGTTAGACAAGTTATCGTTATTAAAATGTAAAAAAGTGCCAATCCCATTTAAAAAGAAAATATCTATAAACGGAAACCCCCCCATGCAAGAAGAGGGTAAAAACCCAAGATGTAGACCACTCTGGTCCCAATATAAACAAAAATACAATTGCTGTAAATAAACTATGTAACCTACAATGTACTAAGCTACCAAACTCCAATGTAACTACGTTTGCTACCCCACCCCTTATCTTTATTCTGTACCCCAACCTCTTTACAATACTGAAAACCACCAAAATAAAGAATTTACAAAAAGAAAATATCTATATTTTAAGCTGTACTCCCTTTCAGAAAGATAGTTTCACGTTTTCTTTCCTAAATCTTTTCGAGAGGTTCTGAAAAAAAAATATTGGTTTTCAAATGTGACTCTTTTATCATAAACACTTACACTGAAACAAAAATGACATGCAGAGATTTTATCATTAAATTCTGCGTATATTGTGGTTTCAGGGAAAATGAATGTCTCGAGGTGAATGATAAAAGTCACCGGAGCTGCTCAGCTAGAACATTTTCAATGGAGAATATTAAGAGTACGCGGATGGCTCTCAATCTCAGGCTCCGTAATTACTTCTTTGTTTCGTCACACAATCAAGAATCCCATTATAATGTTAATAATTTGCCTCTAAACCTATGAACGGCATATTGCAATAATGTATTCCTGAGATTTCTCTATCCCCCGTTGGTCTGCATCTTCCCATACAGGTCAGTGATGACTAACCTTGATATTTCAGATGATTGGGACCTACATTTCCACAATGCCCATCTGGCTGAGCATTGTGGGTAATGTAACATTTCTGGGTTCTGTTTATTATTAGAGGTCAATCTAAGCACCATAACTACTTTGCACTTTAAGACTACACTGCATCCACTCTCTATTTGAGAGTGGCTTTAACTGCGGTAATTTGTGAAATTCTCTGCAAACTACAAGCCAGGCTGCTGTTAAGGAGCCTTTACGTTCTCTTCGACTGTGTCAATTTTGTACAACTGGTTCATTTGGTGTATGGATAATAGACACACAGCCTGAAACTCTGAAAGTAAGTATATTTATTAATGCATCTTCTGTATAAAGCACTAAAAATAAGGAATGCATATTTGCCAAAAGTTTACATTTAAATATAAAATACCAATAACATAGCTAACAAACTTCTACCCCCTAGGGAATCACATAGTTAGTAAAATGCAGTATAGGTTCAGAATCTGTCCATTTCAGAATAAAGATAGTGTTTTAAAATACATCACAACTACTATGTTTACATTGCAGGGTTAATCAAGCCTCTAGTGGCTGTCTTACGGACAGCCGCTAGACGCACTTCCCCGACGCTCAATGCGAAAATTGCATAGGAAAGCATTGAGAAATGCTTTCCTATGGGTGTTTTTAATGTGCGCGTGGCTCTGGCCGTGCATGTGCATTCAACTCCACTTGGGAGCCGACGTCGCAGGGGGAGGAGAGGTCACCAGCGCAGAGGGAGGGGGGCCCTGAGGGTTGGTGGAATCTAAGGATTACATAGTGCCAGGAAAACGAGTTTCTTTTTCTGACACTATAGTGGTCCTTTAATACTAAACTGCAGCATTAAAGGACCACTATAGTGCCAGGAAAACATACTCGTTTTCCTGGCACTATAGTGCCCTGAGGGTGCCCCCACCCTCAGGGTCCCACTCCTGTCGGGCTCTGGGAGAGGAAAGGGTTAAAACTTACCTTTTTTCCAGCGCCGGGCGGGGAGCTCTCCTCCTCCTCTCCTCTCCGCCTCCGATCCTCCTCTTCAGCTGAATGCGCATGCGCGGCAGGAGCAGCGCAATGCTTTCCTATGGACGCTGGCGTCTTCTCACTGTGATTTCCACAGTGAGAAGCACGCAAACGCCTCTAGCGGCTGTCAATGAGACAGCCACTAGAGGCTTTAGAGGCTGGATTAACCCATTTATAAACCAAGCAGTTTCTCTGAAACTGCTAGGTTTATTTAAAAAAAGGGGTTATTCCTAGAGGGACCTGGCACCCAGACCACTTCATTAAGCTGAAGTGGTTTGGGTGCCTAGAGTGGTCCTTTAATTGCCAGTATACTGTTAAAGAATGTTTCATAATTTGCTATAGACAGATTAAATGGAGATGCATCATGCTGAAATTGTGAATCTCTAAAGCCACACAGGCCACTTCATCTCAATGGTCCTGTCAATTTAACCAGTCAATGTAAAGCATTGGTGTTTTGCAGACGTGGCAATGTTTGCCTTGAAGATTAACACACACCTCCAGTGGCTGTTATGCTTCCACCGCACAGACACAGTAATACTCAAGTGATGCAGAAGCCACCATAGGACAACATTGAGTCAATGCATTCCAAAGTGGGAACTTGAATGTGTGTAGGAGCATTGGGTTGGACCAGGCTGGAGGAGGCCATGTTATGGAGGAGAGGTAAGCAGCACACAAATGGGGACGAGGGGGCTCCATAATTATGGACAGGGACACTAAAGCGTTAGGGTTATACGTTTGCCCAAGAATGCACAGTGAGCTCACAATCTGTATCAGGATCCTGCCCAGTTGGCTCCTCTCTGAAACTGATTATATCAGCCCCAAATGCCTCAACATAGCTCAAGCCGCTCAAGAACGAACAATTCGTAAATTAGAATAAATACGGAGGGTCATCTTACCACAGAGGGACTGGCAAAATCCACCCTGTCAGTCCTTCACAAAATGAGTGGGAGGGTTAAGAATAAAAGCTTTAAATGTTTCTGGCTGAGGGACACTTTTTCTAACATCACGGCATAAAATGAGCAAAATATAGGTGAAAACAGGCTTAATCTAAATGTAGTGACTGCTGGCTGGCGCGGATGCACTCTGTACAATTCAAACAGAAACCTGATTTGTTTAGAATCCGCAAAGCATTGTGCTGGTCTTCCAGTGTATCCCTATTTCTTAGCAGGCACTGGAGCTTACTTTGATAGAATTTATCACAGACCCGGCAGTATAATCACAGATCATGTGAAAAATTCTCTCTAAATGTGTCTGAAATGGGTGAAATCTCTAATACAGCAAATCTCTTTTATAAAGATTCCCTCAGGAGGAGACACATATTTCCTTTCAAAATGAATGCTTTTCACAGACATTACAGTCAAAGAAAGAGCTGCTTTGATCCTTTTATTAACAGAATGTTCTTTATGATGTACAGGGGAATCCACTTCACCTCTTTTTCATACACACAGTAATCCCTTGTCTTAGAATCAGGCATTTCTGACACTGAAACACAAACAAATGAAGGAAAAAAAAATGGAGAGCAGGGCACCGGGAATGTACATGATTTGTGCAGAGAATGAATGGAGAAATGTGCCCCAGCCTCTGGATGGGGAGGGGATGAGCTGTGTTAAATTAAAGGACCACTATAGTGCCAGGAAAACATACTCGTTTTCCTGGCACCATAGTGCCCTGAGGGTGCCCCCACCCTCAGGGTCCCCCTCCCGTCCAGCTCTGGAAAGGGGAAAAGGGTTAAAACTTACCTTTTTCCAACACTGGGCGGGGAGCTCTCCTCCTCCGATCCTCCCCATCGGCTGGCTGCGCGCGCATTCAGCTGGTCGCATAGGAAAGCATTTACAATGCTTTCCTATGGATGCTGGCGTGCTCTCACTGTGAAAATCACAGTGAGAAGCACGCAAGCGCCTCTAGCGGCTGTCAATGAGACAGCCACTAGAGGATTAGGGGGAAGGCTTAACCCATTCATAAACATAGCAGTTTCTCTGAAACTGCTATGTTTATAAAAGAATGGGTTAACCCTAGCTGGACCTGGCACCCAGACCACTTCATTAAGCTGAAGTGGTCTGGGTGCCTAGAGTGGTCCTTTAAGCAGGTATATGATGCAGACAGATCTCCAGGTTTTGGCCTTTGATATACTGTTACAATGCGAGAGATGGGATATATCACACAGAGCAGGCTTTATCAAAGTCCTTTCCTTGACAAATGGTGGCCCCTTTATAAAAATGTATTAAGAATTTGCTCATACACATTGGATTATAGGGCATGCAGTTTTCCATCAAATACAATTCATGGGGGAAAAATGTTTAAAACCTCTTCACCAATGCACAGCTTTAAAGGGGTTAAAACAAAAAAAACTTTTTTTTGGGGGGATGGAGAGGGGAGGGAGGTGATAGGGGGCATTTAAAAAATTGCTACATTATATTAGCTGCTAAACTAATTTATGCATTTACTGTACACTCTCCTTTACCTACATCTCTAATCTGTTCTGGACAGTGTCTGATCAGAGGATTTTAACTTGCAAGCCTTGTGGACAACTCATGGGCCAATCATTTATACCAAAAAGCCCACAGCAGTCATACCAGCACTAATGTGTCTTTAAACTACAATACATGTGCTTAACAATCTGTCTGTGTAAATAAGACACATCATTGTGATATTTCTCTGGAAATCAACATTTTTATAAAAAATGCAACTTCTGGATCAGAGAAATTACCCTTGTAGCACAACTAGGGATATTCACTAAGGTGAGAATTCAAAGTGAATCAAATTTAGAGTCAAAATAGCCAAACTGGAAAAAGTCAGCTATGCATTTTACTTTGGCTATTCAGGCCTTAAACCCAAAATTCACTTTAGTAAATAATCCAGAGAGTTTTCTTTTAAACAACACACGCTAGAGATCATGCTTTGAATGACACCTTGACAGCACAGCAGTGAGTAAAGGATATTACAACACTCCAGAAGAGGGAGGATATGAGTACAGTAGTTAATGTATCTTAAACCATCGAAATATGGCGGGTTTAATTGCTGTTACAGTTTCAAGATCATCTACAATCCCTAGTGACTGATAAACCCTAGGATGGTGAGTGCACCTAGCCCAAAGAACCAAGATTGCAATTTATAGAGTCACAAACACGGACTGTCGCCCATTTTCCTCTGATGCACTAGTGACACTGTGTGAAACCTCCTTTATTAGAGCCAGGCTGGTTTTCATTTGCTGGAATTTATGGGATTTAAATGGGACACATCAGTGTGAAATACGACACACAAACTGACACAAGGCTCTACATACTTACTCTGTAAATGAGTTCATACTTAACCATTATTAACATTAAAATCTACCTGTAGTGAAGAATAAATAATTGCTACGCACACAGTTTTAGTAAATCGGAAACAACTATCACTCTCCAAAATGTATTGGAATCTCCGCTTACTAAATATATACACTGATGGGTCCAGAATTACAAAAAACAAAACAAATTGTACTACTAACGCTAGTGTCCCTGTCCCTAGCGCTACATAGGACCCCTCCCTCTCTCATTAGGATAGTCCAGTACATGTAGCCTATCAATGTCATTCATGTTTGATAAAATTTACTAGGCAAGAATGTCCACAAGTGGTTTTCTAGTTTGTCGGACTTCAACTCCCAGATTTCTAAGCCTGCTTCTGGGGCTGCAATTCTTAATCCTTTGTTAATTAAATAAAGGGTAACGATGGTAATCAGTAAAACAGCATTTTAATCTATGAAGATTGGAAGCATTACATTACACAGCAAGTCTTGGAATGCATGATAAAGGCCTGCCCTGTCTACAGAGTGCTTTCTGTAATCGCTCACTCTTAACTGCAAAAAAACCTGATCAAGGGAATTTTGGCCCCAAAAGATAACTTGCAAATATAAAAAGAAAGCTTTGCAAACCAGTTCTGAGTCAGAGAAATATGCTTCCAGCCACGGATTGCAACGTTGTGATAAAACATTGTTCACCTGGGGCCATTTTATTGAAATTGAGTCCTGTATTTGACCTTGTGGTGATATACGACAATACTCTGCATTACACAAAAGTTAGCTTTTGTAAAATATTTTCTCATGTTTCTCTATATCAAGAAGACATCTGGATGCAAATGATTTCTGATACCTAAAGGCTTGCATAGATATGCCAAAAAGTCATACAATCAGAATGATCATATAATAACCCAAAGATCAAATTGTATTGGATGTGAACATTTTAAACAAAGTGGGTTTTATGTTTTAATTTAATTTTAAATATGGGGGAAAAAAAGAATTAAAATAACAAGCCTAGTCCCACAGAGGCCCTTATTGAAAATCACATCATTTCATAGTAAGAGAAACGAACATAGAGTCAAAATTTGAGAAATACTAAATACCTTGTCTATTAACACATTTCAGGTCACATAGGTTTATGAGACATGCGTTCCAGCAGTCGGCCACAGTTCCATTAGTGAGCTACAATAAATAGAGCTCCTGCCTAAGCTTCACAGAAGATATGGTTTCATTCTCATCTAGTGCTTAAAGGAGTACTATAGTGCCAGGAAAACACTCATTTTCCTGGCACTACATGGTTATTAAGGAATGCTATCTCATCAAAGGCAGTTTGTCTTACTGCTCCTTTAAGCCTGTGACCACATGCACAACAGATGTGTGAGAATGTATGTAATAACGATCGCTGTACAAATACCTCAGTCACGGGACTGTTAAAATGTAATGCTAAAATGGGTGCAAAAAATGTATAACTTAGACCACCGTCACTTGTGTTAAATATTCTGAGAAATTCTGGAATGTAGAGAAATGTAATTAAGGCAATTAGCACCAATATCGGTAAATATTATTCTCTCTAAGCCCTGCTCACCGTTTAACAGCTTGTAAAATATTCAAATAAAACATTATTACAAAATATATTTAAAAAGTATTTCTGTAGAGGTTATGAGTCATCAGATTGATGCCAGGGCAGGCCTTGGGGGTATCGGAGACTCGGAGAGTGCTGCCACAGAGCCCAGAGTGCTGCAGTGAGACACTCTGCTGTCACAGTTTGAGGCACTGAGCAGTTACTTGTACTGTCGTATGAACAGTGTGAGTAAAGCTGAGAGGCAAAGGCACACTATAACGTTTTGCCTGGCTCTCCCAATACACACATTGTACCTTACTGTTCTCTGCAGATATGTTCCAACACTGAAGGGAAGGAACAGCCAGGGCTACCATCCATCATGAAGATCGGTAATGCTACAAAAGGTAAGGAAACATATTGAAAGAGTTGGGGACAGAAAGATCCATGTAAAGGAGGTATGGGGGAGGGACAGGAAGAGCCATGTAAAGGAGGTGGGGGGGGGGGATAAAGAGACATGTACAGGATTTGGGGGAGGTAGGGGTGATAGAAAGAGACATGCAAAGGAGGTGGGAGACAGGAAGAGCCACATAATATCAAATGATAATGAGAAATAAGTTGGCAATGCCAGTCCTACATTTCATAGAGGGGGTTCATGGGCCTGAGGCCTGCCTTGACTCCAACATTAAAGAGTTAGCAGGATTGGACCATGTGCTGTGAGAGTCTCACTGACTATTGTTCAAGCAAGTGTAACGGACTGTTATGATTGCTCAGTTGTCAATTTGTGTTTACTTTCTTCTATCAATGTCAATAAACTTGGATTGACAAAAACAAACAAACATAGTGTAGATTCTGAATTAAACCTCCAACTCTCAAGGATGTAGACAAGAATTTGGAGTTTATATATCCTGTAAATCCAGAATGGGAGAATATCCTGCCTGCACAGGAGGTGTTAAATGACACAGCAGCACAGCAAGGTGCGACGCCAGCAGCCCAAATGCAGATAAAGTTGTCAGACTGAAGAAGAGCACAGAATGATTAGAACTCAGTTCTATACATTGATTTCAGGGACAGCAGCGTTCTGCATAGTCAGCAGAGATGGGTGATGACAATGGGACATGTTTTACCACATTAATCTGCCAGAGATATCTCAGCTATGGGGACTCAAGCATTTAACCCTTGGACTTCTGATGGTGTGACAAGACATATCCCTCTGCCTATCCAACAGATATTTGCAGTCACCTGTAAGAGACCATACTCTGACATCACAGTCACCTTGAGTATTCCTACTGAACACCATCATCAAGGATGACCAGCTCTAGAACACACATATATCTATTAAAGTAACATTCAGTGGTTATGGTGCCAGGAGTGCATTCCAGATGATCCAAATATTAGACCAGAGTGTAAATAGAAGGTCATATATCCTAAACAGTCATCACAGGCACATTTACAATTAATTAAAGTATTAATCTATGACGGAAACACTTTCATCTACAACTCAATGTTTTTCCTTAGTACATTCACAGTTCTCTGCACTTATTCTCCTCGTAAAATGAGGTTTTATGGATGTGCATTGTACTGTAAACACCCAATGTTTATAGGGGATTCTATGCTCAACCATCATTATATTGCCGGATCATTAACCATTCCGACCCAGATAGGAACCAGACCTTAGTTTAACCCTTCCCTGCCTAGTGGATTCCAATGAAATCTGGCTTTAATATCAGTGTTTTATATATGATCCTGTTATTGAATCAAGCATACAGCTCCGATGTGAAAACTATATTTTTGTCAATGAGAAAAAAAAAAGTATGTCATTTTGTCGAAAAAGACATTTAGATGCAAATTACCTTATCTGCTTCTCGAAAGTTGTGCTGTGGTTCCTAAGGGGACAATTCATGAAAGAGCATTCAATAGTTCTAGATCTTACTTTGGCATAAATTTAACAGGCAACTACCGGGTTGCATTCTTGTTGTTTAGAAGTCTTTCTGTTCGTCTTATTAAAAGGATGACTATCGTAGAAGGAGAAAACGAACACAAAGAACCAAAATAACTTTTACTACCAGTGAATGGATAAATGTCTAGCACTCCGAGGGTTAAATTTAACGTCACAAGCTTACTCCTTCCACCCTGGGAAGTATAAAGTAGTCGCCTCTTACATTAACACTTTAATTGTCAGATCTATCAACACCACAATCAGCTGCTGGTCCCATGGCATTCCCAGAGTTAATGGAAACCACAATCCTACTTTCTTTATGATGCACTGGATCCTGAAAGTGAAACCAAATTCCAACCATATCGGTGTCTGAAATCATTCTGCACATCACCACTTGGCAATACCTATCACAGACATAAACCCCAGAATGTGCCAGATTTCACTTTGAGACAATATGTGACTAGGTAAGGCCCTGACTGCTTAATATCACAGCTATACAGTGCAAGACATACTGCTAGTATTCAGAGCTGGACTACCCTAAGACAGAGGTTTTTGATTAAGTGATCATATCTGCATACAAATACTTTTTGTCACATTCCAAATAGCTTTGGTGATTTCTTGCTGTTGCATGGCATTCCTGGAACCAGCATACAATGCCATAAAACAGTGTTGGCTAACCTTTGGCACTTTAGTTGCTGTAAACTATACTTCCCATGATGCTTAGCCAGTCACTTTAACAGCTAGTGTGCTGAAAAGAGAAGAACTTCATTATGACAGCTGGAAAAAAGTTCACTAAAGTTTAGAAGCCACAGAAGAACTTTCCTAACCCACAGGGCCGGCCTTCGTGCTTCGGATGATGAGTGGAAGAAGGGTGCTCCCACTATGCTCACCTCCCTCCTTTCTATAAATAAGGAGCCCTTGATCTCCAATCTCTACCTGGTATCTCAAGAGACACTGAATGCATTTTACACATAAAACTGACCTTAAAGGGGCAGTCCAAGCACGGAAATAACTATTTTAATGAAGTGATTTGGGTGCATAGGAGCTGCTGTACAGGTTTCCAAGCCTAATAGAGGCTGTTAGATAGAAATCCACTAGAGTTTCCGGACTGAACGAGATATAATTATCAAGTTAATTTGACGCCTGGCAGCAGCATGCATAGCGTGAGAAGTACTGGATTTAATGCTTCTCATAGAAAAGCACTGGATTGGAAAATTGCAGCAATTGTCACGCATGTGCAGTGTGTCCTTAATGTCTCTCTATGAGAACCATCTGACTGCACAAAGTCATTAAGCTCAATGACTGTAATATTGTGAAACACATAGATTTGTGCCTTGACTACTTCTTCCTTTATGTCTCTATCTCAGCTACTGCTTGCTTACCAATCTATATTGATGAGATTCGATAATGGCAGTCATGTAGTGGGGGTTTTGCTGACAGAGTATTTCCCTGCTACCCAAAGGTTACTCTAACCACCGGACCCCACTGTAGTGGTTATGATGCTAGGAGTACCCTGGTGCCATTCCTCGGTAATGGGACAGACTGTCTTACAATGGGTTACCCTCTTTTCTGGGTCCCGTCGGGCTTACGACATCCAATCCTGCCGCTTATTCATTGGCTGGGAGTGTCCGCTGATAAACTCTTGTTCTAAGTTGGCTAATAATGCTGCTGGAGGTGAAGTACACCTCTGGTGGCAAAAGGGTTAAAATGAGTATGTGCAGCGTGTTATAACAAAATCCCTCATTCTAAGGCCACATGCAGTGCAAAGGACCAGAGATGCTGAGTACGGAGTACGTAAATGTTTACAAGTCACACAGAGTGCATCTGTGATAGCTACTGCCCTCTCAGCCTTGCTAAGGCACTTCTTTCTGTCTAAGTGAGGGGTTTTAGGGTTGAACACTGAGCAGTATTAGCTATTCTCACCGGAACTACCTGCATTAACTCTGCCACAGCTGGTGCATTTGCAAAGAGCACACACCGGACAGCATTGGTAGATCACTCAAAATGTGTGAAGAACGAGAGAGAGAAAACCTGATTGTTCTACTCATCGGCTAGATCTTCATACCAGTCACGGGAGTTTGGGCTGGTAATGTCCAACCCTGCTCACATAAACACACACTTTTACCTACAGATTTATTATACACATTATGAAAGTGATTCTGATGTTTTAACAGCCTGTATGGAGGCTTTAGTTTTGAATAACCTGTTTGTTTTAACATTTTGGCAAACGGCTTGCATGTATAGTCTACGAATGCTGTATCAAAAAAGACGGTATGCAAGCCATATCTCACAGGTCTCTCTGTGCTAATTTCATCCCCCATGCTGTTTTCTTTGATCATGAGATAACTGATCTCCTGTATCCTGCCCTGACATGTAATAGCCTTCAGAACTGCTGTCAATATTGATCTGTCAATCTTTTCTGTTTGATGTGTAAGGTTCAGGCCCTTATGATTTACCCCTTAGTTACTCAAACTGCAACATAAAAGTACAATGTACATTTCAGCCTAGGTTCTGGACACTATAACCCCTGTGGGTTAACAAACCTTTTACTAAACAGAGCCAGCTTTTTTAGCATAACAATTCACATAGGTGTGCACCAGTTAAAAAAAAAAAAAACAACAAAAAAAAAACCTAGCAAACTTACACCAAACTTAAATGCCCCCATTGAGATTCTGCAGTAACACACTAATTCTGGTAGAGTGCCAGTTTTGTGCAGCAACACAATACAGTTCTTGTACCTGATAAAAGGCTTGTGCAACGAAGCCAAAAGTCTTAAACCATCTCAAAATCTCTTGAAAGAAGCATTTTGCTGGCTTCAGATCAATGCTGCTCTCTCCTTGCCTAAACAGCCTCTGCGATCTATTTACATCTCCTTGAAACAGACAGATACTAATACAGAGATAGTCTCTCCTCCCTACCTGTGTGGTGATCGTTCAGTATGGATAAGATAATTATATACATTTTAGTGTTACCCAACCTATGTATGCCCCCCTGAGATCATCAATCTTAATGCTCTCAGTCAATCCTATAATTCCCTTTAGAGAAGCATTGAGAGGCTAGCGGCAGCAAACGTGCTGCACCAATCAACCATTTCCTATGAGAAGCACTTAATTGTATAACTGAGTCAACCAGGAAGACAATCACTAGAGGTCTGTTAAACCTGCAATGAAAACACTTGCCTTTTCTACAAAACAACAAAGTTTACATTGCAAGGTTAAAATAACAGGGGTACTGCATTAAGATGACGTGGTCTGAATGCCTTTAGTGTCCCTTTAAATAAACCCCACAGTTAAATGTGTCAAGCACAACACTGCAAAACCAGAGAATTTATAACACTGAATAAAACATTAAAAATCACCTATAACTCGTGCTAACATTTTTCTCAAGTGATGCCCAGTTTTCTTTTACATGTACATTAAAGATATAACAAATGACCTAAGAATCCAGTTTAGTCCAGGCAGAGTCAGGGCAGACAATGCAAATGAGGGGAACAGAACCACTGTTTGTTTATTCTCTTCCAATAACTATAAATGGCAAAAAAGTGCAAAATGCATTGAAGTGATTGACCAGAAACCAAGATGGAGGCACCCACTTCTAGGATAAAGATAAATACAAAAGTGGATACCTACATTTTATTTTTGTTTTCTTTTAGACCTTACACAAATGTAGTTGCTCATTATAGGGGGAAAGGAAAAAACATGTTAAAAAATCCTGGTAAGTGACCACTCCCTTTAAGGGCAAGACAGAATATTGCATGAGGTCTGTCATGGGGAAATTAGGACAGAATAAGGAAATGAAGGATAAACCATTTATGGGCTGACCTTACTGTGTTCCTATACCTCATATTTCTTTAACAGTGTGGCTAGACAGTAAATTTGTCATTAAGAAAATGTAATTGGCCGGCTTGTGTTCCTGCTGAGCTTTGGGTTCTTTACCTATTTACGACCATGAGACAAGGGGGGGGATTTTTAGCTGTGGCACGGACGGCAGTTTCCTATGGTTGTTTACAGTGTGAGAAAATGAGAACAATTGCTGTGGAAGACGGTTGTCATTCGGCCAGCTTTCTGTTAGTCTGTGGAGACATTCTGATCCTTGTGTTTCCTCAATGCCTACCGATTAATCAGAAAACGAGGCATGTTTTATGATCCTAAAATAGGGCAGTGAGATTAACTTGTGAGCTGCCAAAATGCTGTGCAGCTCCAAAAGCAAAATCCCAACCCTTGCGGGGTATTATGTGGGAGAAGTGCTAGATATCCCTACGGTGTAGCTTTTTAAAGGGAAAATCCATGTATATTTTATGTGAGAGAGTAGCAACGTGTAAAAAGAAGAAATTTAAATAGAAGAAGTACAATATCAGATGAGAAAAACAAATACAGGTTGGGCAATTCATACCATTATCACATTGCTGACCAAAAGACAGAACCCCTCAGCTAAAGGGGCTATCAGTGCATCTCCTTAATGCAGTTTAGATCAGAGGGAGCAAGTCCCTCGATTCTCCATAGCACAGAAAATAAAACTGAAAAGGTTTATCTGCTAAACTAAAATAGCAACAGCTTTCAGAAAATATACGGTCATACCAGATAAAACAAATGTTTATTGCAAAGACTAAAAAAAGACGGGCATTCTCACTTTACACTACACTTAATTCTATTCCATCTCAGCACAGTCGTGTAGGAGAAGACATCCAGTAAATCTATACATTGGAGGGGGAAGGGTTAAAACCATCTTTACAAATGGTCACTATTCCGGTTGAGATAGAGGTTATTTGGATAACCCTGCAAGTAAAACACAGTGGAGCTCACTTGTTATTTACTATCCCCTCTTTTTTGTCTGTTTTCTTACAAAGATGCAAATGATGTGCTCCCATGGAGAAAGGTAGGGATCACTCATTTAGGGTACATTGCTTGTCCCTTCAAACTCACTATACTACTCTTTACAAAGTCAATCAGATGCTTCTCCCAGACCAGCACTGGAACACAGAAACGGTTATATAATAAACTAGAGGGAACACATAATTAACCCTTAAAGAACTTGGTGCTTTTGGGGGGCTGGAGTGTCTCTTGAACAGTTCAACTGTATTCAAACTTTTGACACTTACCTGAGTCACTTTGGTCCCTGCGGTCGTGCCCCCTCTTCACAGATATCAATAAAGAGATCCTAATTCTGCATTACCAAAATCAATTCTTGGGCAACGGACTATTGTGGGGCTGTCGATGCTTAAAGGACCACTATAGTGCCAGGAAAACAACAGTGCCCTGTGAAAATCACAGTGAGAATCACGCAAGCGCCTCTAGTGGCTGTCAATGAGACAGCCACTAGAGGATTAGGGGGAAGGCTTAACCCATTCATAAATATAGCAGTTTCTCTGAAACTGCTATGTTTATAAAAAAAATGGGTTAACCCTAGCTGGACCAGGCACCCAGACCACTTCATTAAGCTGAAGTGGTCTGGGTGCCTAGAGTGGTCCTTTAATAGCAAACTGACATTTCCCATGATTTTTAATAATATGTTTTCTTTCACCCTATATTTAACAAATGTATTGGTGAGGTGTGAAAATTTATAGAAAATAGAAGTCAATCATTGTAGCCCTTTCCATCTCCACTTGCAATGTGCACACTGGCAGCGCCAAGACTTAACTGGATTGCCATTTGCGAAAATCTTAAAATTAAAAATTAAAAGAAAAACAGAACTTCACATAAAGGTTAACACAAAATCTAGGTTTGTCATGTAGATCACAAATTAGAGAAATATAAACAAACAGATGCCCAAATGTCTCTCTCCGAGCAAGTTTTACATAGGGTTTTAATATATAGCCAGCAAAACGACATTATATAACAAACAGAGCTAAACAGTGCGTATATATAGGTGAGCCGGAAACCAACTTGCAAAAAGCAGGACAAATGCAATAGATTCCAAGATTACTTCCAAACTATCCTTCCTAAGAAACACTAACTGCAATCATTACACTGATGATTTACTGATGATTTATCACGCTACAGTTATTCTTAGGGGATTATTCACTAAACATTGATCTGTACTGAATTGAAAAGCAACCTGCAAACTTCAGGTAAAAAATGTGCCATAGCCTAGCTACTTTAGCCTAAAGGTGACGTTACATTTTTAGTGAACATGCCAGTTACTGTGTGCATGGACTTTGAAATAATGTCAACAACTTTTCAATACTCCTAAGCAGAACTCCATCTTTAAAACTTGTGGTTCAGTGTCACGTGACCTGTCAAGTGATTCCCAACTCTGAGAACGCTGCGGGCTTCTCTATGCAACACAATAGGAAGATAGGTTGGGCAGGGGGAGACCTTTCACCATATCATATTAGAAATTTGACACACAGGATACAGTGCGCTTTCAGCTACGACAAACTCAATTTTTACTTAAAAAAAAGACGGTTACCAATGGTCTTGCAACATGCAAATAAATATATATAAAAAAAATTATAATAAAGTTCAGAGAGATTTTGGAAACAATACCATAAAGCGCAGAATATCCTCTCCTCCCTGGAAGTGGAGGGGTTACTTACGCAGCACTGTGGAAAGCATGGATTGCACATCTCACTGCTGGGGTCAGCGCTCTGAGAGCTGGAACGTGTAGCTCGGCAGCCAAGCTGGATGTGGGACTCTGCTCCAGCTCACCTTCTGCTTTACACATTGCTCTGCCCAGACGCCTCCATGCACCCAGCGCAGGAGGAATGTAAGCAGAACTGTGTGTCAGGTCAATGACCCTGAACATTTAACTGGAAGTGTATGCATATCCTAACATATACATGTCAGCGCTACATACACGTCAATGCTCTATTAACACCTACACTGCCTAGAGAAGAACACTCTGAATTATCTGAAATACAATTCTGTTTAAATGCTAAACCCTGCATTGTCCAAGCTATTTGGGGCATGCCTGAAGGCAAGAACAATCTTTACTTATTCTTCTTAGTTAAACACTTTTTAAATTAAATTAAAAAAAAAAAACACAACCAAGTTATGACGCCTGTTCTACCTGAAAATGGCATAACACTTGGCTTGTCAGAGGGGTTCAATTTAATTATTTGCAAAAAATTAAATTTTGCTAAAAATCATTAATTGGGTGATATGGTTTGTTCTAATAAAAAATAAATTTGACTTTAAAAAAAATTATCAAAAATCCACTGAATAAACTATGTATTAAAGGGACACTCAAAGCATGACACCCATCCCAGCTCTCTCAGACGGTCATTGCTGCCTAAAGAAGGACTGGGTAATGTGGAAGTTTAGTTCACTGTTAGCCAAGTGGCAAGCAAAGTAGTTTAAACACCTGGAAAGCCTCAGTTTTTGCCAATAATCACTAAACAGGGCTGACAGCGCACACAGACTCTTTGAACCATAAATAATAAAATAAGCTGTAGTGGTTATGGTGCGTACAGTGCCCCCAAGTGTTTTTGTTTTGTAGATCGCAACTATACAGTACAGTATTTTCATTCAATTAAGTATCCCCCTTAAATTCACAACTAAAAAAACATTAATATGGCAGGTTCTTACAGAGGTCAAGGATGAATTGAACTTAAAAAAACCATAAGACTTTGATGGGCATACCTTAAAAACAGGTGAGTAAACCAGTCTCTTTCTTATTAATTGGTTACTTTTTAAAATCCACAAACACCATTGTCCATATGACATGACTGACGGAAATAACAATGGACTGTGGGCCTTTTAACATATAACAAACCATTACGGTACATGGAGGAGACAGTAAACAGAGAAGTATTTTTACAGCTCTGTACATGACCCCAATAAAAGAGGTCAACGTGTTGCTCTGTGTTACTGATGTGTTTTTTTTTTCTTTAATTTTGAATGAAATAAGGGTTAATATTTATACCCTAACTACCTTCCTCAAAGCCCCAGGACGATAATCAGGACACATTTTTATGGACGTCACTATGTTAGGATGGGTTGAGAGTGGACGTTGTGTGTGCCACAATACCATCATATAAAGACGCTTAAAATGTTTGTTTTTAACATGTTATGATTTAGTACATTATTTATTTCCTGTTGTTAAAAGGGCCAGACTTTATAACTGGGAATAGGTTGGGAAGCAGCCACAGAAACCTCATGGATCTTTGTCTCATTGATATGTGAGTGCACATCCATTTCAAGCTATTTTGTAAACATCACAAAATACCTGGACTTTTTCATTTTTTTTTTAACACTTATCTTTTTTAGGTTCACCTATGACCGAAAGAGGAGAACAAAATGTAAGTGTCCGCTAACAGAAAATTCTATTCTGTTACTGACCAACCAGTGTACTTCACTTAGATTTCCTTTAACTCTGAAATAACATGCAATCTTTGATGTATGGATATTATTTTCATGGCAATGGTGAAGGAATTCATTAGCTCATCTAAAATACAAAAGCATAAAATCTCCTCAATGTAAAACCTACACAGCAGCCAACTGCACACTTGTTTCCATAATCAACTATTCCAAATTCCATTAATATGGCACCGCTCTGTGTGAGCAAAATGGAAGCCTATCCCCACCAGAAACCAATTGAAAAAAGGCTAAGAAACATGGAGTCTCTATAAAAAAAGGTTGAATCAAAGTTCTTCAAACTTTATGGTTTTGTTTCCTTCCTTTTTCTTAATGCAATTCCAAAGTGGAGATCCAAACCTTGAGAGCGACTTATTGCAAACTATGCAGGAGATTTGTGACAGGACGTTAAAACTTCATGTCAGGCCTTTCATGCAAACAATAAATATTACTTCTGCTCATAATCAGACTTTTCCCCGGCTTCGTCTTTGAATGTTGAACCTTTTTCAATTAATTAAAAACTATGCACTGCAGAGTGCATATTTTATCAGCTTTCAGCTGCTTAAGTGTCTAGAACAGACCAGGCAGTTTTTCTTTTTACTAATTTTTTTTTTCCAGGCAACCCAGAGCAAGTACTTGCAAGGGTCATATCTTTTTAATTATCTTTTCTCTCTTTGATTAATTATTCCGTCTGACAATAGCGGGCTTCCAATGCTATTCACCTGCCTCTGATGATTGACAACGTTTCTGTCTGATTCAAAGCAAGCAGCTGCTGCCATGATTGCCTAGCAACCAGGCCATGATGGATGAACCCCAAAGATGGATAGCTACAATAAATCATGTCTCCTGCTATAAAACTGGGGGGAGAATAAGATGAAACAAAAACAAAACAAGATTTTTTTTCTTCTCATGAGTACAGCTCCCTCCCAATTATACCTGAAATGGACTTTGTTCTTGACAAACTTAACCGTGTAGAATTAAATCAAAATGTCAAAGGACTGGCCTGGGTGCCATTGAAATGTTACCTCTGTCTGATGATGCTGAAAAAAAAAAAGAAACGTCACACCAGGTAATGTAAGACACCAAGGGCCATCATGGTCAGTTCCAAAAACGAAACAAAATAGTTTGTATGTCAAAAAAGGAGTGAAATTATAACACAACCAAATCTAAAACCCAGAAAAGTGTAAGTTAAAAATCTGGATCCTGGATCAAAGTGTTTGGAACCAGAGTTTCTAAAGAGAAAAAGTAATGGAGGGGGGTCTGAGAGCACGCTGCACCTGTCCTGCAAAACAGGACCAAAATGACGGGTCTGACACTCTTCCAAGCTCTTTCTATTTGACATGTAAACCTTACACCATGATATTTGTCTTGTCAGTTGCATGGCAACACTAGAAGTAAATTGGACGATAATTGACTAAGCAAATATGAAATCCTGGTCTTTGCCATAGGGTTGGTGGAATTTAGAAGAGAACGGTGTGGTCAGACATACAGAAATGTTGTCTCATCACAAACCGCTTTGCAAAATCTCTGATATTTATAGTTTGTTTTTTTTCCTTTTAATTCTTCAATGCACCAAAACCAAGTTCTAAGTAGTTGGTTCTGGATCTGTCTGATAGGACGTTTTATTAAATTTGAAAAATAGTTTCAAGGTACAAAAGCTGGGCCTTTGGGCAGAGCTGTTCCTTAATGGCAGCTGTTGGAATGTCTAAAGCTAAATAAACATGAGAATTGGATTCACAGCCTTGTTTCCAGTGTTATACAAAATGCCAGAGGAGGAATATGCTATAATGCTCATTGTTATGTCATTACTCTACAGACAGAGTGGAGTCAGATACATTATAAAGTAAGGAGTCTGCAGACAAGATCTAAAACATTTTTTTTTTATTATTGTTTTAATTTTTTTGTCTGAAATACTCCAACACTAGCAATCAAATGAGGATTCCTAGCTTTTACTGAAATAAAATGTACGTTGAATGTAAATGTTCTTAAAAAATAAATACATGTCTCAAATGTTGCAATACATGGTTGTAGCGGAAACAAAGGTTTTGGTTAAACTGAAATATGAAATAGCAAACAGTAAAAGACATAAATTAGGATCTGGGGCATGCAGGTTAAACTGAGTGCGTAGGTATGCCCCAGTGTTATTTAAAGAAGCAGTTCAGGAAATTATGAGGTTTATAGCCAAATATTTGATCTGACGCCACACTAAAATGTGTGCTCTTTGCCCCTATTAGTGATTCTTAGAACAACCATGATGTCACATGTTTTGCAAAAACTTCACTGCATGTAACTTGCACAGCCTTCCTAAACACTTCCTGTAAGGAGAGATCTAATGTTTAAACTTCCTTTATTACACAATCTGTTGAATTTAGAATTTATTTTTATCTCCTGCACTTTTAATAGCCTTCTACACCATGTAGGAGCCTTGTGTGTGTGTGTGTGTGATTTAAATTTAATTTACAAAACAGGAGATAACTTCTAAACTAAGTCTAACCACCCCCTCCTTGACATCAGGAGGATCACTAGGTGGGTATGTCAATTAGCCCCCTACTCGCTCTCTTTCTCACCAAATCAGCCATCTGTGCCAAGAATTCTCTCAAGGCCTCACAGCCTGCACAGGTTACAGTGTATCTCTACACTCCTAGACTTCATGGAAACACCACAGAGTGGCCTCAAATCCATCTGGAAAAATCCCAAAGGGTATTTGCACCCTGTATTACATAAGAGGCCTGGCATTAGTAGACACTTTTAGGGAACTTAATAGATGGGTGAAAAGTGAAACAAAACTTGCATTATTCCAGAATACAAATCAGAAAAAAATAAAATTAAAGGGATTATTTTTTTTTTTTGTTATCACTACCCATTTATGTATGGGATATATTGATATCAAGGAAATAGTCAAATATTATTTTACCCCTCCTCTTTATATTTTGATTACTGACACTGTTTGTTTTAAATGACAATTCGCTTTACACTATTTAGTTTTAACGCATATACATTCATCTAGATTATAAACACATTTGAGGATGACCCTCATTACAACTTTTATCCTGTTATTATTTGTGATAAATACAAACAAATGGTGAGCCGCGCTTAGTAATTAAAAAGGATTACATCTATTGTAAGGGATAAACATAACAAATAAAAGACAAACTATCACAAATGATGGTACAAAATATGTATATAGTGTTCTCTTATGACAAATAGCGGCAGTCCACCTAAAAGGAGTAACCACACCTTGTAAATACCAAGCAGATAAATACAAACAAATGGTGAGCCGCGCTTCGTAATTAAAAAGGATTATACATACAATCAACGGAGGAGGATAATTGTGAGACTTATCTTTAACAAAGAAATGTACAATAGTATAATACTGTAAGAAATGCAGTAGATATAAAGACAGTGCCAATAGAACACGCACACTTTTCAGAGCTTCAATTAGCTCTAATATTGCACGCCAGGACGGAAGAATCCCCGTCCAAGGATATGATGTCAGATATCTTGAGCAGCAGTCAGTAATGTATGTGGAGGGAAGCACAGATAGGAAAACCAATGGTGTAGTCCAATTATAAAATGAACATACTATACAGGTAAGTATTCTACTTACAATTTCCAGAGCATGAACCTGCTCTGGTATGGAGCACTTGGGTGGAATGATCTCCACCTATGGATTTAATGGATATCCAGAGAGCCAACTGAGAAAAAAAAATCCAAAGGGCTGGATACTTACTTAAAAAAAAAGTACTTTATTAAAACAATAAAAGTGATTTAAAAAATGGGTACTAACAAAATAAACTATAAATGTATACCAGTCCACAGTGGAATTGAAAGTCCAGAAACCTCAATTGACCAGTTTCGCCGTAGCTTTCTCAAAAGTGAATAATGTCCAGCTTCAAAAGTTATGTTTTTATATGGGCTTTTATCAATGTGATTGCGATCAGCTGTGTGGTGAAGTCACTTCCGGGTGGGTGGGACTAAGTCGCACAGGAAGTAACATATCATGCGATCTCCACAGGCTCCCATTATAAGTCATTAAAGGATCACTAGTGTGTCAGGAAAACAAACTCGTTTTCCTGGCACTATAGGATCATTAGGTCACCCCCACGCTCAGGGCCCCCCTTCAGCCACTTATCTTAATCCAGCACCAGGTTCCCTCAGTGCTGGTGACCTCTCCTCCTCCTGCTGACGTCAGATCCGCATTCAAACCGCCCATAGGAAAGAATTACTCAATGCTTTCCTATGGACGTACAGCGTCTTCTCACTTTGATTTTCACCTTGAGAATCGCTGAAGCACCTCTAGCGGCTGTCAGTGAGACAGCCATTAGAGCCTATATTAACCCTCAGTGAAACATAGCGGTTTCTCTGAAACTGCTATGTTTTCAGCAGCAAGGTTAAAACTAGAGGGACCTGGCACCCAGACCACTTCTTTGAGCTGAAGTGGTCTGGGTGCCTGTAGTGGTCCTTTAATGACTTATGTTAATTTTATAATTGGACTACACCATTGGTTATCCTATCTGTGCTTCCCTCCACATACATTACTGACTGCTGCTCAAGATATCTGACATTATATCCTTGGACGGGGATTGTTCCGTCCTGGCGTGCAATATTAGAGCTAACTGAAGCTCTGGAAAGTGTGAGTGTTCTATTGGCACTGTCTTTATATCTACTGCATTTCTTACAGTATTATACTATTGTACATTTCTTTATTAAAGATAAGTCTCACAATTATCCTCCTCCGTTGATTGTATGTATAATCCTTTTTAATTACTAAGCGAGGCTCACCATTTGTTTGTATTTATCTGCTTGGTATTTACAAGGTGTGGTTACTCCTTTTAGGTGGACTGCCGCTATTTGTCATAAGAGAACACTATATACATATTTTGTACCATCATTTGTGATAGTTTGTCTTTTATTTGTTGTGTTTATCCCTTTCAAAGATGTAAAGTGCTGGGAAACATGTTAGCGTAAATAAATTGTAATTATGCTAATACTACTATTAGCAGCAAAGGTCTTTCTTAAATGATCTCCTTGCAACAGGTGAATGCCTGGTGAGGATGTGAATGTAGTCTGAATTTTGAAGCACAAAAGATCTCATGCTTACATACATCCCTCAAAAATTGGAAAACCCCCTAAAAAACTTAATGAACCATTACAAACACTGAGCAAGTCTCAAAGAGGGACATTCTTTTCTGGGATTAGGTTCTATTTAAACCACCTGTGGCTGCAATGGAGTTTAACTCTTTATGAGTACTTACACAAATGCAACCCTTTTTACCATTCATCGGGTTAACAGAGGTACAGTAAACCAAAATAAAACACAATTTCTCACAACAGGTTAACAGGTCTGATCAAATGCTGTTTGTCAACGTTAATTCACACTGGCTACAAATCCACAAAATATAACTACAGTTCGCCTCACCCCATGTTGACAAACACTAGTTTAACACTTAAGTAGCTGTAAACGAAGACCGCAATAACTGGCTGAGTCTGGTATCAAACAATAAAAGAAAGCAAAGCCTCATCCATCAAGTTCAGAGCATCCCGGCCCCCATTCTGTTCCGGCATGTCCACCTCTCAAGTTACAGCTCTACACGGCACGTCTAAATACTATTCCAAATGATAAACGGCAACATAAGTCTGATATCCGTCATCAATCTTTCTTAAAGAACATCCATCTTACATAATGCATGTTTGAATCCTGTGAAATTGTGAGCTCCCGGATTCATTTACAAAACCCCCAGCAAGCTGGCGCAACTTGAATGATATCTGTCAGAACGATTGGGTTTCCTGCGAGTGCATAAACTCAAAATAAAACAAAAGGACTTTCAAAAGGGATATGGCATATGGAAGGAAAAGAAGATTATAGCAGCACTGTAAGAGGCAAAAAAACAACAACACTTCTTTGGTCACAGCACCAAACTGTCACCCAGTGCCCCTCACACCCCTTCCCTCCATCCCCCCCCCCTCTCCACCCCCCACTGTATACATTTTCCTTTTGACTTGCAATCTGCAGTTGCTGTTCTTGCAACACAGAAGTAAAGGGAAAAGAACAGCGTTTTTATGAAACCTCGTTCTTTTCCTCCCTTGTTGTCTGCCAGGGCCGATTTGATAAATGACACATGTCATTCTGTCAGGAGGAAAGGGCGGGTCAGTGATATATGACTCTGCTGAAAAGGAAATCGACTGTTTGGCATGGCAAGGCTTTCCCCCACCAGGATTCGGTTTCAGAACTTGCAAAATCAAATCTACAATGTTTCAAGAGCACAGTTAGGACAGCTTGATGTACAGAGGCCTACAAAGTGCCATACACACACACCTCTAAAGCCCTCAAGCATACAAAGCTTCATAAACAACTTTAGATAAAATAACAAGCTTCCTCACAATTTTATATACACACATGCAGGCCAATTCTCTCTGTTGTATATGTTTACGTACGTATAAATATATAATATATCATTTGTTTTTATTTTTTTAAATTGTTTCTGCAGGTGTAAAATAAAAGTGCACAAAATGAGCCCCCCTGCCTGTATGACGTGCAAAGAGTGTTTAACTGTTTAGTGTTGCATTACACTTTGGTATTTTTAATAAATTCCAGGCACCCGGTACACCAAAAGGGTGACACAGGTTAAAGATTACAGGGGTCGCGTGTCAGGCACTGTAATAGCAATATGCACAATAAAAATTAGCATGTTTTAAGTAATCATCTTGCAGCTTGACATCTGCATAGTAAATTTTAAAAGAAAAAAAAATGTGTCAGACAGGCATGAGCCATTTCCCTCCCCCCCTCTTTCATTAGCTCACTGCCAGGGTGGCACTTCAGAACCTCATTACAGAAAGAGGATTTATGAAGCTGAACCCAATGGCGAAGGAAAGGCATCTGTCAATAATTGTAGGGAGCTGCACTCACAGCTTTGAAATCTCATTAAGTATGCAGTTATCAGACATAAAGATCAAAAACATTACTCAACTCAGACAGAATCTTATAGAGGAACATTAATTAGCAACAGGCCTACAGTACAGACTTCCTCTCACACCTGCCCTACCCAGAAACCCAAAGCAACACTCCCCCTCCCTTCAGACACAAAAAAATTATTCCCAGCATCTGAGAATGATCAACTACATGAAACAAGAGCGAGAGGGAGAAAAAAAAAAAATCAGTTCAGACAGTCTTGGCGGTGAAGAGAGAAAAGGAAGAAGCTGTCAAAGTTGAGAAGATGTCAGTACTGGCCCTGATTACAAGGGCCTATACAGTTCCCAGGCCTTTTATCAACCCTGCCATCAAAAACAGACTCTGTGTCGCAGATGGATGAGTGATGGCTGCCAGTCTCGAGCTGCAGCCGCCAAGCTTCCAGGAGGGGCCCCTGCTGAGAATCTGGCCTCCAGCAACAGGCCTGACCCAGCAGGAAAGAAAGTTTGGGCACAGAGCCCAGACCCAAAAGATACTGAAAATAATAAAGCAACCCTAGTATTGTCCTTTCTGTAGCAGCAATTCTGCAGGTTAGGAAACTTTGAGAAATTGTTTTCAGTTACGAGTAGAAAATGAACTGGCTCCCCCTAACTCAGTGGCTCTTACATCTTTTCTTAGAGGTCCATTTTCCCATTGTAACAGATAACACACAAAGAGTCTACTAAACACCTTGAGCAGACTTTTCACAGTACTAAAATGGTCTCTGACAAACCTGGAGACCAGGTTGCTACATTAAGCTATAGCTTAAAGGACCACTATAGGCACCCAGACCACTTCAGCTCAATGAAGTGGTCTGGGTGCCAGGTCCATCTAGGATTAACCCTGCCTGCTGTAAACATAGCAGTTTCAAAGAAACTGCTATGTTTACATATGGGTTAATTCAGCCTCTAGTGGCTGTCGCATTGACAGCCGCTAGAGGCGCTTCCGTCCATAGGAAAGCATTGAGAATGCTTTCCTATGGACTAGCTGAATGCGCGCGCGGCCAAAGGAGGAGAGTCCCCAGCACGGATGGAGCCGGGCGCTGGAGAAAGGTGAGTGTTTAACCCCCTTCCTCTCCATTCAGCCCGGCGGGAGTGGGACCCTGAGGGTGGGGGCACCCTCAGGGCACTATAGTGCCAGGAAAACAAGTTTGTTTTCCTGGCACTATAGTGGTCCTTTAAGGATGATGATTATAAACTGCCTGCTCAAACCAACTGGGACCCCTGAAGACAGAAAGCAAATCGAACTTTGGTCCCTTAATCGGACTAAGACTAAAGCAGATTATAAATACATGGACTGTGTATTTTGTATGTATATTATATCCCATGTTTTTAAACAGTTTCCCTTCTTCTTCTGTATTGTAAAGTATACTAGAAAGTCCCAAATAATTTTTATTCCCAGTATCAAATGAAGGTAGTGCAGCGATAGTAAATAATGAGCAGCAGCTTTATAAAAAACAAGTATTCATTAAGAAATATACTCCGACCAACCAACAGTGAGCAACACATTTGGGTGCAGCTGCTTAGCTCCTGTCTCCTGTTAGCTTGCTTCTGACAGCAATCACTGCGCTGGCCAAAGTGAGGATCGTTACCTTTCAAAAGCCAACAAATATACAAAAAAAATATACACAAAGTACAAGAAGTTGAGAGAAAAACAAAAACAGGTTTTAAATTGGGGGGGGGTGGGAGGGAATTTGAAAAAAAATAAATGTGAATATATATATATATATACACACACACATAACCAAAGCTGGCATGTTATATACGAGGTATAGCTGCCAACGCTGCATAGGATGTGCAGTACAAAGCGCATGGCTTATTATTTTTATTGTCATCGTCATTTATATAGCACCAACACATTATATTATATTATAAAGGGGGAAATGTAACAATAGATAAGACAATTACAAAATGTTTCAGGAACAATAGGTTGACGTGGACCCAGCATTAGTAAAATATGTTACCCAACGATATGGTTGTCAGACATTGTATAGCTGGAAACAAACAATCTAATCAATAACTAGTACGTGTAAATGTGTAGAAGTCAGTGTTACCTAAAGCTAGTGCGTAGCAAAGAATACTGAAATGTTATTGTGAAAGAGAAACCTCTTCTGAAGGTTCTAATGGACGGTAAAACCTTCACCATCAAATGTTGAATTCTAAAATAGCCCAGTGCTGGAATCTGAATGTAGCTTAACCAGGATTTCCTAAAACCTTTGTGTTATCTGTTCACATTGTGCATTATGTGTTTCTGTGACAATGCTGAGGCCTACATTGTTACTCTATACCAGGGGTTCCCAATTAATTTTTCCAGTGGAACCCTTTGACATAGTGTATCAACATCGTGGAAACTCCCCACCCCCTTGGGGGAAAAAAATAATAATAATTGTGCCGTTTTTTTGTATGTGCCGGTGTGTGTCATGGTCTGTATATCTGTGCTTGTATGTGCCAGTGTGTGTGTGTATGTATCTGACACATAGATACACACACCTTGACACACAGTGTATATCTTTATGTATCTGTGTGTCAAGGTGTGTGTATCGGTGTTTGTATGCGTATCAAGGTGTGTGTATCTGTGTTTGTATGTGCCAGTGTGTATGAATCTGACACACACACTGGCAGATAGTGGCACACAGATACACACACTGACACACAGACACAAACCTTGACACACTTTACTCCACCCAGCCCCCTACCTTTAGGAGTGCTGGTATAGAGTTCCTGGGGTCCAGTGGGGCTGCTGAGCGGCTGGCGTGCTGTCCCTGGGGTCCAGAGGTGCTGCTGAGCGGTGAGGGAGCAGTGATCTCCCTGCTCAGATCCCTTGTGCGCCTCTTAGTGATGCCAGAGTGACGTCATATTCCGGCTCCAGCATCACTGCTGTGCGCGCGAGGAAGCTGAGCAGGGAGATCACTGCTCGTTGCTCCCTCCTGCCCACGGCCATTTTATTTTTCAAAACTTTTGGAGGAACCACCAATTGGGAAAGGCTGCTCTATACGATTTCTAAAGACACCTCAATATTTGGCACCTACAGTATTTTTACTCTGTAAAATATTATACAATAAAAATGTGTTAATTTAATGTGACAAAGGCAAAGCCTTTCCGTCAGAAGAAGTGCTATGAACACATTCACTCACACTCTCCCTCTATAACATCCAGGCATTCCTTAATATTTTAAAATATGGCTGAATACATAAGGACTGAAAACATGTTTCTCCAGGACCCATGAGTACATCTGCAAAACTACAAACACTGCCATACTACAAAGTGTTGAGGACATCTGTTTGTATGGCAAGACTGAAATCAAATAATATTTTGGGAAATAAACTAAATTTCTAACATGGCAGTGTGTGCAGCAATACGTGTGAGCAGCAGCACAGTGCTGATGATTGAGAAGAAATGGCAGCACTGTACAGGTACACAGAAATTTCATTATGCAGCAGAGGCTTAATATTGTTACTGCATTCTTTATACAAAGTAATAGAATGCTATGTGGGTTAATCGGCCAAATCTAACCAAACCCTGGGTGTCCAGACAAATCGTATAACAGCAGTCGTTCTCTTGGATTCAGCACCCTGGCACAGGAGTTCAGTTTGTTGTTGCCTCCACTATTTGTTTCCTTTTCTTGTTTTTGTTCTCCTTCGGAGAATATGCACAATTCGCGAGATAGCATTTTATCTTATATTTATAAAAATTAATGCAAAGAGCAAATTTGGAAACAAAGTTCAAATACGGATATTATGGCCTAAATGTATCTTGTACTTTGTCAATGCATCAAATCTCATTGCTCACTAAAGGAGCGTCAATGAAAAGTTAACTTCCTTCCAGCCGGAAGTCCCAGGTATAAAGGGTCATAACAGAACAATGGTTAATTGCCCATAAAATTATAATTTTGGGGAACCCATTGAAAAAGCTTATGAACGTAATCTCAGCACCCCCATTATCTGCCTATACTAGTGATGGCTAACCTTTGCACCCTAGACGTTAATAATCTACAAGCAGCGTGGCTCGATGAGAGTTATAAGGAATGGATTCCAGAACGAGCTGGGGTGCCAACGTAAGCCATCACTGCTGGCCTATTTGCTTAGAACACATAGAGAACTAAGACTTTCTAGCTAGTGGCAATACCAATAACTACTTTTACCAGGCTTAAAGTCTCCATTTACTGGTTTCAAAATGGTAATCAAAGCAAAGACAGAATCTTACCTTTCCTACTAACAACCAGCCGACAACTTAGCAATTCAAACCACATACGAATGCTTATTTAGAGATTTAGACAAGGGTGTTTACATTATATTCTTCCATATGTTTTAGTGCACAGTCTTTGCCGTGTGTAACATTTAAGTGATTACAGCAATTACATCTTGGAGAATTAATTATAAAATATCACATCATTTGTGGATGCGTTAGACATTAGCAGAGAGGGAGAGAGAAAGAGAAACTGAATCCACATTTATTGGACAGACTAATCTTCACCAATAAACGAAAGAAGGAAAAAAAAAAAAAGGGAGAGAGGGAGAGAGAGAAAAACCCAAAAGGTCACTGCTGCTGTGTATGCAAAATTCAGGTATGTAAAATGACGTGTTACCAAGCACATATACACTGCAGCCTGTTAAATGCTGTCAACGCTGAATAATTAATTGAGCCTGTCTCTTTAGAGGAAATGCAAAAAATCAGATCAAAATAAATATGTTCTTAAATAATGACCAGATTTTATTAATGACCGTAGTTAATGGACGAAAGGGTTATACATCTTTACTTATGCAAAATAAATTCATCCAAGTTCATTAATATTCATTTATATTCAAATACCATTTAAAATTGAACAGTGCATTATGATAGCCAACAGCTAATTGTATGCATATTGTAATCTTTGAAAGAAAATACAAGTGAAAATTGTGAAGATTACTAAACTGACTGCAGCCCTGAAATATTGGAACAAGGCACTCTACAATTGTCCACGGTTAACATGTGCTACACAATATTAGATTCAAAATTTATCACACTGAATTCTCCATCACCAATAAAAATAATATGTTTGTTGAATGTTTTATAAGGCTGTATAGTTATTAATATTGACTAAATATTTGTATTTTTTTTTTTGCTCTCAAAATATCTCCTACTGTAACATCCTTACTGAAGTCACAACAACACCAGACAACTTTTTTTTAAAAAAACATTACTACGAATGTTTATTTTTCCTCCCCTTGAGAAAAAGTAAATCAGAAAAAAAAAAAATAATTAAAAAAAAAACAAAAAAAAACTGTGGAGATATTTGTGTGCAAGTGTGCTTTTACACACACACAAAGTAAATAAATTGGTTAATTTCTTAATTGTTCTTTTATCTTTATATATTTTAGCACTAATCCATATTTAGTATTTTCTACATTAATCGTATTAAATATTGATAATATGGGCGAATTTGGTACAACTCCTACAAGAGTTTAAGCCTGGTCCCCTCATTCCCAAACAGCTGGTGGAGGTGAAAAAGAGCCATAATTAATAACATGTGTTCTGACAGAATGAATTAATAATTCATAATTAAGGACAAACAAGGAAAGTTACATTATTCTCCAGGACTCTTACACATTAAATATCGATGCGAGTATGATCGAGGGTGCAATGGCAAACTACCTCAACTATTCGCTGAGCTTCTAAGTGTTACATAACCCATTAATTGTTTACAGAGCAACACTGATTAATTTACTAATTATGGATTAAAATCCTTTAAATGGGAACAGTTAAACATCATTTAGGCAGCCAATTTGCCGTGATTTTCACATGCTAGAAGATGTCTTTTTTTAAAGAGTTGATAACGGCCAAAATATATATATATATATATAAATATTATTTATTAAAAAAATATATAAAAAAAAGATTACAAGACAAAATGTTAACCATGCAAAACCCACATTTGAATATTCCAGAATAGAAGGCTTGTGATTAATTAAATTGAAGGGTATGGACACCGCATCAACTTTACATAAAATTATAATTTACTCATCTTATATGAGCATTTTATGCATGTAGCAAAAATGAAAGGATGAGAGGCGGTCTATTGAGCTAATTACATTGCATATTATCCATCTGAAGATACCTGCCCATGCTGTCTTGTTAAACACAATACAGGGTGCCTAACTCCCAATTTTAGCCACCCACTACTAGCTGCAGTAAAGAATATTAGTAGATAAATATCGCTCTGAGCAATTCACCTGGAGCTGCTCTCAATATTCTAAACCATGCGTCTGTTTCTTGGGTTTACACACTAATTAGGACAGCAATAAATTGCAACCTTTTAAAGCAAAAAAAAAAAAAAAAGTCTAAAAAAAATATCCACAGCTCCTTGGGAATTTTAACAACTAGACTAGCAATGAAACATCCAAGGTCAGAGAGAAAACTACAGTGCCTGCATGTGGGTTAAGCGTGCAGTGTTCCTGGCATTTTACTAAAAACGTGGACCCGCGTTTGAGAGGTCTACTAGCCTAGTTAATGTAAAAAGGTTAACAGTAAGCTAATTGCAAAGTTGTGTTCCCTTGAGGTGAATAGAATTCTATTTACACAGCCTTTTTCAAATACAATAACGATAATGTCACAGTTACACAGGGATGTAACACGCAGCGCCAAATATATGCTGCGTTCCCTACATTTAGAGAATTGTCCCCACATCACTAGAATTCTGCAAAGAGCACTAAGGAACTGATCCTATAAACTCACCCTGCACTGCATTCCCTACACAACAGTCACAATTCATTCTAATCACTGGGCAAAACAATCTTTAGAGAGGAGAAAAAAACAGAAAAGAAAGAAAGAAAGAAAAAAAAAAAAAGAAAAAAGAAAATGCAGACTTGTGAGCCAATTTAAGAAATAACTGCTGATACATCAGTTATTGACTATTTCACTCCTGCTCATGATAGTGCTCAAGGCAAACCAGAGAATAAAATGACAACATCAACGGAATCCAGTAAACTGTACCGGGGGAGAACACTGAGGGCCCTAATTGACAGCTGTCAGACTAATGGGAGAAATGGCAGCTGATTCTGAAAATGTCTGTTTTCCACCAGGATACTCAGTGGAATCTTTCAACCATGCTTACATTTGGAGGGAGGGGGGATCATCCTCCTTTTTACATTGTTCTTTACTCTATGCAGAAAAGAAGCAAAGGACAGCCATAACTAATCATTTTGTCATCTTGCTACTAGGGAGAATCTCCATCCAATAGGCCTGGCAGTTTTGTAGCCACACTATGTGCCCCAGTGTGGGACTGTAAGAGCATTTCTAATAGAAAGCATTGTGGTTTCAATGCATGTACAATCTCAACACATTCGAAGGCTCTCGAAATGTCTAATCAGATATATTAAAATGCACAGAATTTCTCCTACTTCAAAAGTAAAATCGTACGGAGCCTGGATCATTTTCCCTTTTTCACATACTTATTTTAATATTAAATGCCAGTTCTCACTTTTTTCATATTCTTATTTTAAATTAAGAAGTACAATGCTTGTATACATTAAAACACAAACACACACACACACATATATATATATATATATATATATAATTTTGGTTTCGATATATATTCTTGTTTCATATATATTACGAAAAAGGCGCATTGGCACTTGTCAATGCTTCCTCCAAAATGGTGTCAGTTTCTAAGCTAGATAACTGTCTGCTTTATGCTATGTTTGTTTAGACATCCATAGTTCAAGTACTTTGATGGTACAAGAAGGAAAGTGGATGGCCTGAATGTTTCACAATTCTTTACGTGACTAATGCACACAGGGCTGTTGTGACAGTACTAAGTTCCAGTGTTTAGAGGGCCATGCCGTGTATCTTACATCTCATGCAATACTCTTTTTTGTCTTGCATTTAAAAAAAATTAAAAAATAAAATATTTTCTTTAAACCGGGATCCACAATATTTGTAATAAAAAATTTTTTTTTTTTTAAATGAAGACACAGAAAAAGTAATTGTGACACTTGACGATATCATTACAAAATGTGCTGCTGATAACTAAATGCTTTAACTGAGAATAGAAATCTCGGTGTGCATTATATGTTTTATTGATTAAGATTATCGGTTTCTGCTCTTGCCGGTGCAGTATTAAAGCTCTTGCTTGGCAGAAAGGAATTATGCACCTGTCTGTTAAATATACAATGTCTGTGCTGCGGAAACCTCTTAGTAGTTGTTATTTTTCTCCAGCCCCCATTAAAAAGGCCTAATCCCTATGAAATGATTATCCAGGTACCAAAATCCATTTGTCACCTGCAGCAGAAAATTGAGTTAATGCACAACTAAAGGCAAGCAGGACTGTGTAATATCAAGTTGATTACATCAAACTAGCTGCAAACCTAATTCTGCTAGATGACACTGCTTGCAGACTGTCATCTCCAATCATTAGAGCTGTCAAGAATCCATCAGATTTACAGCTAATTAGGTGAGCACTAATGAAGCTGGCAAAACAACTTTTCTTTTTTGTTACGGCTGAGCAGACCTTTCAGTTTAGGGGGGAAAAAAATCCTCAAGTATTTTCAAGGTTGGTGGTGAATGAATTTCCTGAGTTACCAATCAGAATTTTTTCCCCCACTCTTACCAGTACAAAGCAATTGCTCAGTACGAAACATAGAAAGTAAAAATTCTACAACGTACAGCAGCAAAGATCCAAAAGAAAATTGAAATTACAAGTTTCTCAAAGTTTTTTTTTTCCCCATAAATAATATAAACATAATATAAATTATAATTTTGCATACTGCTTCCATCAGAAGCATTTGTGATATTTGTTTCACCTTCCCTCAACTTAAATAAGTAACAATTTGTGCATTGGACATTTCCCCAGCCATATCCATTAGACAGAAGCATTTTGATAAGTAAAACAGGAGTCAATCCATGAGAGAGACTGAGAGCATTCACTCTGCCAACTTCTGAATGGCCATTAAGCTATTGATGAATGTGCCTGTCATGAGAGAGACAATTAAATCAAATATGAAACAAAGTCGTTTTGACGGGTCATTTTGATAAAGCAAAACCATTCTTCCATATTTTATTAGTATAGCAGTTAAGTTTATTCCCCTTATTCTCAATATTCCTAAATAAACCTCTAATTAAATAAAATACATTTTCGCAAGAACCCCGAACATTTGTGATTTGTAGTAAGTGAAACCATAATAATTTTTTTAAAAACACACACAAAAAAACCCCAAACTATATACATGCACAAACATTGTGTGTGAATGCACATAGAGTCTCCTTTAACATATAACTGGCACAGAAAAAGAAAAAAAAGCAGTCATCTGTATCGCATTAAATTTGTATTCAGCAATGGTACAAATCTTTTAATGTGCTATATAACGATTCCTTAAGCCAGATGTGAAGAGCCGAAGTCTAACCTAACCTAAAACTGACCATTAGTACAACCTGCCAGTCATATCTACCTACTGGCTTATTTATCTCAAACAAGCCTTATTTGCTGCATGGATTTAATAGTGACCAGAGCAATGTCACCGCGGATCTGTTTGACACATATAGCAATGTTTAGATTCACAGACGTAATTGTAGATTTATTTTACACTGTATCCATGTTTTACTTAATATTTATTTAATCCTACTTGTTCTACCTATATAGCGATTGCAATGGCCTTAAAAGTCTTTTTTGCATTTTATTTTATGAAAAATATGCATTGCTAAGATTTTTATTAAACAGAGCTACAGGAGGCCTAGTTCTTTCGAGTAATGTGCGTTGAAGCAAGTAACTGTTTTTGGAGTTTATGATGATGTCATCTTACTTTTAATAATCATCATACTTTTACTAATCGAAATGCAAGAGAACCTACTAAAATACAAAGATCCAAAAAAAACTAAATCTGAAAAATCACAAGCTATTTTATTTAAACTTAAGTTATGTGATTGTATGATTTGCTAAATATACGTTGATGCATCTTTAAAACACAAACATAAATGTATAAATGAACACACACAAATGAAATTCGAACACACTTGTATAGTTTAAATGCAGTCTTTTTAAATTAGATTTCGTTATGAAAATATAAGAAAGGCATGATTTTGTTCATAGCCCAATTGCCTTTCATTAAATACATATTAAATGATTACTCAAGGGACTTTAGTATAAAGGAAGGTGAAAAATATATTTTCTCTCATTATAATCACATTTTTTTTAGCTATTGTTGAAACCATAAAATGAGTTAATGGGGGAGGACTAAGATACATGGAAAACGTGTGGAATTCTCCGTTTATGAAGGGGTGTAAAGAAAAGGCAGGAATATAAGTAAGCTTTTACCAAGGCCCCAGATGTGCTAGGAGATATGAGCCCACACGAACCCGGTTATAGATACAGTTCGTAAAAAAAATTTGCTTGGGCAGGAGGTTGACAGGGCAAAGCTGACGTCACTGGGCCTGATGTTACCATGGCAAGTGATTTATTGATGTTTATTGGGAATGAATAGATCAAAGACAGCTAGATGACAGGCAATCAATCAGCCATCAAATGGAGGATGGCAACAGCCCATAAAATAAAAGCCTCTCTCATTCCACATGTCCTAACTGAACATTATTGCAAAATAATGTTTTGGCTCTATTCCCCTGCCTCTGTTCCTACCTACTTCACCCTCCCTCCTCACCCCCTATAGCCTCAGAAAAAGATTGCTAAATCGTAATAAGAGCTGACATTTGGAACAAATGCTACACGTAATAACAGCCATCCATGGGAAAAAGCACACATACACAAAACAAATTTAAAAAGCATACGTGTATATATAAATGCATAAACACTCACATTATTGCATATGTATATACACGCATAGTTACACCTAAAAAGGAGAACATAGAAAGTGGAGACATATTTAAAAGCTGGATCAAAGCTAGAGAGACAGCTGACAAGAAACAGATCTTTTTATCTTTTTCTTCCCCTCACAGCTCGTCAGATTGAGAAATGAAAAATCAATAGCATTGTAACATCTTCCCCTTGCTCCCATATGAAGTCCATGGTGCCTTCAACAACCTTCTCAACAGGGTCCTTGGTTGAACTTTCCCTGGCCCCTTGTTACCCCAATAACCTTAAAAACATCCCACCATAACCTCCTCCTGTGAACAAACAAGCCCTGACCCCATTGAACCGCTTCATTTCCAGAAATGAATCAAAGGAGCAATAAAAGTAGAATGAAAAGAGCCTGAACAGCCCCAGTTCAGACAGATCACAGTCACCCCTTGTGAACACAACTTTCTTGGTTCAATCCCTGCAAAGATATTTGTGTCATCCCAGCCCCCCTCTAACCAGGAAAGAATAAAACAATTACCTCTCCGGTTCTGCAAATTCGCAATACCCCATTGAGAGCCAAATAACCCCAGTGTGCACTCTAACAGCAGACAAGTAGAAAGCATGCTTAATCCACAGCCACCCCCTCCTCATTGCTTACATATACACCCGGTTAAGGGTCTCCCAAGCCACGCAGAATGCAGCTCTATTGCATAACCCTATCCAAAAAAACACCTTGAAATTATAAGCCAATTTGTCCCCAAAGGGGGCATGGAATAAGCACAAGGCATGGGATGGGGAGAGGGGGAAGGGTATAGGGCACACATCTGGGGAAAGGGTGGGTAATAGGTTGTCATATCACAATGTACAGAGCTCATACAGTACCTGCTGCCCTCCTGGGAGCCTGCTGTTTCCTCCTCGGCATGCTGCTGCTGCTGCTACTGCTGCTGGCTGTGCCTGGCTCGGCTTTTTTGGGGAGGGGGCAGGAAGAGTTATTCTGGCCCCACAGATCCTCTGAGCTGATCCACTTCTTGTAGATTTCATGCAACGACCACAGAGAGCGATTCAGGAGAGGAGGCAGGCTGTAGATCGGAAGTTTGCAATGAAACAACAGACAACAAGATACAGACACAAATGTATCAAAATAAGATCTGTGCACAGAGCAATGTCTCCCTCGGTTTGCAGAGATCAGAGGGGAGGAGATGAGATGTGTGTGCGGGGGGGAGTGGGTTTCCCCTGGCTTGGATCACAGCAAAGCATGGGAAAGAGGACTGGGGGATAGCCAGCCAGTAATCCAGGCTCCCCGGCTGTTCTGATCCACACACTGAGCTGCAACAGGCAGAGCTTAAAGAGAGAACTGAGCGTCACTCCAACTACTAGTGTGAGAACAGGGGCACAGCAAGCAGGGGGACTGTCACTTTAACTCCTTCCTGGAGGCAGCCAGGATTGTCACTTTAACTCCTTCCTGGAGGGAGCCAGGACTGTCACTTTAACTCCTTGATGGAAGGAGCCAGGACTGTCACTAACTCCTTCCTGGAGGGAGCCAGGGCTGTCACTTTAACTCTTTCCTGGAGGCAGCCAGGATTGTCATTTTAACTCCTTCCTGGAGGGAGCCAGGACTGTCACTTTAACTCCTTGATGGAAGGAGCCAGGACTGTCACTTTAACTCCTTCCTGGAGGGAGCCTGAACTGATTCTTTAACTCCTTCCTGGAGGGAGCGTGGACTGTCACTTTAACTCCTTCCTGGAGGGAGCCTGGAATGTCACTTTAACTCCTTCCTGGGAAGCAGAGATTGTCATATTAACTCTGAGATGAGGGGAGCAGGGATTTTAAACAACTATTTCCTGGGGAGCTGGGCTGGAGGGTCTGTCATTTAAACTCTTTCCAGGAGGGTGTGAAGTCACCATATTACTTGCCGATTATAGAACCATGCACTGATAGCTTTCATTTTAACTTATAAAAGACACTGCTATTCTGCTCCTTTAAGAGGTTATTGGGGAGGAGCTGTGATTTATCTTTTAACTGTATATGGTAGGGAGGGCGTACAGAGCATGCCTGCTCACAGCCACCAATACAGAGCGACTCTACTGACTATAGTGGGACCAATTCAGCCAGGAAGTGGCAGTCTGCTTGACTCTTTTGCTGTCTGGGACACACAGTGTGTAATTATTGATCAAAGTACTTCTCATTTTTACTGGTTTCTATACAGGGCTGTGAAATGTATATATTGGTAGACAACTACATAGACCCGCCACAATGTCAGACTGCAGCTTAAAGATGTACCTCCCCACCCCCCATTTTTTGTTGAACTATACATCCCTTAAGGGTTTGGCAGCCTCATGGGAGCTGTAGTTCTACACCATCTGGGGTTAACTTTTGGCCACAGATGTTATAAAATGTAGGTAACAGAAGCTGTGAGCTTGATAAGACAGTCAGATACACAGAATGGCCTTTTAACCCTCTGTTTTGTCTGCATGCAAACAGGACACTTTCATACAAGCTTTGCATTCACTGGTTGGGAGTAGGCCTATTCGTATAGCTGGACGGTAACTTACCCAAACACTTCCTGCTTACATACTCTAAATGGCACCAACATCACAGCACACACAGAGCTTGTCATACTGCAAGATCCAACTCCGCTGACACACAATTATACAACTAATAGCACCTCCCTGGCACTGAAAGGGTTAATAGCTGAACCCACACAAGAGGGGACACACTGGCAGGCACCTTATTAACAAAGAGATGACATGAATATACCCGGATGTGTGTGGCACTCAAGGCAAAGCACAGCACGCAGTGACCGTGCTTGGAGGCATGCACTGCTTTCTCTGTATCCGTCCACTGCTGGCAGGACAATGCTACAGACACTGGCACCATAGCCACCTCTACATAACTTACAGGGCAAATACTAAATATATAGGGCACATCATGTACATCCAAATACTAAATATATAGGGTATATCCTGTACATCCAAATACTAAATATATAGGGCACATCATGTACATCCAAATACTAAATATATATCCAAATCCTAAATATACAGGGTATATCCAAATCCTAAATATATAGGGTACATCCAAATACTAAATATATAGGGTATATCCAAATACTAAATATATAGGGTACATCCAAATCCTAAATATATAGGGCACATCCTGTACATCCAAATCCTAAATATATAGGGCACATCATGTACATCCAAATACTAAATATATAGGGCACATCCTGTACATCCAAATCCTAAATATATAGGGCACATCATGTACATCCAAATACTAAATATATAGGGCACATCATGTACATCCAAATACTAAATATATATCCAAATCCTAAATATATAGGGTATATCCAAATACTAAATATATAGGGTATATCCTGTACATCCAAATCCTAAATATATATCCAAATACTAAATATATAGGGTATATCCTGTACATCCAAATACTAAATATATAGGGCACATCCTATACATCCAAATACTAAATACATATAGGGTATATCCTGTACATCCAAACACTAAATAAATATAGTAGTTATCTTATATTAAAAATATACTGTGTGTCGTCTATATTTAGCAACCAGACAACTACAGGATAACCTATATAGGGCATATTCTATAACAGCTACAAAAACAACATTTCAGTGCAATAGTATATGCCAGCTACAAAATACACACACACACATATACATACATATACACACACACATATATATATATATACACATACATACGTGTGTGTGTGTCTTATGACAAACTGCTACATATACACAGAACATATCCTACATAGCTATTAAACATGCACATAAAGAAGATTTTTCAATATATTCCATATACAAATAAACAAATATACATAAATAAGGTACACGAAGTTACCAGGTAATAAACATGCATATATAGGAAACATCCTATATAGCTGTCTATTAAACATGTACATAAATATTGTTTTCTACAGAATGACACAGTAAACATACACGTAAGGCAAACTACACATAACTATTTACTAAATAAAATCACATTAAAGAAATAATATTTACAACAATCTACTAAGGAAAGAAGGAGGATGGCAAAAAAGAACTCTATCCTATAAGTGCAAGTTTAGTATATGGTTTTATAGTCCTAAGTATACGTTAACAGACTGTGCATGTATATTTCTATGTGTACACACACATATCTATATCTTAAATAATCAACTAAATATTTAATAGAATAAATTCTATATTAATGTCTACTAATCATGGACAAATGGGAGATATAAGAAGTATTGTAGGTGATATCCTCTAGAACCATCTCTAGAACTTACGCATATTTTATATATATATATATATATATATATATATACACACACACACTCACATGCTATACACTAAACTCCAAATTATACATATACAGGGGATACACTTTACTAAATAAAGATTTCATATCTATCCATTTACTAAATTTAAATATAGAATGTGGCCTGTATAATCATCCACAAAACCATCTACTTAAACATTAACATATAGAACATATCCCATATAACTACTGCTAAACATGCATATATAGATGATATCCTCTATAACAAACTGCTAAACATGCATATATAGAAGATATCCTCTATAACAAACTGCTAAACAGGCATATATAGAAGATATCATCTATACCCAGACAGTCTACATAAAGATGAGCTAAACATGCAGATCTGATGATAAACATGCATAGGATAAGGCCTCTACATGATCTACTATCCATACACATAAAGCATACTCCATTTAAACCATGCCTGCATCAGATGTTGAGTCTCTACTGTGGTACACAAAGAGTTACAAATCAGTCCTGTTACTATTACTATGGAAGAATTGCATTATTTTAACAGCCCTGACACCACACACAAACACTAAAGGATCCAGTAATCTAAAACAAATACAGTATTTTGTGCATTTAGTCTGCTGTGTTAATCATCTATTTCCAGATAGTGGGAGGCAGTTAAATGGTCCTGAGTCACATTCCCAGAGTGAAGACAGTTGGCACAAGTTTTCGTTATTTTAAACAGGCTCCATTCAATGTAGCTGGCTAGAGGAGTTTATAAATCTGGAACAGCCATCTCTCATCCTAGGCTGAAGCTGCTCTACGCCATTTGTTTAAAGTGACTTTAGGCCACTTCAAACACTGGTGTGAATTCTCCTCTTCCACATACACCAGACTTCCCAGACTCCTAACACACATTACCCTTCATTACTCCAGCACTCACAGCTTTTCACATCACCTATTGGCTTAACCCCTTCAGGACAATCACTTGACAGTCCAGGTAAGTCTTCTGGCATGAGGGGGTTAAATGTTAAGCAATTCACTTCAGTTTTTACTGAACAAATATGGACAATGGCATACCTTTTCACTTACACACATACATACACACACACTCATACCCTTTAAGGCAAGTGGATTGTGTGTGTCTGACTTTCCAATCAGAAATTTACATCTGTAAAAAAAAGCTACTCTGTTTTAGAGGTCAATACAGTTTTTCTTTCTGCCCTGTAAGGGTTAATTCTGTTTTGAAAAGAGATACGTAAAAAATGTACTTACAAAATGTGCTATTGTTCTTGTGGAGAGCTGCCAGATGTGTTTTTCCATGTACACATACACAGATCAACGCATGATTGAGAGGGCACACCTTCCTGTCTCCAACTGAAAACCCCACTTGGCTTACTGGAAAGGAGTTAGGAGTTTCAATTGTACCTCTCTGTTTTCCTCCCAGGGGTGCATCAGGAATTATCTGTCAGCAGCACACACTGCCTATTTATATCTGTTTTGATTGTATGATTTATTAATTTACTTTTGTCTCTTTTAAGGTTGTATTTATTGTTGAGTAACAGGTTTTGCTTCTGTGTTTAATGCTGAGATTTACTTTCTTGGTCCCAGATCAAAGTATGTTCTCACGTTTCAAACATCTGGAACACCAGATCTCTTCCTTATAGGATCCTGCAAGGCTTTCTTAATCAGAACAGATCACTTCTGGTGTCCAACGACATAGGGGACTCCTCTGATCACTTCAATCTGACGAGAAACTGTATCACTTTCAGTCCCAAGTTTACAGCAAGGAAACCCCAAGGCTGAGCTTCTGGCAAATCGATTCACTTTGGGCTCGATTGCACATTCCTGGCTGCAATCCTGTAACATCAGAAGGGAGGGATGGACTCAATGTTTCAAAGCTCTCTGAACATGGATTGCAGGCTATTGCCAAACACCGTCCTGGCTGCCAATTGCACTCTTTTCTCCCTTTCTTTGTGAGGCTAATAGATATTTCATGACAGCTACAGCAAATCAGAGGCTTCCTTTCAAGTCCCAGGTTGCCTTGTCTTGTTTAAAGAAGGGAAGCAGATACCAGTAGCATTTTACCCCCTATTTTGAGTTTACAGAGAAGAGAGAGAGGGAGAGAGAGAGAATATAAAAAAGGAGAATGATCTCTTTACAAGATCAAAAAATCTCCTACCGCCCCCATCCTCCAGGACCTGGGATATGTCCAAATACCTTTTTAAGAGGCAGATGTTTGCTCCTTCACATCCTGTACTGAGAGCCAGAGGATCGTGTGGACACCAACTTGCAGGGATACTGGTGTTTTTAGAACTTTGAAGTTTTTTTGCTGTTTGGTTTTTCTTTATGTTGTTTTTGTTTTCTTTTCTTTTTTCCCTCAGTGCTTGATCCTCTAAGCTGCTGGATCTGATGTAATGAGGGATGGCAGTTTTCCTGAAGTCCTCTGGAAATTCTGCTCTGGGGGAATTTGAAACACCCCCCAAAAAAATATAATAGCAAATCAGACAAGGAAAAATGGTGAGTTTGTATGAGCTGTTTTGCTCAGAACCCCTGGTCACAGCTGCAGATTGTGGGGATCAGAAGAAGCCGAGGTGTGATTTGCAGAGGTAATGATGTCCACGTCCAAAGGGTGTCTATCAGGATGAGGTGATATTCCGAGAATCGTGGGGTTTTTGCAGCCTATCCTTCTCTCTCACTGACTCCCACCTCTCTGTCTGTCTTCCTCTCTCCTTCTATCTGCTGCTATGGCATTGGCTTTAGATCCGCCCAAACATCTGTCCGTCTAACCATTGGCTCATCCATCAGTGTCACACTGCTGCACTGTGCACCCACCACACACACACAGACATACACACAGAGACACACACACCGCCTGCCATTCAACGGAAGGGATTCGCACTTTGGGGACACACTCACATCGCTCTCTTGATTCCCTTAATGAGACAACACAGTTTAGATTTACTATTTCAAGGGGCAAAGGGGTTAACGCATGTCTCTGGTACTTAAAGGGTTAAATAAAATTGGAAAAGGAAGCATAAAGACTAATTCAGCCCTCCGTAACCCCTGGTTTGAATATTTAATTTAGACATTCCATAGCAAAGTGCATTGAATTCCAAAATGTATTAGTTCCATCTATCTATCTTTCTATCAATCATGCAAAGAACTTAAACAAAATATATATGAAGTTGCTGAAGTGTTTGAATTATTTATTGGCAAGTGAATTACAAAGGGAGGAAGGTACATGAATTATTTTCGAGATTTAAAAGTTATAACTTGTGTGGATTTAAAAAAATATATATACTTTCATAAAAGAAACATGTCTGTAAATTAAGTAGAATGCTACACAAAATGCGAGCCTTTTATTTCTTACTAATAATAATGAGGGGTGAGCTTAAAATAAAGTTATTTTGCGCGTAGAGCCTAAGGTACAAGTTTCGGTTAAACTGTACACTTTGTATTCACGCTCTGATACTGTTACACAATCACATGGAATTGAAATCTGTAGGTCAATTTGGAATAGGTTGCTAGATAGAAATACTCACACAGGCAGGTTCGTGGCTCTTACGAATGCTATATAATGTATTGTATTTGTATGAGATTGAATTTAGCTTATTTATTATAAATATAAAAGCCCAGGTATAGATCATTTATCATATCAGCTTGTGCAAATATAATTAATCACCAGTAAATGTAATTTCAATGCAGAGAAACTTCCCACTTTCATTTAAGCTTTAAAAAAAAAAGAATAAAAATAGCATGTGTGCGAATAAAAAAATACAAATTACTGGGAAAGAAATCAATTTCCTACAATGAAATTAAATATTATTTTTTTTACAAGCCCCTTATTAGATAAATAGGTGGATTAGTAGATGCCTGGGAATAATATTGAGAGTTACAATTTAATAATTCGTTTTAGGTTAGGCTCATTATGTAATGGTTTAGAAATAAAAGAAACATTTGTTTGCCAAGTGGTCATTGAATAAAAAGGAGTGGAGGCTTTCTTATCGATTAACCTATGACTAGTGATTATACCTTTCATATTATATTAGGTTTTTATTGGGGAGGAGGGGGGGTACAGACCTGGTCTATTTTAGTTACATTAAGCATTTCATTGCAGGATTTGCCCAGCTCCCAGCAATCCTTCACACAAGTCCTGGTGTAATTTGTTGATCCTTGAGATCTCCAGTGCATGCCCCACATCCTTCCTTGCAACCTGTATCCCCCCTTTGTTGGGTTTAAGCCCAGTTCCAGGCCTGTGCAGCTTTATCAGTCTGCCATCCAGGAGACAGTGCTGGAGGTGGGATAAGGGCTCACCACCCACTGCAAAAACTAGCGACTGCCAGTGTTTTATTTAAAAACAATAACCCCACTAGTCTTTAATTCCCAGCCCTTAATATGCCACAATGTCCTGTATTGCTGAAAAGCCAGGACATTATGATCATACCGCAATGTTTGGGACAAGGTCTTGCTTTCGTCCTTATTAAAGTGTGTAATATATATGTAAACATGCTTATACAATACACACACTCTCACATCTACTTAAATATACACGTACATATATATTTTATAAATAAATACACACACTCCTATACATAAATACACACAGACACACATGTATAAACATTTTTTTTTTTTACATACAGTTTGCTAATCACAGACACAGCAGAAAGGATGCTCTATATTAAGAGACTTTTTAATGTAATTCTGTAACACAATCAGATCTAAGTGAATAAGAGTAATTTCCTAATGTAGCAGGCTTGTTATAAGGACATAAAACTGATTGTGTGTGCCAATAAAAAGTCAGACTGTGTGCCCACCTCACAGCTGGCACGAGGAGAGGTATTTAAATGGCATTAGGCACAAGGCTGCTGCAGTCCCATCACTACAGAGAGAAACTTACTGAGAGCTTTTACTCTGATAAATTAACTCCTCGATGATAAATCACCTTTCTTCACCTCTCTTTAACGTGTTTCCCTCTTCAATATCCTTACTACAAATCTCAGTTATTGCAGTGATTTTGGTAAGACCTTGCTCTTTTGTATTTCCTTCCAATCCATTTTGTAAAATTATATTTTATTTCTGTTTCATTTCACTGGAAACGTTTGTCCTAAGTTGATCTCCTCGTTACAGTTGACACAAAAATAAAATGTTTTGGAGCATAAGGGTATTATAAAGGAGTATTATTAGAAAGGGCATATCTGGGGCAAAGTTCTAAAGGTATAGCAGTCACCATGGAAACCATTAAAATGTTCCTGCTGATTGCTCCACTTTTTGAACTTTGCCCCCCAATTGATCTCTACAAAAAAATTAAAAACGAGGTTTGGAGCTCCGCATAAATACTATTTTGTTTTTATTTTGAAACACCGTTAAATTAAATGTTTTAGCATGTTAGAAATCTGTAAATTAATGGCTTCCTATTTTAATATGTTTTACTTTATTTTTATTTATTTAAATTTTTTTTCCCCAAACTATTCACTATTTATTAAGAATGTACAGATCAAACAATTATTGTAAATACGAAAATTAGTTGCTTCAAAATCAAATGTGATCTTCCTTATTTACAGGACTAAATAAACTATGTATGTTTCGTGAAATTCCAAATTGGCCGCATAAACTATATTGAGTCGAAATTATGTATTTTTTTCCACTCCTGTCTCGCTTGGAACTAAGAAATTCGTACGGAAAAAAAGAGGCATTTTTCTTTCTTCAACCTATTTTGAAGTCTCTTAAATTCCTATTATACAAAGTGTTTAAATCCTGGCTAAGCCTCGCTCAATGTAAATATCTCTGCTAAGTGAATTTGTACAGCAGCAAAGTTTGTTTTTTCTTAATTCTCTGTGATTTTCTAACGAACCAGATGCACTGTGTCTGTAAATTCTCCAATTCTGACATATTATGAAGTCTGTACACAGATTCCTCCTGGTGTGTAAAGCACAGTGCTAAGGACCTGGGGCTGTGAAGGGGATGAGGAGGGAAAGGGAGACAGGATCAGGAACAATTTAAAGTTTATCACCTACATCTGCACAAGATTGATAGATGCTAATATTAGCGGTGCATCAGTAGCACAAAAAAACGGGAGTTCTTCACGAATTGCAAAAATGAAAACACACACAAAAAAACATATATTATATATATATATAAAAATTTAGATTTTGCAAAATAAGAGTGTTAAAAAATAAATACACTAAGCTTATTAAAATAAGTGGCATGCCATTCAGAATCAGGTTAAGGTACTCTTCTAGGTAGGTGGGTTCTTTATAGAATTGAAAGGTTTCAAGGTCAGTCAAGGTTAGAGGGTCGCTTGCGGAGGGATGACCTGCACTAGTTCCATTATAATGCCAGCTTTATCTGATACACATAGCAGGTATTTAGAGAGCAGGGGTGCTTGTCCTCACTCCCCAGGTAAGTGCGTGCTATCTGGAAAGGACTGCCCTTCCTGTGGCCTTATAGAACACAGAGGTTTACCGTGAAATACACTGTAATCAGGAATTCTGCTAATATCAAGGGCTGGCATTCATAAAATTTTAAATGAAAAACTAATTAATCATTAAAAAAAACACACACACACACACAAATCAACAGCAGCAGCCACTGCAGAATAGTATTTGTGGTGTTCTTGGACTGACACTCACTTTGTAAGTGTGACACTAGTGTATATCCTAGAGCCCAGCTATCATGCTTTTTATTCCTTTTAGAAGTGAGGACACAGGGAAAGAGACAGTCTCCATTGCACTATCGATGGGGCATTACTGGACCAATAATTAAACTAGTTAATTGGCAGTTCCTACTTTATGTAAAGTTAGCAACTAGTCTGTAATGCAATAATCCCATCGATTACTGATTGTTAACGGATGCATTTTATTGTAACAAACAATGCTTGATTACCCCTGTATCATTATCCCTGGAGTTCCTGATCCAGGATACAAACCAATCCTTGTTATATTTAATGTACACACTATATAGATATTATAATGTACACACACACATTCCGGCCATTAGAAATGCTGTATACATTGTGAGCAGGTTTCCCATCTATTAGCATTGGATTTACATTTATGGCGTTTAATGGTTGTCTCCTCTTACCTAGTGAGCTATTTTATTATCTCATATATTGATAGAACATGGCCCCCCCAACTGAGCTTGGTGTGTGTGAAGGAATCTTTAACCCTTTCATTCCCCCTCCCACCACAGTCCCTGGCACTCACTGGGTTAAACACAGTGACCAGATAACTAGAAATGCTATGTTATTTTACATGCACACAAAAAAAAAGAGAAAATAAATCACTCTCACAATTAGTGCTTCTAAATGTATGTATTCCTTTCAGAGCCCCATGCACAATAAGATAAATGGATTATCTTCGTGATTTAATTGGCACCACGTTTTCCTTGACTTATGTGAGGAGAATACGTGTCTTTCCCATTAATAATTAATCATATTTGTTGCACGCAATAAAATATTTAAATTATATAATTACAATCAACGACTTGTTACTGCCTGTCCCTTTAATAATACAACCCCTGTGATCTAAGCAAGGCACCTGTCCACCGACAGACAATATCATCTATTTCATATTGCTCCTATAATATATTGCAATAAATTATTCATTCTGGGTCTTAATTTAAATAAGGTGATAGGTAACAAGGAGGGATTATTCTTGGATGTGTACTTCATAAATTGCTGCACACACAGTGCAAATTTTAAAAGGCAGGGCACAGCCAGAGAAGGACACAGCCACAGAGGGGGGACACAGCCACAGAGAGGGACACTCAGCCAGAGAGGGGACACACAGCCACAGAGGGGGACACACAGCCACAGAGGGGGACATACCGCCAGAGAGGGGGACATAGCCACAGAGAGGGGACACACAGCCAGAGATGGGGCACACAGCCACAAAGGGGCCACATCCAGAGAGGGGGACATAGGCAGACAAGGGGGTAAAACAGAGATAGGAGAGGCAGTCCAAATGATGGTATTCAGAAAGGGGTCAAATAAAGGAGATGTAACTCTTAGAAGGGGGATAGGACACGCTGTATGGGCAAGGGGTAGCCAGATTGTATTTAAACATATGAAGAGACAACACAGAGCTGCCTATTTATACCTCTTTCACTATTGACACCCTTACTTATCCCAGTTCAATATTGCTAAACCCCCCCCCCCCACTTACCCCAGTTCAATATTGCTAAAACCCTTACTTATCCTAGTTCAATATTGATAGGACCCCCACTTAACCCAGATCAATATTGATAGGACCCCCACATATCCCAGTTAAATATTGATAGGACCCCCACTTATCCCAGATCAGCTTCACTGAGATTTCCACTTATCCCTTTCCAGTTTTACTGTCCTGCATCCCCATCTGTACCAGGGCAGTATTACGGACACCCAACATACCCCGTGCAGGATTAGGGAGACCCCCTATAGCCTACTAACAGGGTTAGAAACAAGCTGACATACAGTAACATATTACAGAAGGCATGACATATCATAAACCACATCACAACAATACAAATGGTACGGTGACATTGTTCTTGTTGGGAATGACATACAAACAGACATGTATGCCCATGACACATGTATAAGGCAGACACTTACACTGATTGCACAAACAGATGACAATAAGGAGCTATATGGGAATGCTGTGAAATACTGGGATACAGAGAATCATTTCAGCTATTCTGCAAAATTAAAAGCATTTCCTAAATCTGTTAAATGTCACCATTACTGGCTTCCAATATGCATAAAAGCTTAATCACTAAAATAATGGAATAATGATTTTTTTTTTTAAATTGACAGAAACGTAAACATCCAATAAGTGGCAAAATGTTCTCTCTCTTTCTCTCTCTCTCTCTCTCTATATATATTTATATTTGTGGTCAGTGACAATAAGCCATAACAGTGGTGGTGTAAGTCGGCTGTGGTCAGGGGTGTGTTTACCCCGAGGCAAACAAGTCATTTGCCTTGGGTGGCACTTTCTGGGGTGCGGCAAAAAAGCCACCCCCCAATCGCCCAATTGGGAGCACTTATCCTCCTGTTCAGCTCCCTCGCGCGCACCACAGTGATGCCGGAGCCGGAATACGATGTCATTCCGGCCCCAGCATCACTATGCGGCACGCAAGGGAGCTGAGCAGAGAGCTCAGGGGAAAGTGCTCCCTCGCTGACAGCACTGACCAGCCGCCCACCCAGCAGCCCCACTGTACTCCAGGGAAAGTGATAATCCACCCCAGCATTCCCAAAGGTAGGGAGGTTGAGGGGATGGAATTTTAAAAAAAATGTGAGTGTCTATTTATGAGTGTGTGTGTGTGTGTCTGTTAGTGAATGTGTGGGTGTCTGTTAGTGAGTGTGTGTCTGTTAGTGAGTGTGTGTGTCTATTAGTGTGTGTGTGTGTGTGTGTGTGTGTGTCTGTTAGTGAGTGTTAGTGTGTGTCTGTTAGTGTGTGTGTCTGTTACTATGTGTGTATGTGTATTTAGAAGGTGGGGCGGGGGTGCCTGAGTTTTGTCATGCCTAGGGCAGAAGAAAACCAGGATACACCACTGGTTGTGGTGTGCCGAAACCAACGTTTGGGTGGGCCTGTAAAAAGAGTGCTTACCAAAATTGAATGGTGTGATAAAAGGAGCATTGAGTGGGCTGAACCAGTCAGTATCGGCCCAGAAGAAGGGGAGGCCTGTGTATTTATAGGCCAGGTAACCTTTCCCACAACTACAGGCTCCGGCTACAGGCTCAGCCTTCCCATATAGCCGGACCTTAAATCACTTACTACTATTATATTTTTCCATAACACTCCTTTAATTGAAGTGTAGATAAATACAAAATGTCCTGTTTCACTAAACTAGCTCAAATGGGCATGTGAAATGAGAAAGAAGGGGGTTATTATGAATACAAGGCCATACTGAATATCATTCTCAGTACCTAAAGGACACTCTAAGCATCAAAATAACTTTAGCTTAATGAAGCGGTTTTGGCGTATAGATCATGTCTCTGCAGTCTCACTGCTCAGTTCTCTGCCATTTCGGAGTTAAATCACTTTGTTTATATAGACCTAGCCACACCTCCATGCATGTGACTTATGCAGCCTTCCTAAACACTTCCTGAAAAAGAAGTCTAAGACTTCCGTTATTGCACAGTCTGTTGAATTTAGTGCTTACCTCCTGTTCTGTTAATAGCCTGCTAGAGCCTACAACAGTTTCCTGTGTCTGATTAAAGTTCAATTAACAGATCATGAGATAAGGTCTACTAAGTGAGCAAACTGTGCTGTAAAAATCAAACCTTTTTTTCCCATAGAGACTGTATAAGTCAGAGCCAGGGAGGTGTGACAATGGCTGCATAAACAAAGTTTTTTAACTCCTCAATGGCAGAGAATTAAGCAGTGACATTGCACAGCTATGATCTATACAGCAAAGCTGCTTTGTTACTGAAAGGGTGTCTCTAGGTACCATAAACACTATATCTGATTGTAGTATTTATGGGTGCTGGTCCCAGTTTACTGTCAATTGAGTTAGAGATGTTTGACAAAAAAATAAAAATACCATTCACATCCTGATACACTACAGCCTCATGGATCACGTGGAAGTTACCCTTCTGCATTATCCATACAGACCTGTCCCACCTTGGACAGCAGTGTTAGGAGTGATAGGATTAGAGTGCGTCAAGCTTGGACGGAATATATAGATAACACAGCTGTACATTCTGCATTATCCATAACGCTGCAGAGGGGCCAGGCTTTGGGTGATGGGAGAGAGCTCCCATTCTTGCCATTGTCCATAAACTCATAGCACAATAACAATGAGCTGTAGTGATTATGGTGCTTAGATTGCCCTTAAAGTCTAATGAATGTTCTTTATATTACAGACAGCAGTCACTTTACACTCACCTTACAGTGATTTCGATCTGCGTCACACCCCAATTTTAAACAGATTTTTAGTTACACCATGATAAACCCTGATTCCCATCATGCTTCACTAGTGTTGGTGGTAAAATATCTCTAACCTAAATACATTATTATGTAAATGCTATGGAACATTTAAAAGTCTAATACCAGCAGTGTGTGCAAATGTGCGTTCTGTTTAGGGCATGGTATAAAATGTAACTTTCAGTCACCACTTGCTAAAACTGTATATCCTTTAAGTGTGAATACAATGGGGTGTACTCATTAAACACTGAATGATAACAGAGGATGAATGCGATTCACTTGTCACAATTTGCTGTTTTAACCCATTCAGCTATCCACAATTATTTCAAACCAATTTACACTTGTGTTCAGCTGCAGTTTGGATGAAATCAGTCTAGTCTCTGTATAACAATGTGGATTTGGCTACTCACAAGCTATTTAGTTGCCTTCATTCGGTTGTTCTAATTCCCTTGATAGTGACCAGGGAAATTGAACCCAAAATTCTAAACATCGTAATCCTAAATCATTCTACTATTGCCCCAAACCCCCCTTAACCCTAAATCCCCCAGAGCAGAATACCTACATTAGCTGCGCTTTTTGCAGCTGTTACATTCAGTTACAGTTCAGCTGGAATCCAGTTGCAATTCATTTAAGCTATTAAGAAATTAATCTCATGGCAGCAATGAGATCCATTTGAAAATAGCAGGAGTGCATTTGTCTCAATTCGGTTGGAATTTGGTTGTTAGTAAATACAATAAACCAAAGAACAAATTTGCAAAAGCAGTTCGTGAATAGATCCTTATGTGTACATTATTCTACATATAGAAACATAGAATTAAAAAAGATTATAAATTAAAAAAAAATAATTATATATATATAGACACACAAACACACTTCTCAGATGTACTGATGTGCAATGACCACATTTATAATAAAACAAATTTGCAAATAATATATTGTAGTGAATTGAAATCTGAATGACCTTTGCCTATATTCAGCAATGTGGTTTTAAGTTTACTACAATTCACTATTTAGTGAATAAAGTCAACAGTACGTACTATTCCTTGAAAATCATTCATGATGGCCCTTCAGGTGTTGTCGGTGTTTGGACCACAGTTTGAAATTCCTCTGACAGATTCAGACTAAGCAATAATCATTTATGCCTCATAAATATATGTACATTTTTAGAAAAATATACATTTATTTATAGGTAGACTGTCGTGTTATGGATATGGAAAAGTATTTTCACTTATTTTTAAGATTAAGTTACTTGTCACAGGTATGCACAAATTAATCTAAGGATTGAAGATGATATACTTTTTAATTTTTTTATTTAAACACTTTTACTTTGTGTTTTAATAACTCTCCTAAAATGCCATTCTCAGCATGCAAATATGAACATTATCAGCACTAATTTGCATGTTCAACATTGCATTCTGGGAGAGTTGTAGAATCAATCTCTAGAGACATGTACAATACATGATTTTAAATGGTTTATTATAAAATCCCTTCCACACCATAATATGTCATTGAATTATCTATTAAGGAAAAGCCCCTATTACTTCTGGGGCTTAATTTCCACTGCGTGTCATTTACTTTATCAAGTTTCTCTGTTTAGTGCGCACTGGTGGATATTTCAAGTACTGCAGTTAGGTAGAAATAGTGTGCAGGTCAACATACTGCAGTTCTTACTGTCAAATATCACGGATAGCAATCCCTTGCGAAAGCAATGACTTCTGTTTTGAAATTGGAGGTTTTACACAATTGTTTGCATGACTATAATTGTTCAAAGAGATAATAGCATGGGATTTTAGCACCAGAAGATGAGAGCCTCATCCTAGATCTGGATAGTGTTAAAAAAACTGGCAAAGGCAAGGTCCGACAGTGCAAAAGGTCAACATTGGCAGCATAAAACAACAGCGCAGACTGATAGGTCAATACCAGCAGATTAGAAGCATCAACAAATTGTTGGATAATACCAAAAGCAATTCAACTGTTGTTTGAGTGGAGATATAAGTGAACATAGGTATTTCTTATTTAGAGGGGAACAGTCACTTGTCTGGACATTACACCATTGAATAAAACATATCACACTTCATTTCCTTTTTAAATGTGTGTTAAAACCAGTTCAGTTCCGGCTCAGCCAGGACACATACACTGATCAGCCACACCATTAAAAGCACCGGCCTAATATCCTGTAGGTCCCCCTTGTACTGCCACAACAACTCTAATGCATCAAAAACATTGTATCCTGTAGAATCTGGAACAAAGACATTAGCAGCAGATCCTATAATTCTTGCAAATTGTGAGGTAGGGACACCATGGATTGGATATTCTATTCGAGCACTTCCCACAGATGCTCAATGTGTTTAATTGAATCGTGGTTTGTGCTTTATTTCATGTAATATTGGAGTGTTGTTGAAAATTATGCAATATATTTGCACTAGATTGTATTAATTGTATTTGTAGTTTCATGCACTTATTTGCAGGTGAGTATGGGGTTTATATTGGATAGATGTTTTAGTTGGATGGAGGCTATATAGTTGTATTGTATAATATTGCAGTCTCTATTGTGTAATGGCTATATGTACTACTGTTAAAGTAATGATTGATGGATAATATTGTTTATATAATAGATGTATTATGGTATTATGTGGACCGCTATAAGTTTAATGAATTACATTCTCTGTTTTACTGTATTATCAATTGTTACTGTATTTTTGATCAGACTCCAACTATTTTTTATTGTTTTTGTATGTACATGGTATAATTATAATAAAGTTGAATTTAGTCTAATTGGACTTCCCCTCTCTATGGTTTCTCTGTGGTGATTGACAGGTGAAAGGGGCGGAGCGTATAACAACCTACCCGGAGGAGGCGCTCATTTTCAGGAAGGAGCTAAATACAGTACTGTGAATTTCTACATTTGATATTATTGTTCACACCTCACAAACACAGATTTGCTAAAGATAAGGGATTCGTAAAAACAACATTAACAAAACTGGGAAGTGACCAGTCCCCTTTAATTCCTAGTAGAAGCTTTGGTACGTTGTTATCAATTTATTTAAATCTACTCTTTCACAATTATTCATTAGAAACACTGAATTAGATTGAATTAAAATCTGAATGGCAAAACTGAAGCTAAAAGCTATTTTGTGGATTCATGCAAGTTGGAGAACATATCCAAATCTGCAACTTTGGCCTAAATGCTGTCTTTTGGTTTGTAATTAGCTACAACTATGATTTTAATGAAATAAACCCTTTAATTTGCCACAGGGTTCAGCAAAAATGTGCAAAACAAAGCATTAAACTCGGTTCTATTGTATGGCGGTCAGTTCAGACCATTCCGTCCTATACTCATTAATACCAGTTATGAACAAGTCTCTACCTCTGGCAGCATATTCATCATGCAAATTCTAGGGCAGGATTAGCAAAGTGCCCTGTGTTGCTTGATGTCATTATAATACATAATTTGATAAGGATCATATATCTCTAAGATATTACAGGCTCAACATATTTGTACAGACGTCTTCCTGAAATTACTAAAAGCTACAGTGAAGCGAAAAAAACAACAACAAAAAGCTAAAGAAAGAAAGACGAGGTACTGCTTAAAGTTTATTGATTAGAACTGGGTGAGAAAATATTGTGTATTTAACAATGTGTATACATAAACTTATAATTAAATATGGCACATACAGATAGAAGTACTTTAAACTGCACTTAGAATATAGACACGGTAGTATTTAACCGAGTGCATCATTTCATAAGGTATCCGCTATAATAAGCAAACCGGCATGCATAGTAACAGGTTATTACTAACAAAGTCTAATGTGTTCATTAACTCCCACAGTCACCTCTACATTGTTATCACTATGCGACAGAGGCTGTGTGCCCACTCTTTGTCACCAGTAGTGGTGGTAGGTTATTATTATGGCTGCTTTGCTTACCTTTCACCATTTATAGTAGTGGGTTATTTATATCCAGTGACAGAGTCTGTTCTGCTTACTTTACATTATATTTACAGTATTTGTGAGTTTACTTACCTGAACCTGTCCCTCGTGGGTGCTGCCATCTTGGTCCTCCTTGGCGCTGAAATTACTTTGGTACTCTCATGCACGCATGAAGAGTACAGCACTGAGGTCTATGCAGGATCCACAGACACAGCCAATTCCCTGCAACTGTCACTCATGATGGCTGCAGGGATTGACTCTTAGGCTCTGTCTAAGAAAGTCAGGCAGAGGATAAATACAGAGACAAAGTAGTCCCTATTTTCTCTCAGTATATCTCTTGACTGGGTTGGAATTTCACTGAAGTATTTTATAAAGATTACATCCTTATGGAATACTTTTTTTATTAGTGGGGTGGGGGTGACAGTGCCACTTTAATCTTTATTATTTTTCTTTGTAGGCCATATCCGAATTAAACAAAACCTTCAAGCACCATATCCACCAAATTTTAAAACGGCTCGAGAACTTTCCTCAGTACATGGGTGTTTGCATGGTACTATTCAGCTAAGCACAGCCCACGTTGGGCCTTACTGGCTGAGAGAGATAACCAGATTGCAGAAGAATCCTCAAAACAATATATGTGGAACGGTACTAAAACAGTGCACTGCGCAGTGCAGTCCTGGCACTATAACCACTACATGGTGCTGTAGTTATGGTGCTCAGAATATTCCTTTAATAGACATACATGTATAAAAATGACAAAGTAAATGCTCAACTTACCCGATATATAAGGTAATTGTGTCGCAAATTCTAAATATGGAGAAGTGATCTGGACTATTCCATAAGGCTCACAGTTTTTTGTTTTTTTTTAAGTTTCTCCACATTTGTTCTTTATACAGAACATGCATTATCAATTCTACGGAAGTCAGAACGGACGCCTAACAATGAGTTTTCTACTAAGTTTCTGTGAACTGCAGTGTTCAGGGAATATCCATAGATGTGTTTCAAAACTGCAGTTTGGGTATTTACTTATGGCAATTTTGAGCCAAATTCAGAGATTAACTGCAAATGTGCAAATAGATTTCAGAGCAATTTGGTGCATGCTTAAACAAAAAAAAAACACTTACAAAAATAAACTGACTTGTAAATTCCATAAGAAAGGACATTTGTATGATTTCTAAACATGGTATAGCTTCTGAATTACCTCTAATACTGACCAAAGTAATAAAGAAATTACTCTCCAATATGAATATGTTAAAGGATGCAAAATGATACCTGCTATTAACATATGTGCATTTACTGCTGGATTTGATAAGTTGTGTTTTTTCTTTTACAGGGAAAGGTTATGGAAGATACTCTCCACGGACACATATAATTAGGGTCTTGGAGAGGTAGGAATTTTCATTTCGTGGGGCACGTTGTCCATTGGGACTAAAATGCTACATCATCTTCATAATGAAGTGTGGCTTTTTGTTGACATTTGCAAGTAAATCAAAAGCTCTAGCTATATATTCATTGCAATGTCCATCTTCTCAGAATTGTAATTTATCCTCCTTTATCCAATCACAAAACAGATGACCCCATCTTAGTTCATTAGAGCGATCAGTACGGTTACAAATTCTTGGTAACCATAACAATGCATTCAGGCATCTACTGTATCCTATGGCTGGGGATTTCTGGATACAAGAACAATTATAGAAATGATACATTCAATTGCAATAAATGACCTTTTCAGATAGTTACACAACACTAAAGGTTACACAATGTGTGAAAGTACGTTAACTTTAAAAAATATAATAATTGTACAAATTGCTGTGATTTAATGCTGCGCGGAATGGCTAGCGGTAAAAGGAAAGTGATCTTGGAATGGGGTAACTTGGAAGGGTCGTCGCTTGTGAAAGAGTGAAAATCCCCTCTCTGTTTAAATGAAAAGGTTATATGCTTTGTACTGAGACATATAGAGAGAAATCTGCCATGTAACTTGCTTAATTACGTTGCTGAACTCACATTTCAGATATATAGATGACATAGGTACAAAGTAAGCAACAGATCAATGGAGTAAGGGTCTCCTTTGTTCTGCATGATAACTATATGTGCGTTTGTATGTATTTTATTAGTGATGGAATACAATCTAATCACAAACTGTAGGACCGTCATAAGTGGACATGCTGTAGCTACATCTCTCTGCTGTCATTAAAAACCAGACTTCAGCTTACAAGTAGTATTTCTGTATTGTAACCTGTGGATTCTCATAAGTCCGGCTCAACACTCAAAGGACAGGTTTGGCTTAAATATACACAAGATATACTTAAAAAAAATAAAATAATAATAATTTTTGAACTCTTGGATGGTGAAGTGCTCCATTATTCATGGCACCCATAGTACTACAACCACTACATTGAGCTCAACTGCTCTACTAACTCCCCACAGGCCGAACACAGCAGCTTTTTATACACTAAACAATGAACCATACAGCTCTCCAAAGCATTAGCCCCACAGCTTTGAATGATGAACCCACTCTCCAGTTAATGAGAACTGAAATAACCAGGGCCTGATCTAACAAGGTATCATGCAGAACCAAGACACTGCGAAAACCTTTTATAATCAACAGCTTGTGTGCGGATGCTGAAGTTAGACCAAGTGTTTTTCTTGTATAATACAGTTGTGATATTTCTTTGTTAAAGTGGAGAATTCCATTCCAGAGTTCAAGATAGCTGTGGCTAGTGTTTTTTTTTCAAATTGAATTTATATATATATATATATATATATATATAAATTGTGGTTTTTTTTGTTTTGTTTCTAAAATTTTCAACACATGCTGACTGTCAATGCACAGCCTTAGCAAAGCATGTAAACACAGACTTCAAAGAAAGACTTGGATGCCCTCAGTATACAGCACTTTCTAAGCAATGTGCAAGTGAGCATGAGCACACCCAGGTCATCATGGGAATGTCAGTTAAAGATCATGGAAGTGCTTCAGTAACTCCAGGCTGGGTACATAACAAGGACAATCTTAACACCATTAATAACAAGAGCATCTATGTCCTGTTTGAAGGCCATAGATCGTGAGAAATTGTTAAACACTTTTGGTCATATTAGGTGGCAGTCATTTGTCACCTTTTTCCAACTCTAGTAATTCTAGGTCTCTGCTGTTTAATGTTTTACAACAGAAACTTTACTTTGATTCAGTAGATAAGTATCATTTTATAATAAATTGTTGCTCTTTATGTTTTTGATCTAATATTATTTGATGAAGATTTAGACATAAACTACCAATCATATGCAGGCATCAGTGTCCGGATCACTGGGAGAGCTACATGCAATATGTGCGAGCCACACACAGAGCAATCATTAAGTACGATTATCTTTTACCATATACTTTTGCTCATGATTAGACAAATACAAGGGAGTTTTTTTGGCCTTTTGCAAAGACTGTTCATAGAAAAATAGAAAGTGACGGCAGATAAGAACCATTCGGCCCATCTAGTCTGCCCAATTTTCTAAATACTTTCATTAGTTCCTGGCCCCATCTTATAGTTAGGATAGCTATATGCCTATCCCACGTATGCTTAAATTCCTTTACTGTGTTAACCTCTACCACTTCAGCTGGAAGTCTATTCCATGTATCCACTACCCTCTCAGTAAAGTAATACTTCCTGATATTATTTTTAAACCTTTGTCTTATTTTTGTGGTGGCTTTTCTTCTTTTAAATATAGTCTCCTCCTTTGATTCCCTTTATGTATTTAAATGTTTCTAATACTATCATATCCCCCGTCTTGTCTTTCCTCCAGGCTATACATGTTTAGATCCTTTAACCTTTCCTTGTAATCACCATATTTATTGCTAGAAAGTTTTGTTTCAAACCGTAACCCTCATCACTGTGGACTCGTGACAGATGTAACATCTATTTTTATTTTCAGTAATAGTTTTGTACGCTAGCCAACCCGCTTGTCAGGTACGGAGACGTTTTAGACATGGATTTTTGACAAGTGAATAAAAATATAGAAGTACATTTTGTAAGATTGCTTATTTCAGAAGTGATTGTCTTGATTACAGATTGGGAACCTGAAGAAACTATTTTAGGATAGACTGTGCATCTTAGAACAAACTATTAATTGATTTTTTTTTTTGTCAATCTTTTAGTGTCATTATACTCTGCAATTTGTAAAACTTTACAAGAGATGCATAAATATAAATATGTAACAGGCAAGCCAAATAATGATAGAACACATTAACATTATTACATTACTACAGAAACAATAGGCAATAGAAGCGTGAGATCCTCAAAGTTTCATTGTCTTACTTTTGTTACAGTACTTTTTTACATATTCCAAGATATCACACTGCTTTTTAAGAATGTTACATTTCTCTTGCTAATAAAAAAGTAATGCAGCTAAACTGCACAAAGAACAATGTTGTTTGTGGTTTTGTTTTGTTCACAGAAGTAGCAACATGGGCAATGTTGATGTTGTGGGTAGTTCAATTTTGTGATGGGACTCTAGTAAACAAAAAAGGTTCAAGAATTGTATGGATGGAGTTTTTTCAGTTTTCCTCTAACCATTTTCAAGCAGCAAAATCTTGTAGGATTTGTAGGCATTCAAATCCTATCTCTCAGATTGGTGTCCATTTGTGCAATGAACCTTCCTCTTTATGCTTTCAAACTATTTGTATGGGTTAGCGCAGGGCTGGATTAACACAGGGGCTGATGGAGCTGCAGCTCCAGGTCCATGCCCATGGAATAGGCCCATTGTTATAAAAGAAAAAACTGAAGAGGGATGTAGGGGAACAAAACTGGTTGTACTGGCTGACAATTAAATTAGTTAAGGTAAAGCTGACTTTGCACACTATGCAAATGCTCTTGCTGCCTTAGTCTCTCTAACACTGTGGCATGTTCTCTTTCTTCTATACTCACTACATACACTTTTCCTCTGTCCCAGACTGCCTGCTAGTAAAAAGGTTATGAGAGGAGTGGACCAGTGAGGGCTAGGAGACAGTCCTTAGAAAGTGTAGAGCTAGTGCCTCATTAGACACATTTATGCCAAGCTCAGAGTGCTGTCTGCATGGTATGCCCTTTGTTGGCCAGTCTGCATGATTGACAGGCAGCCTGTCATGCATTTACACAAGGCTGACCTTCTAATTCTTAAGGCAGACACGCCGCCCTTTTGGGCATGTTCACCCCTTTTGGCAGTTCTGGTTATGTGATTCGCGTTAGTGGCCCACCCTTTTACCCTGCCCACCGAAATCCTGCTTCACCAGACACTGCTGTTAGGGGGTATTGATTTACTTGAAAGATGAAAGCGCGAGATTAGCATATGGTATGTGTTTTCTTATAGCTATATCCTGTAAATTTCTCCCCAGCACCACCTCCACCAGATGCATGACTCTTGAGGAGGTATAACTGTTTTAGTGTTTTCTGTCGATAAACTGGGCCCATCGTAATTGTCAGCACTAGGCCCAAAGGGCTCTTAATCTGGCCCTGGGTAAGCGGGATTCACCTTCAACGATTGTGCACCAGTGACACCTGATTGCCTCTTTTTTAAAGTAGTACAAGAGTAGCGCAAAGTAGAAATTCAGAAATAAATCTTAACAACTGCACATAAGGTGACCAGAGCTTCCAACATAACAAAAATCTACAAGTAGCATAATCTAAGGTTTAGGCAAAAGGAAGAGGTGAAAAAGTAACACAAAAATGACTTTTGAAATATTTTATATATATATATATATATATATATATATGACAAAAAGTAAGATGACTGAGTTCTATGACTGAGTTAATATTATGTGTAGAACACATACAGTTTAATCGTGCAGCAGATTAGAGTTGTTTTACTCCCCCTGGGGAACCCTTAGAAATAGAGATCTGAATAAAGGGCAGTATCCTTTTAGGCTGGTGGGTCACACAATAACCGAAACTAGGTCTCCCTGTGAGACCTAAGTGCCAAACTCATTTTATGGCTGGGTTCAGAGATCTCTCTGTGGTTTGTATCAAATGACATGAAAACACATATGAATTTCTGTGACTGGTAATTGGTTAGGTAGCTTACAGAACCTTATACCATTTCAGATTTATTTTCTCTGTGTTAGTGATACATAAAATGATTCAAGTGCCGGGGATAATTCCAGTATTGCTCAAAAAACATCAAGCAATGTTACATTTTCTTTACACATACAGAAACAGTCCAGCAATGAGTGGCAGTGATGGACACTCTCAGCCAATCACTGCTGTGCACCACCACTAGTTTATTTGTAACTATATAGTCTTAGCAGCAGAAAGGTGCTGAGCTGCAGGTGCCAGAGGAACCCTTTTTATGTGAAGCCACTAAAATTGGTTTGTCATTTGTGGCACATTACGTGTAAGTCATGGCATGCCTGCTTTCAGTTCCACTAATCCAACATCGCCTGGAACAGCGAGCTGGGGGTGAACTATTTAACCCATCAATCCTAACTTTAGAAACATTTGTAATGTATTATGGAAAGATTAGCCTGCCAGTTGTGTTCCTGTTAAAGACACTCACAGATATGTGGATGATTATGCATAGTTCAATAAATGATGTAATCAAATCTATACGTTGTGCTTACGGAACTGCCAACAAATACATTAAAAGCAACATTTGCCTGAAGTTTGAATTGGGGTCTCAGCTTTCAATCACTCACTGCAGGCCGCCATGTTTCACTTTGTGCCAGAACAATTCTGTACTTGGTTTTTAGGATGTCGATAAGTAGATCTAAACTACAATATAAATATAAACTGTATCTGGTCACTTGTTAGACCTGTAACTAATACAATGCACAGATATAAAAAAAGAGACAATGTAGTTACATATAGTTACGGAAATAATGGATTTTTTTTTTGTATTGACGAAATAATGCTGAACAAGCACAATTAGTTGGTGAACAGCACAGCTGTCTATAGAAAGACTATAAAGCCCATTTTCTGTCGCCCACCCCCTTGAACAAGAAAGATCCTCCTTTCATTCTCAAATCATTGGGGAGAGGGTAATTTGGGCTGCTCTTGATGTATCCTATACATCACTGTCTCCTGGACCAGATTTAAAATTAAACTCTGATGTAAAAGTTAAACAAAAATGAGATAGAAATTGGCAGGGGTTGAAGAGGGTCAAAGTACTGAAAACAAAAGGTGAACTAGCCCTTGTTTTGATTTATGTTTTGTAGACACTGCAAAAAAAAAAAAAAGTGCAATAAAATTAGGGACTTCAATGGCCAATTTTCAGCAGACATAATGAATCATAATGTGTTATATTCTACCCAATCGTATCTGCCAGAAATACCCCGATAATGATTTTTGTGTAAATAGTAATGCAGTTTTTAATTTCACATAACATTTACTACTGCGTGTCCTCTGCTGTTGGATTTCTTGGTTTTGTGAGGCCGATTAAGACAAAAATATACAAATCAGTTTGTGCACAGACGGCAAATTCACTGTTTAAAAATAATTTCAGGCAGGCTCTGCAAGCAGAACCTACTGTCAGGAATGGCTGCAGAATGTTTTACTTCTCAAAATGGAAACAAAGCTGTTTCGTGGCATTTCTCAGCTCCATACAAAACAGGATACTTGCCAAAAATTGAGAATGTATCTTAAACAGAGAATCGGAAATAAAGAAACTCTGGAAGATGCTCTTGCTGGCACTGTTTTCATGCCAGGTGGGGAGGCCGGCTGCAGCTCACACTACCATACGCATCTATCTTTTTATAAAAGTTGCCTATACTGTGTTATATATCGCAAACATTAAGGGGAATTTGTTTTATCATGTGAGGATTTTAAGATTTGCTTAAAAAAAAAAAAGAGAATTCAACATATTGTGGAAAAAAGAACTCCAAGTCAAACATGAATTCAATCCTTTTACTAAATACATATTTAGTGCACATGGCATCTACAATACTACAAGAAAAGAAATGAGTTATTAAAACTCAGAGGACACTATAATGGCACTGGATTCTAGTGATATAGTGTCATTAAAACATCATTCTTTATTAGTATAATTTAATATTGCCATTGTGAATTACAGCTGCACCCACATAGCCATGTATAGTAACACATCATTGGTTGCTAGGTAAAGCCTGATGAACTATGAGGAGTTTACAATTTATAGCACTGTCAGTGCCCGAGGACTATCAAGTTAACAGCGGGCACACCTGCTCTCAGGAAGCTTACTAAGGTAACTTGTCTGCCTGGGTTAAAGGGACCACATTGTTAATTAATTTGGCTAATAGACATTCCACAAGTTTAAGGTCACATTGCTCAGGCTATAAGAATACAGACCTTTTCTAACACAGGACTATAACAGGACTACAGCAGTCACCACAATAACACCGAAACCCACTGTTTTGATATTATTTTATTATTATTTATATAGCGCCATCAGATTCCATAGCGCTGTACAATGGGTGGACTAACAGACATGTAATTGTAAACAGACAACTGGATGTACAGGAACAGAGGGGGTGGAGTGCCATGCTCAGTGAGCTTACATGCTAGAGGGAATGGGGATACCTATCCACATAAGACCATATATAGAAGAATATACATACATATATATATATATATATATATATATATATATATATATATATATATATATTCTTATGTGGATATATATGACTGTACAATAAATGTTATGGGTTTTCTAGAGACAGAACAAAAAGTGAATATCTAGCTATCTCTAAAAGGCAGTATCTTCTCTTCTTAGTCCTATCCTGATAATTTTAGAATTACATATATACACACATACAAAAAACCACATTTATATAATTTATCTCTGTTTTATAGAATGTGGTAATGAAAAAGAAAAGAGATAATCAGTTGCATTTATAAAATGTAGAAAAAAATGACAGTAATAATTTCTGACAAGTAATTATAAAAATAAATAAAACATCTTTCCTTAGTGCTCTGTCTTGGTATTCCTGCAGCATGTCTTGGAACTGTGTCCTCATAGTTAAATAAACCTCAACATAATAGCACAGTGTGTATACAGCACAAGACGAACAGCATCATGAGGTGCTGATACAAGTTTACAATCTAGAGCGATAGAAAACCTCAAACAGACAAAAGTAAAACATATCTTTATAAGTATAAAGCGTTAATAGAATGGTTTCATCTTGTATTACTAGCTAGAAGAACACTTAGCACAACGCTGTGTGCACGGCTTCTCAGAGCCAAGATTACTCTGATACTAAATACGATTTGAATAAATACTCATCACTGTGCCCTCTCTCCCAGGGACACCTCATTCTATCTGAGCCCTCGAGGGTCTTCCCATTCTAAATTATATATTTGGTAGAATGTATCATGTTTCTTCAAGGTGTAGAGTCCTTCCTAATTAACCAACTTTGCAATTTAGTTGATGCAGATTTCGCACTGTTGTTGC